TGGTGTTTTGGGCAAGCAGAGGAAAACTACTGCTGGGCCGAGGAAAGTTTTAAGCGAGTAGGCCAATAATAATAGTGGTGGAAGAAACAGTTTGTCTCGAGCACAATGGGAAACTAATGAGAAAAGTGAGCACGAAAAGTTGCTAGAGTTGTTTAGCCATATCTCAGAGAGAGTTCTTATCTGGACGAGTGGTAGGTATTATTATAACCTCTACGACTCTGTATGTGCGATGGGTGGTAGTCGTGTCTGCGAATTATGGATGGACTTTTACTCTTTGCAGCCTGGAATTCGAATTCTTCTTCTGAATAGGCCTCTTCCCTGCAAACTGGCACAGCAAACTAGCACCACTGTGTACAACTACTCTGCTCATCGATTCTTACATTTAGTCTGAGGAATGCTATTTTTACTTTCATTTTTCTCATTTCTAGATTCTCAGAAATTGAGCGCTCCGCTCTCACATTTTTTTCCTACGGCCAAGGATCGCAACACTTAGGAGTTCCCTACATACAAATGATGATGGGCCACAAGTGGGCACTATGAATTGAGTTGAATCTCTAGAGTTGGTCGAACTGATAGATAAAGTAAATTTTTTGAAGCAAGTCCGCACATATCACTCCGAGGAGGAAACCTTGCAAAGACTGCAAAAGTAGCCTTGTAAGACCCAAAAGTATGTGTGCGCGTTTACTCTTGGAGAGAAGAGAAACTATTGATTGGGTGATTTTGTGGGCTGTGGTGATTTAAGACTTGTAAAAGTACAAGTTCTGCAGACAAGGCGTTTGAAAGCCGTGATCTCATCATAACCTAATGGTTCGAAGCCGTGTTTTTGCCCTCGTTTACTTGTTCGAATTATGTGATAAATCACCAAGTTATCTCTGAACCAGGAGAAAGGTCAAACTGTTAACTGACTTCTAATTTACAAAATTATTGCGCCTGTCACAAAAGGAAATTTTGGCATCTGCTGAACAAAGTCTACTCTGTGTGTGTGTGTGTATCCCCGTATCTCATCCGCCACCACCTTCAGGCTTCGGTGCAGGGGGATGTCTTCTGACAAAGAGGCTCACTGAACAAAGTTTTTCGTCATACGCCGCATATACAAACTTATGCAGGAATGTACCGCAGAGACCAATTACAATTTGTTAAAAACGCCAACAACAACGCCTTGCTTTCCTACTTACTCCGAGTCCCCGACGTAGGAAAACTGGATAAGCATTAGCATAATACAAGATATATACGTGAGTTGGAACGAGTCAAACAGGCATACTTTTTAATGGCCACCTTTGTGTTAGAGTTGGTAAAGTGGAGAAAGTCGTGCATTTCGCACATTACGGACACACCAAATTACATTATGGTAACTGCATGGACGAGCGACTCAAAAAAATGCGCTGGGAGACTACGTAGAAAACACGATTCTCCACTGTAATCTGCAATTTACGTGATTATGATCTCGTCGCAGCAAAATCACTGCAACTCTTATCAGATAAGAGTTATAATCACGCTTCAGCATAATTTTATTGTTCCATCGCGCAGCCATCTTCCTTCTGGGAATTTTTTGTCTACTTTTTTACACGCCAAGAAACGACAATACATTTCCCAGGATCTCATTTGCTTATTTATGACAATGCAAAATTCCCCTCTTATCAACACTTTTTTTACAAATTATAAAAGCACACAAACAAAAGACAATTTTCAAAAATGGAGAACAACTCTAGATTAAATCTGAAATTCAATGTATTAAAGTCACTAATTTCACTCTACGCTTATTCCTCGTTAAGGAAATCAAAGATTATGCGAAAATCAACCAGGAGACAATACTTAAACATGGCGAATTAGTTATGCTTACAATTAGATGTTCATACCACATACTGGATGTCAGAACATTTTGTAGCTAAATTTGTGGGGGCGGTATGAGGATGTTTGAGCATATTATTCATGAGGGACGATAAATAGATGGCTATTACATATCACGGCTATTCTCTCTCTGAGACTAGAAGGTCAACTGGAAGGAGGCACAGAAGACATCAGATGTGAAACACCAGACTTGCGAATAAGTTACATTGACCACTTTGTCTCCGACAAAGTCGACAACAATTGGAGGATATATAATGGCGGGATAAATGTCGTCTAAGTATGAGGATGCTGAAGCGGAACTGTGAGGACAAGAACGAGGACAACGTGGGATATGATAAATTACCCTAAAAGGCATGAATCCATGGCGGTATCACGACCCGATTTTCCGTCAGTGTCACCCAGCCAGCCAGCCAGCCAGGAACTGGAATTTCTTATTCAAATCACAACGTCGAGTACTCTCCTCCTCACTTTCCCCAACGCTGCAAGAGTCCCAACCAGCGAGCAGCCGGTTGGACCGACGACTACAAATCTAAGTAGGTCCCGTGCTTTCTGCTCGGCGTTCCCCACTTACAAAATGTCCTTACAAAATGTTTCTTTAAATCCATACAGGAGAGGAGAGCAGATTCAACAACGAGCAATGTGTGTCACAGAAAGAGACCTCGTTCACGTTAAGCGTCTTGGGTTTGATTTCCTTCTCCCAGTTTAATCCTTCCACACAGGACTCCCCAATCCCCATGCTTGTATCTACATGCTCCCAGTAATGCCACTGCTACCCCCATTCCACCGCTGCACCTTCCGTTTCCGTCTCCCTCACAAAAATCGGATCGAGAAAACTGTCTCCAAACTACCACCACATGAATTCTGTAATGCATCAATGACTCCTCTCTCCAGCAGCAGTGTGGGATTTGGGCGTCGTTTATTAACAAAAATACCTCTTGTGATTCGAATAAATTATCAGGCTGAGCTCCAGACTCAGCGTCTGATGGGAGATGAGACGAGCCTTTCGCATCCTGGTGAAAGCTGGTGAAAATCTATATAGCCCACTCGTCGTGGTGGTCGTCGTCGTTGGGATGTTGGACGGTGAGCGGGATGGCATTTGTCAATCTCTCCAGAGACGCAGACTGTCGTATACACTGGGCTGCCCTTACATGCATATTCCAAGTTTCTTGTACGTATACCGTGGGATTAGTCCCGAATGGCATTAGTGTCGTCGAGCAGTGCGTAGCTGCCAATGCATGAATTTTAAAGTGATGCCAGAGATTGATATCCTATAATTATTCCTTTCACCCGCCCTTCGAAAGATGCTAAATCCGATTTGCTCATTTAGATTAGAATTTGGATGGCGGAGATCTTACGGATGGGTGAAACTTATGTTTTTTGACGTGTAAAACTTGCAACAAGACTCGAGTCATTTTACAAGTAATGCCATCCTTTGATTTGGTTTTCACCATTTTCATGTTTGCTGATTGAGTGGTTTTGATTGAATTGAATCCAATTTTGAACACAATTTGATTCCAGTCAATCTTTACATCGGATCTTCACAGCACAAGATATGGCACGAACCGCCCTCGTCGACGTTCTTTGAGATTATTTGCCTCAAAATGCGCCATTAAAAAGAATTGACGGCAACATACGAGATATGTGTATATCAACATTATCAACAAACACACTTAAGGGGAAATACACACATACATGGAAGTGTAGCCTGTGGTGGTGGTGAGAGTGGTGAGAATGATAAAATAACTTGGGTGTTGGGAAATGTCAAAGGTTAATAACATTGTTGAATGATATGGGAGATTGAAAGTGCGTGAGAGAGAAGGTTTGATCGTGTGGTGAACATCATCAATTCTGGATTTACAGGAAACGAAAACTCCGTCAAGAGTGAAAATACAGATTGTAATCAGAGTGGATTATTTAGAAGCACATATAAATAATTCACACAATGAATGAGTAAATCATATCCATCGACTCAACTGTAATAATGCCGTTTATGAGCAAAGAAAATCATCTCACAATCCTATGCAGTCATCAGATTTATCTTGTGTCTTTGTCCCAAGGCACACCTAACCTGATGCTTATTCGGTTACATTAAATGTTAGCAAAGGCAGGGTGACTCGCACGGACTCAAACTAGCGGAAACTCTGGGACACACAACGACGGAAAAAGAGACATGGAATGGTACTGGTGAATACTCGTAAATATGTATTTTCATTTGAATCAAACGAGTAAATCATAAGTTAAGTATTAATGGTGAAGTGTTGTCTCGGGATTTATAGCGCTTTGCAACAAATTTAGGAGGAGTTATTAGCGTTTTGCAATTTCCAGTTGAGCATCCGGACAGAGTGTAATTAGTCTCATGGATGAGCAGTATGCGCTAAACGGGGGATTATTCAGGGGAGAAGGGAACGCGTAATAGGAAGGTGTTTCGGAAAGAGAAACAGAGTTAATAAATGACAAAATGAGATATTCTGATCTGGAAACTCTGGAGGCTTAATACAAAATTATCCTGGCTGTGAAGCCGCATGGTAAAAATAACAATAATGCAATGCAGAGAAGTGTATGATGTACTTCACCTCGGCTCAGTCAGCGTGCTATGTATGCTGTAGGCAATCTCGGTAAATTGTGTTCTTGTGCAGTGAATCAAATCAGAACTGTAATCAGAATCACGGGATTTCACCAGAAGACCTCTCCCACCTCAGAGCAATGTTACTTCTGGTTTCCCACCTTCACTTCCACTTACTTTAGAGGCGCATAGACTGGAGGTTCTTGAGGTGGCAGTAGTATTACATGGTGAGTAATAGAGTCTGCTGCGGAGACCAAAAACTAAATTGAGTTCAAGAGATTTTTCTAACGTCTTGGTTTTAAATTAGGCATCGTCAGTGCAGGGTTCGTTAGGCACAAAAACCATCTGCATATTATCCCACTGACTAAATATATATGTACGTATGCTATGTACGTATCTGTATAAATTGCGGTGTGTAATAAGCTTAGTGGGAGTTACACCCATATTATTATTATATGCTTTATCGATGCTCATAGGATACCAGAATGAGAAACGGATGTCTTTTTGGAAAGGTGATAAATTAGACGGAATGAATCTCACTTTTGGTGGATCTGTGTATGTATGTAGGAGTGAAAGTAGTTGTACATACCCGCAGAGAGGACACACGAGCTTCGCATCTCCCAGTCTTCCAGGCAAGCACTTGGCACAGAAGGAATGGTAGCAGGAGAGGAGACGTGGGTCTTCGTACACTTTGTTGCAAATGAGACACAAAAGTGGGCTTCTTGAACACGATTCGAGTGTGTCTGGGTCGTGTTGGTGCACAATGGCAGTGGCAGTAGTGATATCACCGGAAGTTCCCTGAGACTGTGGTGGCACTCCACCCCCCTGTTGACCGCCCCCACCCCGTTGTGACCGCTGTTCACTGTTCATGCCACCAGGTGGTGGGGACATCATGACATGATGCTGATGCTCGTCTCGCCCACCACCAGCCCCCCCACAAACCAGGACACTCTTCTTGCGTGGGAGGAGTTGCGGAGGAGCAGTGGAAGTCGTCGGCTGGTGCTGCTGGTGATGAAGAGAGGATGAGGTTGAGGGGTGATGTGATTGCCCCTGAGCATGAAGATGTGAACTCGTTGTTGCTGCTTTTGATCCCCCACCACCACCGGAAACGATCCCGGAAGGAGAAATGGCAGGGCCGGACTGATTGTGTGAAGGCTGGGGCAGAAGGCCGCTTCCACGCGACGGTGGCCGTTGCCAGCGATCCGTTGATGAACCAACGGTCTGTTTTTCCATCACAGAAAATGTATTGGGTGCTTTGGCAGTGAATGGAGGAAATCAAGAAGTTGCAATACAGCAGCAGCTTATCCTACATATATCTATCTCTTATCGTGCTAGATACGTATATATATATATATTTAGTATGTGGATTTGGAGAGGATGAGTCCATGAGGTAGTAGCACAAGACCATAAGAGCAGCCGTATGTTTCAACTTTCACTCAATCAATCAGCAACCACCCACGTCGGGGGAAATGGGATGAATGCATGTATGTATGGGGAGTCTCATTTACACTCATTCTCGTTTACTCGTCAAAATACATGTTATGTAATGGCTAGAACAAGAGCATACTCATAATCAGTCACTACAAACACTAACAAACGTACTTAACATCATCTCATAGCGCTTTTTTCACACTGGACTCAATCGTATGGAATGCTTGGTTAAATGCATGGCAAATATCAACTACGGGAGGAGGAGGAGGAGGAAAAAGGCAGGTAGAGCAGGGGGGAAATTATGGTGATGATGACGGTGTCTGAATCTGAATTCAGCGTGAACATATTCTCACCATCACCGTTTTCGCATTCTCCTTTAAATAGGTTGTCTACAAGAAAAGCACGTTTCTATTTCCTGCGACTAATGCTTATGCATTGATTTACGTACCTATAATTCTTCCTCTGTGCTAAGTGAAAGTGCAGTGGTAGACATATACTAAACAAAGTGAACAAAGTGGGACATGAGACAAGAACCATGCACTCCACCACCGACGACTCTCCCACTATTTTCTGCTGCGGCTCCTTTTCCTGCTGTCTTTGCCACACACGAGTCCATGCCACGAAGACTACGAGGAAGAGCAGTTCTTCTCAGAGTGCGGGAACACATTCCGCTTTCACTTATCTCCATCCAACCCACCACGAAGGATGTACTTTTGTTGTAGTGTCAGAGATTCCTGCCAACACGGTCGTCGGTTTCAAACCTTCTGTGCAGACGACGTGGGACGACTCCTCTCTTTTGATAAGAATCGTGCATATCACTACAAGAACATGCCGAGTCGTGGTCGCGGCGTCAGCGGCCGCGGTGATGGCGTGATGGTGATATGATTTGGCAGTATGGATGAGTGCAAAAAAGTGGCTGAATAAGGAACGATTGTGTCAGTGTTGACGAGTTGAGCGGGTGTAGATCACCAGAAGAGGAGGAGGAGGAGGAGGATGTCTTGGCTGCTGGTTATCTGAGGGTCTCGCTCTCTCTCTCTCTCCGTGGAGCCTGATGACCGTCCGTCCGTCGTGGCGGAGAAAGGGGGAATGAGGCGGCAGGAGAGGTGCACCAAGTTTGGTCGGTGGATTTGGAATGAGTGCGAAATGAGTTGGCGATGGAGATGACTAAACTACAACACCGACTATGAGAGACTGGAACTGGGTCGCACACTAGTGCGCATCCCATCCGGATCCGGAGAAATCCGATCACCCACTGAACACAACATTGGAGAAAGTAGAGTGGAGAGCAGAGAGCGTAGTAGTGTGGACTCACTACCCATCATTTGCTATACACACACTCCTCGCGAAAATAGGTGAAAGTCCCAATGAGAGGGTGAGAGGGCTCACACATTTGGCAAACGCCTTTACAATTTGCCCAACAATTTTAAATTTAATCAATAGCTGCGAATAAAAACTATTTTCATTAATATTATCATCATCGCTATACTTTAATTAAGTATTTAGTACACTCTGCTCTCACCCAGCAACATAGTTTCCCATCTTGCTCTCTCTTGTTCATATTTAGCAGCTTCAATATTAGTCTAGTCAAGCCCAGAGCCCAAGCAAGCACCTTTTTCCATCTATTTTGCTAATACAATTGACAATAAAGATTGCTATGAACCCACAACCCCATCATTTTTAAGGGGAAAGAGATTGGGTCGACTTCAAGTGTGTGGTTACATTCGTGGATGCCTCGCGTTCTTTCCCATCTTCTATCATCTGCTCCTTAAGAAGAAGAAAACTGAGGAGAACTTTCACTTCTCAATAGCAGATCAGACTGGCCGTCTTCTTTTTCATCTAAAATGCAGAGTACACACGGAGGAAACCTTGCCTTGAAAACCAAGCAGGCTCCCACAAAACTCCTGGACTGGAGACTACCCTCGCCTTCCTCCAATCAGTCCAGACCGTGAATATACTTCCTTCTGCTGGTCGTCGTCGTAAGTAATGTGAGTAATGTCGCTGCTGCACTTCTTCGCCTTCTTCATCTCGGGCAGCAGTCAGCCCGTAGCCCAGAAAGAGAAAGAGTTTAGTTGGGTGGTTGGTGAGCATAAGTAAATCTGCTCTACGTACAACATACATTCTAAGGAGAACTGGCTGACTGGCTGGCCTGATGGGACTGCTTCCACCAGTGTAGTAATAGTGGAACCATGGTGTGTGTACAACTTTTCTCCAAATTTCCTTCCCGGATTTCATAATGTTCTCCCATCCATTACTTTCTCTCTCTCTCTCACTTTTGCTAGTGCCGCAAATCAGCTTGGTACACAATACAGGTATCCGAGCAAATACTTACCAAATATCTGGAGACGTCAATTTCATTAATGTTTATTATTAGTATTCGCTAATACGGTTAATGGTAAATTACTTTTGTAAGTTAGCAAATGCTTGTACAACCGACACACTGAGTTTCTGCTTTAAGATTACAAATTGCATGATGTTCAAACCGACGTTAATCAGAACTTGCGACATTAAGGGCTGGCGAATGGCGAATGGAGAAGATGCGAGCCTTCTGCGTAAGAAGTGAAGGGAAAGAAGTAAAAAAAATTGGTTCGAGAAAGAAGAAAGAAAATGACATTTCACCAGCAGCATCCAAGCATGTCAGTCAGGATGGCAAAATAAAGTTTAATCTTGTTTGTTAAATTCATGAAGAGCGGGATACCAATTACGAGAGTAGAATAGAATTTACTGCAAATCCTTAGCCTGAGTCATTGTTATGCTCGATTGGTAGCTGAACAAAAACATGCTTAATTCTCAATTAAGCCCAGACCGTTCTTTACCAAAATTCGTTGCCTGTGCAATCTCGATGTACACCATTGTGGTAATTGACAGCTAATTTATTTAATCCAGTCCTGCATGGACAATTTTTTTAGCATGTTGATTTGAAGCTAGGAAACCATTCCTTAAACATTTAGTACGACGGTTTTCGTACACATGTCCTATGCTCAAAAGTGTGCTACGTGAATAAACTCTATATATGCAATTTCCTTCAAGGACGAAAGTTGAACGACGGTAGCTCAGTAACTTTTTATTATTATTTAGATTATGAGCAATCTTTTAATAGCATGTAATATTTCCTTTAAATACTCACTTATTTTGGTTTAAGTCTTCAGTCGCATGAACTCCATCACTATCAAGATTATAGTTTGCTTGCCGTTTTCGTTCTTCATGTCCCATTTCCTGGGGTATACAACGAGGAATAATGCACAAATTGCAATACTAAAACCAGACTGAATGCTACACAAAGGAGCTTGTTTGGTATGAAGCAAGGGGAACTAAATATGTAATTTGAAATATGCTATAATACTTCCGACCTGAACATGGATATGGGTTCTACCCAGTTTTTTTAGCTCAGATCAGGGCTTATGTACCAGTTTTGTATATTTGTCTGTCACACCAGCAGGCTGAACCGATTTTGACTAACTTTAGTCCTTTGATTTGATAAGTACCGGCAGGTGGGGTTTTTCTTAAGTGATAGGAGAAAATAGCATCTAATTTTACAAGTGGGAAAAGCTGACATTTGTCATAACGGGGTAGGTACGTATCCGACCAAAGAATAATAAAATCATTTTCACGAATATTTACTGGTTCCTAGAATTGTTTTAAAATGAGAGATATAATGAAAATTGATGAATGTATAATGACGATGCCACCTCAAAAACAACCCTCACTGGCTTCCAAAATTCAGAAAGAGACAAAGGCTCGGGCTATGTAAGACTGCACTTATTTAAAGCACGATGTTCACAATGAGGACGAGAAGTAGTGTTGGAGAAAGTCCTTTTTGCTGCATTCTTACCATTTTACGTGCTTTCTTTCTCCTGTGAGCCTCACACATGGACGACGGTAAAAGGTTGGTTTGGAGAGCGAGTTGGGAGATCGCCTTTCAAGTGGATGATTTTGTATATCGTCGTGTGCAGAGAGCCAGGCTTATTTAAAAGGAGTCTCACTTGGCGTAAAGTTGAACAGTGTGCTTTGAGCTGATGCGTGAAGAACAGCAGCGGATACATACTTTCTCTCGCTGGAAGCCTCTCTGCATTGAGAGGCATGAACATTATTATCGAGTCTCGATGCAGAAGAGGGATCCTTGTATTCAGCCTCAGTCTCAGTGGTCGGCCATTCAAGCTCCCAGTGTAGAAAGGGCTCCTCGTTCTTCTTGGGAATATGCTCCTACTTTTTGCACAATGCAATGTGGTCAGAAGACTAATGGATTCTCGGTGGTTCTCAGCAATTTATCGACCTGTATTAGTCTCCATTGTACACATGTACTTGTGTCTATATGTTCCACCAGCAATATGATCCCCAAGAACTAGTTGAAGCGTTTTTTTATGTACAAAAAAAACCAAACCATTCAGATTTTCAATGGTCAATAAAAAAAACTTTGTTTTGAGTGGGTCTATTACAGGGCAGAAGGGTTCTATACTTTCAGAGGGGGAAACATTGGTCTTCTTCTTCGTGGAGGCAAGTTGTTTATTGTAGTATAGGTTATAACTCCTTACATAGAAGATACGTTGTGAAAAGTAGTAGTAAATATACAACATTGACGAATAGATATTAATGCATATAAGATATTCATCAGTGTCATTGTGAGTGAAAGCTCAAAATAGCGATTCTACCAGTATTCGTAGTTGAAAGAACTTCTTCAGAATTCAACTTTGTTCTCTTGGCCCTTAGTCAAACCAAAACAGACTGCAACTAAAATACCTTTTGTAAAATTGTACTTTGAACAAAAAAATGAAATTATTACGAAGAACAAAGATGGCAATTTTACATGCACTTTACACACAACGAGAGGTTTACGTAACTGTTCAAGCATACAAAACTAACAAGCGATATAAGCAACTGGGTTCCAATTTCAAACTTATTCCTTCAACTTAATTAGCAATTGCTCGTTCATTAGGAGAAGAACCATGCAGTCACCAGAGCAAGAAAGTATCAAGTTGCTCTTCTGATATGAGTAGTCGAGTGATTGCGGAGAAATTCATTATTTTTATTCCTTTCTTTTTTGGTTTCTTTTTCCCTCTTTCTCTGGTCTTGTAGGGTACAAAGGAAGGCGAGTAACAAACTTAACCCCATCCCATTTGTCTAACGAAGCAGCACGTTCTCATAATTCACTCGCAGAGTGTTTCGGCTGAAATGCATCTTTTTTCCTCCTTGCGACATGCATAGCACAAGTAATTTTGAGATACATTAACCATTCGAAGGGAACGATTGGCAATCTCCATTTCCAGATTTGGGCCATTTATTCGTGCATTCTCAAGGACACTTTCTCATCACCTCACTCCAGTTTCTTGTTGCTAGTCGTGTGGTCGTCGTGTCTGTGGCTGCTGCTCTGGCAATGAAAGGAAAGCAACCCCCGAAATGGAAAGAAGCTTATTCCACCGGAATAATACGGACACATAGGAAATGGCGAATATCTCCTGATTTCTTCATTCACCCAAACTGACATCTCCTTCAACATCCAATATTGAGTATGGAAATCAGAACCAGCCAGCTTTTTCCCACAACAGCCAGCACAGTACTAGCAGAAATGCCACATATTTAGGCTACCATATTACCATCACGGTTTCAGATTATTATTTCTGGAATGGTCCTTAACCATACACAGCAGCAACAGCAGATCATACACACACACACCAAGCACTATATACCCTTCAAGGAGTTTCATTTCCTTTTCTATTTATGTACACGTATACATTCAAGCTGCCAAATGCACATCTTAGAACGAAAATTCTTTCTCCAACGTTGTCCCTGATTTTTTCTCTGGAATACCTCCTCGGAAATGGCTCCTCTCCCAAGGCAATTTAAATCAACATAACTCTAAGAATCTAGGAACGGAAACGCTGTGAGTGGATGTTTAAATTTTTTGATCATCTCTAGTAGCTCCTAGAATAAATAATATGCTGCAGATGACAAATACGACTTGTTCCTTCTTTTTGTACATATAGTACGATTGAACCACTGCAATATCCTCCATAATTTCCTATAGAAGATATTAATCATGGTATAACAATTCAAATATTTGGACTCTAGTACCCGTTGGTACATGACTGGTACTCAGCAGTAAATGAAAATAAGTCTCGTAACAAAACTTGGGATGTCCACATCTCAGAATTGTCAATACGTACAACTGAACTCAAAATCCTGAAATGTGCCTGGTTTATCTGTGTATGTACCAAAGCAATAAAGTAAATTACATGAAAGACATTCCAATGTATCCAAAGTTTAGTTTGTGAACGGAACACGACGACGAAGAGATGCTGAGGGAGAAATGCATTGAAATGTCACCAAATATATGGCATCCTTTTATTCAAGCTCTCTCGAGACCACACAATTCATTACATTATTCCAGAATAATGCCAATGCATCTGATATCGGTACATCATGAGACAGTTGAAGAATTGCTAATTTGCTGATTTTGTTTCCCTTTACAGTTTCTTATCATCACTCAATTTCCTCTCCCGGAAGTTTAATGGCATGGATGAATAGCGAATTGAATATATTTTTGACAAAAAACTTGAAACTTTGCTTTTGCTTTTGTCTTGTTGCTCCAGAAGCGGAAATTCAACTTTCACCCATTCCTCAGTAGTCACATCTTCCTTCCCAAACAAAGTCCCCATGAATCACATCCGCCTCCCGTCTCCCAATTCCAACTGTCCAATTCATCTTTGATAGAGAGACGTAAGACAAAAATACACGAGACAGAAACACAAATACTCCACCACCACCTCGGCAAAACGTGCTTTGTCTTTTATTCTGTTTGGAGAAGAAGAAGAGGAGAAAGTCCATCCGCCGTCCGTACATATGTACATTCTGACCGGAGGAGAAGGACGGAGGGGAGTTCTTTGGTACATAATTCCTTCCATTTCTTGGCTTTTATTCTCTCCTGCCTGCTACGCCTACCACCTCACATTTAGGAATACATTTCTGAGTCAACTAACCAGAAACCACAAGCACTAGTTTAGCTGAGGAGATGGTCTCCTTTCATGCCTTGTGTGTGTTGAAGAATTTGAGACAATGTAGGTTAAGAGGACGACGTTGTAGGTTCTCGGCCGTGGTTTTACTTCTTTTCCTTCCTCCATGAGAAAGCGTAATGTGTCCAACGAGGCGGAATCCCGAATTCTTTCCCTCTTTCAACTTTCTCTCAGGCCAACCACCACCACTGCACACACATCGTCCTATTCAATAATGTCCAACCTGGTGTTTTCTGAGGAAGAGCGAGCACCAGAAAAAGTAAAAGGAAAGTAATAATAAGCAGTCCAGCCTGTGTTCTCAAGCATGATGATGAGCACATACGATGGACAAAATAATGAAGTTCAACTTGAAGAAGGACCAGCAAAGGAATTCTTCATCCATCAAAAAACGGTGACTACGTAGATGTACATCTTATGAATAATAATAAGAATTCAAAATGCTTGATATTATTGATTTAGTGATATACTTGCTCATGTTCAATTCATGTTATACATATGTATGTACAGAAAATACAAGAACATTCCAGTTGCTGAACCCAATTATCTGCCAACGTCATGCAGGACTCAAAGTACTAGCAAAGTTTCCAACATTATGCAAAGATCAACTATAAATATTTGCCTTTGACCAAAGTTGCCCAATCATTGGAAAGTAGAACACCTTTTCGTGAAAGAAAGCAAAAAAAAATTGTCTCTTTTTCTATGAAACCCAACTTCGTCATCGCAGAAAAGTCTCGTTATCAAATTTTTCTCAGTTGTGGCGCAGAGTCATCACACCAGGACCCAAGTCAGAAAGGAAGTCTGTTGGAAAAAATGGAAAATTGGGATTTTTATACATCTCGTCTAGTTACAGCATCTCGGAGATGACATAATAACTGGTGACTGACTGACGGGCAGATATCATTCATACTTCTCTCTTTCTCTCTCTCTCCGTATTCTCTTCATCCTCTCATGAATTTTGGAAATTGGAAAAATTTCACATTCTGGCATATTCTGCTTACCTGCACAAACATCTCTGTACACACAGAGTTGCGTGGTGGCGAGGAGTATAGAAGAAAAGTACAATAATAATGACAGACTGAGGATGAGAGGGAGAAAGCAACGCCATTTCGCAAGTTTCCTAGATAAAGGTATGTGGTCTCCCTCCACATCTAAATACGTGCTCAGATCATAAATATCGAGTAGGTGCGTCGTGCGTCATCAATATCGCATCAAATGGTAAATAACATAACATGTAATTTTAGCATAATGTTACATGGTGTTCTCACCATCAATATCTTTTCATTACGCAAGCAATGAACTCATTCGAATCTGTTATTTGCATGGTTGTTTTGTGGTACTAGTAATTTAGTGCGTGCATAAAAAAATATCAAAGGAGTTGTGGATTGATTGCAGATGATGAGGGACATTTGAGGGTGATTTGAGCTCTGGGGGTGGGGTTTTTGCTAGTTAATTAGCACCAACGCTATGCCCAAAATGTAAAATATGATCCAGTCTCAAATTACACACCACGAATTGGATACCGAACTGCAATCTCCATCTGGTGGAAGTAGAAAATTATTCAGTCTGCACTGGGAAACTCCAGATCAAATATTGTTTAAAAATTTAATTTCTCAAGGGATTGGAGGTTTCGAAATCCTTGAGAGAAGACTAAAATGACGGTGCTTAGTGTTCTACGACCGTCAGCTGTCTTCAAAAAGTGCTTAAGTGGCTCTGTTATCAATGGGACTCGTAGTACAACTGAGTCCGCTGTAAATAATGTTAACACATTTCGATTGTTGACAACAAGTAAGTTTCGAAGTTTCGACTCTCGGTGAAGAAGAATGATGGTATTAATTTCTTTTGTTCTAATAGGTTTAGTGCGAAATGGTGGCGGTCATCAGCGAGTGATGGAGATCATCCCGTCGAAATATCAGTGGCATAAGTACAAGGACTTACTTCACTTTTATCTCATGTTGGGAGCTATCCCAGCGTTGGGACTAGTTTTCTACACCAATGTTTTCATTGGACCTGCCACCCTGACTGAAATCCCTTGCGACTACCAGCCAAGACATTGGGAGTATGAAAAGGCAAGATATTTTTCTAACATCATTCGTTGAAGTTTGCAATTGCAGCTGGGCTTTACAAAAAAATATTGCATTTCTAATTATTTGTATCTTGATAATCACAGCACCCAATTTCACGATTCATAGCGAGGTACTTCACCACCAGTCGACAGGAGAGATATGAAAGGAACCTGTTTTACATTACTGAACTCGATGAGACGAGACGTTTGACGTAACAATGAATACAATAATATATGCCAAAACTATTACCGATGAATGATTATTCTAAAATTCTTGTCATTGGGGTACACAGATTGCTTGAGAATAAAGTAAAGGACCTCATGTCGCAACGAGGCGATTATCCCAACTACTTTGCTGGCAGCGTGACTTCTGGAAAGTATCTGAGAAGAAGATTGCAAGAAGAGGCGGAAATTGAAGCGCTTCGAGGAGAAGGATAACCACCCCGTCGTTGCAATGATTATCATTTAAACACTTGGTAAATAAATGTAGTAATCAGTAATATATTCAAAATTTGTTGTGTTCAAAATTAACCATGTATAGCTAGTTAGTAAAATGTAATGACGGTTGAGTACATCGGTAGTGTATCCAATAATAAAGACAATCCCCTGTGATTGTTAAAGTCTATACATTTTGTTCTGGTTCTTTCTTTTATTACCACTGTACAGTTCAATATTACATGTTCTAAAAGCTATATTGTATCAATCTACCTTGCATATACATATATATGTATCAAGCAGAAATGGCAAAAAACCAACTCGAAAAGAGCAATATAAAAACTTTTTTATATCTATCTATTAATGACTAGATGAGCATCCTGAGTAATCTATGTTTTTAACTTACACGAGCAGTTACATCCCACAAAAAGTATTTAAACAAACATAATAGCATGTGTGAAGCATTGTTTAAGAAAGAAGATGATGGTGTCCCATACAAAATGTGATTGACTATTATATTCATAGGAATATTACAAAATTACAAAATAGCTGATGAATCATGATAAAAATTAAATCACCTAATTAAAGTAGGATAAAAGCCGTGGTGGACACAATTTTATAAGAAAAATATGGAATGCATAAAATGGAAATTTTGGAAAATGCAAAATAATTAAACATAAAATATTCTGACGTTTGATGTGCAGACTAGGAAATCGGCATCGTAAAACTTTGTCTCTATCACTATGTGCCCACTGCAAAATAACAGGAACATAGTTAATAATCACCTTTAATCTTCTTATTACATGGGATGGGAAAACATACTTTAGCACATTTGCGGGCATCATTTGAGATTCAGGGGCTGCTTCTATCAAGTTTTGCCAAGTGTTTGTAGATTCAGGAATAACGAAGCCAAATTCGAAAAACCATTCTTCAATGCACCGACCCTAAAATATTGTAATAATCATATAAGATTTGAGGAGAGGGCATATTATGTACATATAAATAGCATAGCAATGTAGATATATTTCATAATAATGATTTTGGTGCGTGTTCAAGATAATGTTTCACAATGCCGTGCACATCTATCTGCATTAAATTAGCCGAAGTAATATCATATAATTTCCTCGATCCAACTCTATGAATGACACACCTTGAATAATACTTTTTGTTCAATTCGGAACTTTTCCATTGGTACTACTGAGGAAAAATTGATTTCTCGGGACACTGCTCTGCATTGCAACACACTTTTCGGAACCCTGGCTTCGTGTTCCACGTCTGGCAGGGACCTAAGGAAAGCAATGTATACGCCCTTTAGCATACAGTACTAACAATGCAAAAACTAATGTTACATTATCATATTAGAAAATTCAATTGGCTTACAGGTCATCATGAGCTTCCCACAGAACCGCACCCGTGTCAGAGTCCCTCAACTTCATCCAATTGCTAAACCAATAAACATAATTAAATGTTCATTGATCATTCACTATTCACTTCTTAGCATGAATCGAATCAAATTTTGGATGAGTGGAGGACGACTTACATTCTAAACCCCTGAAGAATCTCTTCCGCGGAAGGCATTTTTAAAATGCACTTTGTTTAACTTCGGGCAAAAATTCTTGAGTCTTATTCGTATATCAGTTCTCCTACAAAATGATGATCATACCAGTTTGACTTGAGCCCTAAATAAAATAAAATACACGCTCTTAGTCCACTACGTTACGTTCTAGTTTAGTTAACTAAAAGAAAAACAAGCTTAGGACTTTCGTCTGCACGGAAAATTTGAAAATTTGGTTTAAAAATGTATTTATTAGCTGTAGACAAAAGGTAAGTGATTACTTAGTGTGGATTAAAATATGGTTTTCGGCTTATCATCCAGCAGCGGTTTGGAGGAGTGGGAGAGAAAGCAAGTGAAAGTTAGCGGAGCGACTACAGAGGAAGAATGACGTTGGAATGGGTAATAGTTTCGAGCTGCTGGCCTATTTTCTACCTGCTTCGGCTGCTTCTCGGTCTCTGTTTCGCAATCAATGGAGCCAATAAGTGCGAGCGTGCGGCCCTCTCAAAAACCATATTTACTATTTACGTATTTAGTCAGTGAGTGAGGGTGAGTCTGTGACGCAATTAAAAAGTGCACTCATCCCCATTAATTACAATTAAGTAACTAATTTCAGCCTTAAAAACGTTCAGCTGTCTCGTGTAGGTAGACCCACACGAAAACAAGATTGACAAGAACACACTGCGAAGGGCAGGAAGGCTTTCTTCCTAAATTAATCGCTTTCCTTACTGCGCAGTCATTACTTCACACTTGCAGTCTTGAACTAAAGGTGAGCGAATGTATTAAATTAACGATGCATGTTTTATTCATCATCTAAAATTTAGAATATAGATGGGAACTAATTTATGAATTATGAATTGAGGAGTGAAAGTACAAAGGATTGCTATAAGTTTAGTAGTGTATGTGTATGTATAGCACATATTACTAATTGTACGTCCTTTTTAATTATCTTAATTCTGAGATTAACGAGATGTAATACGACCATTCACAAATGCTTATTATGCAAGATTTCATCTCAGTTATACACTTCATACTGTTGTTACATCATATCACATAATGCAACTATGGCCAATGTTGTTGTTTGACCACTTTTGATTTTTCGTCATTGCGAATTGTGTAGCTTTGTGTTGCAGTCCACACTTCCATAACAGTCAACTCTTTGTTAAGTTTCTAACTTAGATTTGCATAATATAAATATTAAGATAAGCTTTTGTACAGACTGTCAAATTCAGTTTAATGTGTTTTCACTCTAGATATTAAAGTTTGTTATCAATATTAGATTAGGTGTTAGGTATTGATCTGGTTATTCAGTGAGGGTAATGTTAACGACTGACGATTAATGTCTTAATATATTTGAGGGAGAGTTTCTAAGTATTTTGGGATTAGTGAATAGCCAAACGATGTGAAATACTAATAAAGTATTTTAATCTTGCGTTTTATGACTATTATTACAGATAAAAATCTACCGATCGCTGGTAGTTGTTTCTCTTTAATTTATTTTCTTCAATATTACGACATCAGGAAGGATTATAATTTGGGAGATGGCTAATAGGGTGAGTTCATTCATATGTGTTGTAAATGATGCTTTTCATTTTATAATGATTTCATTATTTGGGTGCTGGTTAATTGTAGTTGTTTACGAGTAACTCGATGAAAGGAACTTTAGGCAAAGGAATTCGTAGTTTACAGACTAGAGAGTACTCGAGTCACGGCTGGAGGCGAAAAAACACTTATGTTCAACAGTTACTGTTTGGTAACACGACTATTGGTGAGTTTAATGGTTAGTTTTATTAGTAGAACTACATTCAATTAGTTCTCAAAATGTCCTTACAATACTCAGAAAAACACACTGTTTGGCCTGATCCGCATTTGGGTTGTTTGGGACCGAAAGATCAACGTCTTGGATTCCCCGGCAATATTGGTCTTGACAAAGCACTTTTGCCAACAGAACCACCCCCCACTCCTGACAGACTGAAGGCTGACAAAGAGGAACTTGAGAATCAAGCAAAGTTTTGGAAAAGCCTTTTAGGAACGCACACGAACCATCAACATCAGATCGATGTATATATACAAACATACAAATGTTCCCGTACTTTTGTTGAAAGCAAATAGTAAATCAGAAATAATTGTTTTCCAGATTGTAAATCAGGACGACGAAAACGATTGCAGAGACTCTGAGGAAATGGAGTCTATTGGCCGAAAGTTGATGGGCATAAATGAAAATTTAGAATGTATAGCCCAAGTTTGCCCTGATTTACTACGCAGAGGTAGCAAGACAATTTATGGTATTTTACATGGCAAAAATAATCCAAAAATGATAAACCGTTGTTGACTTAATCTAGAATTGGCTGGATTATTCACTAATGTAAATATGACTGAGGGACCCTTGACCGTTATTACGTTCTGTCAACGCACAAATCATGATATGACGAGTTGGTCTCCAAGTGTTGAAGAAGAACGTGAAGCACTTACAGAAAAGGTTACATAAATACTTAATTTTTACTAGAGTTATTGGATGCCCATGGCATGAACATAATTGCCCGTCATTTATTATAAATTCCTATTTAAGTACATTTTTCATTCTGGCGTAACAAGACAATTATTTACACAAAATTAATTGATTGTTGGTTTTCTATAGTTTATCAGAGCCGCCAAAGACGTTTGTGATAAACTTCGACAGAAGGCTCAAATATGGGTAAGGTGGAAGCTGTTAATAATAAGAATTATTGGGAACTCATCTGTATTGTTTTAATTATTTTCAGGCCGATTTTATTGAACCTTGCTCTGGAAGACCGTACTATTCATCATTTACAAATCTCACATTTTTTGAAACGGATGAACGGTAAACCTTTTACACTATTTTACAGAAAGGCTAATTAAATATCAACGTAGGAATACTAAATGATAATTTTATTGTTTTGCATAGATATCGCCATTTAGGGTTTAGAATTTCAGATTTGGGCTGTTGCAAAGTCATTGCTCATCATAAATGGGGAACTCACGCCTTTGTAGGAACAATTTTTACGTCGGCGCCGCACGATTGTGAACATCTCCAACAAATTGTAGAACGGTGCAACAGGGCGGATGCGGCAGTAGCAGTCAATTAAACAACACTGATTGAATGATCGAGTGTTTTTAGTATTCTATTCATGAATAATGCAGTACCTGCTCTGGGAGAAATGATCAACACTAACCAACAAATGCTAACGTTAGCATGAACCATTCTCGAAATTAATTGTATTTCAAAACGGATTACATAAATAAATTGATCTTTTTTGCTGATACATAAAAGCGATATATTTTATATCTCTGTACTATAAATCACATTAACATTGATTATTATTATGAGGAGTTTAATTTATCCGTTTCTGGCACTGAGCTATTGTTGTGATCTTCAGTTGCAGCAATAATTTCTTCGGCAACTTCATCAAGTCGTAAAGTATCCATGTCTGCCGACCCCACTTCAGTATCGTTAGTGCGCGACGATGACATGGCCTCTGTTTTCGGTAACGATACCGACATTGATTCAGTTTCCCCTGATTTTTCAGTTTCTTTCTTTTCTTGCTCCAATATAAAGGTGTACGCTTGTTGTAAAGCATTTTCAGTAGCTTCTAGCTGAGTGGTTCCATATCCTACATATAAATTATAGAATAATTAAATTCATAGTTAAAAAAGTGATTATATAATTCGTACAAATATATTACCAAATGCAAGTGATGATGATGCCTTTTGTGGGCAAGATATATCACTTGGGCATAAGAGAAGTGTTGAAATATATTGATTTTGTAAAGCTTCTTCACACACTCTCATATTGTGACTTTCATAATGCAAGACGATTTTTCTAATCATTGTCATGACCCACTCGGTTTTCTCATTCCTCTGCAGGTATCCTGTCAGTTTTCATTATTCTTAATCATATAGTCATTGTTGTAGCTTTTGTATTTAACACACAATTTATGTACCTGCACATTTTACATCTTCGTACCGATCCCTTAAATCTGACATGATTCCAAAACCACAAAATGTAGGCATTGGTTGAAGACAAGGAGAAGTCGAGTCCGAGACCCAAGCCTTATGAAACAATAAAAAATATTAGAGCACCATGTTGAAGTATTGAATCTAATACACTTGAAATCATTTACATGGTAGGAGGCGGAAGAAAACAATGGATGATGCATGTATTCGGAATTATTCAGATTCATCTGATGATTTTCTGCAAACTGGTCCTGCCAAACGCCGTCACCAGTATTCCCTCCCGTTCGAACAAGTTGTGACATTGCCTCAGTTTTCGCTTTTGCAATAAGAACTTCTTTCTCTGCCGTAAAATCTTGTTCTCGGAGAGCCGCAGCATGCATAAATTGTTGCACCATATGCCGATAATATTCTAATTCATCATTTGAATTACGAACTTTGTCCTCTAAAGTGAGTATCCTTTGATGAAGTAACAAGATTTGCTAAAATCACACAATCATTACTATCATTGCTCAGCTCATGCTCATTAATTCCATGTTAAAGCATTCATATTACCTGATCTCGTACAAGCAACTCATTTTCAATAGCTCTCGAATCATATGCCATCCTTCTTTCGACGCCAATCATGTGTCTTTCCATATCTTGCAAAAACCTTTGCACATCTTGATCCAACTTTTTCTCCTTTTGTTGAATTCTGTTCAGTTCAATTCTGTCTGCATTATTATCCCCCACGTTGAGTTTCTCAAAACTTTCAGACACCTTACTGATGGGACCATCAGCTCCAGTGACACATGATGTCGCATCTTCATCGACAGCATTTGGTCCTCGCTCCACAGATATATTGTCCCCTTTGACTTTTTCTTTCATTTCCTCATTGTCTGCTTGAGTCGCGACGTTCCCATCTTTTACAGAAATCTCTGCTTTCTTCCTTCCAACAAGTTCGACTCCTCGACTGCTTGCATCTTTCAAATTCCTGTTCCTGTCATTAGTCAAGTCGCTCTGTCGCCGCATTAAACTTCGCCACATATGAATTGTAGGACGACATCCCTGTCCCCAACAAGAGCATAATTCATACCACTTAGAATATGATTATGATTGAGGGAGATCAGACAAGCATATAAGAATTTTTCTATTCACCTGATTCAGAAAGACAGAGTTATTGTTCAGGTCAGGGCCCATGGAACCATTGCCTCGTTGCTGCTGTTGTTGAGTGGAATGGAACTCCCTTCCTCCTCCCCCTCGAGTGTGGTGGTGGTGGTGGTTATTACCATTGTTGTTGATGTAATGGTTGTTGTTGTGGGGAAAACGACCTCCTCCGCCATTAAAGTTCTTCCGACCTCCTCGGTGCGATTGCTGGTCCATTGTATTTTATACCTCCGCCAAAGTTAGTCAACCTTTGCAGGTGAAATATATGTATGAAATATATATATGGGAGCAGTTTCCTTATTCGAATTATATGCTCGCTGTCTCGCTAAAGTATTGTTTTTCTAGCAATGCAAAAATTTCTGCAAGGTTTCCTCGAGTTTGTTTTTTTAATTCTGATTGGAAGAAACGATTGACTGATTGAATCTTCAACACAAAGTAGGAAAGGGAACAGAGTGAAAATCAAGGCAAGAAAATTTACGGGCATGAAAAAGTCGGGGTCAGTTCTGCCCGAGGTGAATGAACCATAGCGGATCATCATCATGTGCGAATGATCAAGTTGGACCAAGAAAATGGATTGTGGTTTTAAGAATTCATGTCATGTTATGCGGTCGCAAGTATGTATGCCTTATGGACAATCATATATACTTATGCATTATGTAGCATTATTTTTTCCTCTACATGTTTCTAAAGTCTTTATTGCGATTGATTACATCCTCGTGTTCAGTGTTGTCCATACATCTATCACGCGTTGAAGTTTGATTTTAAATGTAAGGTTATATTAATATATGAAGTGTGTACATGTGCAATAATCAAGATTACAATAATAATTGTGCTTGGTGTCGACAAATTCGAAAGCTAGCTAATGACCGTATATCTGGATGTGATGAAAATAAAATCTATCGTAGGTGTCCTAACAGCTGCCTCTAATACACAGTATAGCTTTTCATCAAGACAAATTCAATAATTTTATGCCACGCGGCAAGCTATATCTAAATCTAAGTATTCGACTACACCAAGTTTTCTATCTTTTGATACACATTAGGATTTGAACAGTTTTCAATACGTCACGGATAAAATATTAAAAGAAGAACAATCGAGTTTAAAGAAATTTTGCCAAGAAAAAAAATACGTACAACAACAAAAGTTTTCTTTAGCATACACACGACACGAGAGCTAAGTTTTCCAGACAAGAATTGATTGACAATTAAACACAAAAACTTTATGGTTTGTCAAAAATACGTGGTTTAACTTGAAGTGAGTGATAAATTTACAATTTACTTTATTTTTGTGTTCTATTACTTATTATTATTTATGATGGTGACGTTTGCCAATAAATCCGATTAGATCCAGATTAGCTGATACGCGGTTTAAGAGTTTCTAGCTGTTGTTGTAATTTACTTTTTTGCTTTTGTTAACTTCATCAGCCCTGGAGTAGACATAGACTTTGGTCTTTCGATCGGAAGATTGAGGGCACGGTCCCAAATTAGAGATGCCATTACTCCAAGGGCTAAGAATAAGAAGAAGCATGAATGATTTAGCGAAAAATCCCAATAACTAATAAATGATTGTTCTTACCTCGAGAGACTCCGAATAGAACGGTGTAGTAGTTCATCTCCTTCATTCCGTAGTACTGAGAAAAAAATGGCAAATGTTAATACGATTACATAGTCACAAATCATAAATCAGTTATCAAAATTAACATGTACAACTATTCATAAACGACATACTTGTAAAAGGACGCCAGAGTGAGCATCCACATTGGGCCAGGGATTCTTGATCTTGCCCGTATCCAAGAGCACTGGAGGGGTGACTTTGTAAATGTTGGAAACCAACTGCAAATTAAAGATTGTTTTACATATTTGAATGTATATAGAATGTAGTTGTAAATGGTGTACGTATTTAATGAGATTAATGAGATAATGGAAAAATGTCGTGAACATACCTTGAACATGGGATCATTCGGTAAGTGTTTCAAAGCAAATTCTCGCTGACTGTTGACAATTATGTATATTACATTAGCAAAATTAACAACTAAACCATCAGCAATAGTAGAAGAAAGACCCAAATTGCGTTGTATATTCTTACCATGTATAACGTGGATCAGTTTTCCTCAAGACAGCATGACCATATCCTGGTACAACACGACCTTGCTTCAGCTCACTTACAAGAAAGTCTTTCAACTTATCTTCGGAAGCATCAGCCCCTATGGATTTTGCGATTTTTGTAAGGAAGATTAATACCTGTATAGGCAAAAAAACATGTCAAATTATATCGTTGAGGTTTATCAATATTACTGTAACAATAATAACAATAATATTACTTCTTGGTTAGCAAGACCATGGAGTGGACCAGCTATAAATAATATAATTGGTTCAAGTTTTAGTGATATGTTTTATCAATACAATTGTGATACATTGAATTGTAAATAAAATGGGAGCTTACCCAATCCACACATTCCTCCGCAAAAACTAAGGTAAGGGTCGGACAGAGCTGATCCTACCAAATGTGTAGCATGGGCGCTGACATTGCCTCCCTCATGATCGCTAAAAAATAATTTAAATATTGAAATAAGTAAAATTTAATGTACCAACCAATCAGTTTTAAAAATAGTCTCTTTTACCTGTGAATTGTTAGATAGAGTCTCATCAATTCGATGAACTGTTGATCCTCGTAACCCAACATTGATGAAAAGTTTTTACTCCAATCCCAATCGCTTTTTATCCCACCAATAGAAGACCCGTCTTTGTAAGTGTTTCGATAAATAGTGGCTACAAATATAAATAAACCATGTGAATAATTTATAACACCATCACTGTAGGTATTAATTAATGTGGATGAAATATTTTCGGATTGTTAATCAAACTATACTAACCAGCTAGTGGTGGAAGCTTGGCAATCAAGTCCATGGCATCTTCATACACATACTCCCAATATTGCTTCTTCGGAATTCCAGACTGGTACGCCTGAAAAATGACACGTGGTTTTACAAAAATAATCAATAACGGCATAAGGCATGTATGCACATAGAGACATTTGAAAATGATGAATATTTTCATTTTTAATACCTTTGCAAATTTGCTTTCAGAATGGAGAGCTGCCACGGCGGCACAAAGCTGAGCCATTGGATGAAGGTGATTGGGAAAGTTGTTCAACATGGTCACAACATGCTGCGGCAAATCAGCTCTAGATGCCCACTCTTGTGAAAGTGATTTCACCTGTGGTGAAACCACCAAAGTTAGTACGAGTTTAACATATTGTAATATTGTAACCAATTTTTGTGCTTAATGAGGTATGAATATTAACCTGAGCCTCCGTTGGTATATCTCCAGTTGCTAGAAGCCAGAAGAGACCTTCGGGTAGGGGTTCTTGTCCACCAGGCCCCTTAGGAAGTAATTTTTGACACTCTGGGATAGAATACCCGCGGAACCGAATTCCTTCTTCAGGGTCTAAAACCGATGTTTCACAGACCAAACCCTTGATGCCTCTCATCCCACCGTAAGCCTGCATTATTCATTAGCATATTACTTGCAATGTTAGACATCATATAATCAATAACCATGAAAATGTGAGTGTACCATATCAACAGTAACTTCTCCAATGACAGTTGACCCATGCTCCTTCCTAAAGTTCTTAACATTGTCCTGCTCAATGGGCACTTTTTGTTTGAGAACATCTTTCAAACTCGTGCTTTCAAATCGGCATGGGACAGTGATGGCCGCTCCAAATTTCTATAAGAAATTACGATAGCACAATCACACACGAACTACGGGAGTATCACGCATTCACACTTATTTAATGTGTATTGATATTGAATATAATTTAAGCAACACGAGTGAGGCGTCATGCTTTCATTCACACTGCATGGGAATTCACAAGTTGAAGGCATGTATTGGCATGCAATTCATTTCATAATGGTGTGGAATTGCAGTAATAAATCTTTTGCTACATCACTTCACTAATGTCCTTGATAACGACTGTTCCAATTATACACACATTTAATGAATGAAATGGCATAACGCGACCTCGACCTCCATCTCTTGCATAAGATAAAATTTTATAGTAAATTCATCACACTGTCAAAAGTTACGACAATTATCCCGGTAAAATAATTTTATAAAAAAATAACGAAAAATTCGAAAAGACAATAAATCTTATGTTACATGACTTAAAAAGTTGCAATGAATGCGGATTGCTGTGTAGTTTTGTAATTAAAAAGAAAGTAAATACCTGAGCTTGGGCTGCTTGAAAATGGACGCCGGAGGCTCTTGAAAGGAGAGCACGAATAATGGCCATGGCGAACTTATGTAATCGACGGAAGATGAAAGCAACTAGAAAATCGCACTAATCTCCAGATGAAAGGACTGCAACACATAATTAACAGTAGTTTTATTTTCTACTCCCAATTTCCCTAATAACTTATAAATTGGAAGTCGGTCGATAGGTATCGAGTACGCTAAGAAAGCAACTTTGAGCAAGCACGATTCTTCGGCATGTTTTAAATGAATACTATATTTCTTGTAATTACTCATTTAGTCAGACACGTAAACATTAAGAATTTGACACTTGGTCGTGAGTTCATATTATTTCAAATAAATCTAATCTGATCGTTCCATTTTTAATTATTTATGGTTTGTGACAGTTTGTGTTATGCAATTAAATTTCTACCCGTATTTGTAATTCATTTAAAATCAATCATTATTTTACGCTTGAAATATACAAATCATAAATCGAAAAGCAAATTTTCTCCCTACTGCATCTTCTCGAACCGAGTTATAGTTTATTGATTGAGTAGGTCTTATTTTAATTAAAATTTGAATCGGAAAATCTGGTTGTAGTAAATAAGAACGGATTGTTATTAACATTGAATACAGGACCACGTTTGTTAATTTAGATTTATGATGAATGGCTTGATGATATATCCAACTCGATCTGTGCTTACCTGGATTCCCACGTCCTGTCCCAAGAGTGAAAATGAGTGAAGTGGATGGGAAAAGACCGAAAAATCGGGGATGCTGGAGGGCAGAGAGTGAGAGTTAATTTCGTGGCAGAGGCCGGATTGGATTTGTTGGCACGAGTCTCCGTCACCAGACCAGCACCATCAAGGTGTTCCTCTCAGCCGCGAGCCAGTCGTCTCAATTTTCTCTCCGCTTTATTCCTATGCAGACTGCTTTCTCCAGTTTCTCCTCATTTTCTGACGCCCTGGCTAAAGCACCTCCAACTATCCAATACTTTATGAATTTCTGTTCAATATGTTTACTCTAAGAATAGATGAGGGCATTAATATATATTAAAGTATAGCTATTGGGTGGTTAATGACCATGGTGCATGCATATTCTGTTTACTCATTTTTCAAAATGGACAAATTATGTAATACTAGCTAGTACAATTTAGAATGTCTGAATTTACTCTGCTCTTCTGGTTTATAAAATACAAGTGATAGAAAGATAACAAAAGGCAAGTTAAACTAAAGAATACTATACACTTTCCGTAAAATTTCAGTACTCTAAAACCATTTGCTCTTCATTGCCCTGAATTTTTCAACACTGATGCTAATTGTATTAGATATATCATCAGCAGTCTTGGTTTGGCCATAGTAATCCACAAATTCACCATCAGGATTGATTAGATAAATTATGATTGTATGGTCCACCTGAGGATTATATAGGACATGTATTAATAAAAGTATTGTTTAGCTGTAATAATAAAATGAATGGTCTTACAATATAATCGTTTTGTTCATCTCTCGGCCCAGCACTAAAATAAACTCGGTAAGCTTTGCATGCTTTTTGAACTTGTTCTACTGAACCCGTCAGTCCAATAATTTTTGGGGAAAATTCATGAACATATTTTCGAACAGCTTCTACCGTATCTCGTTCGGGATCCACCGAGATAAACAATGGTACAATAGGTATTTCGTTTTTCGGCGATTCCTCTGAAATATTATTTACATGCTATAATTAGAGCACCGTATACGACCCTCAAAAAATAATGTGAATGTATAAAATTACGTATTATGTCAACAACTTTTGCAAGTTTTTCCATTTCTTCAGGACAAATATCAGGACAATGTGTAAATCCAAAATAAATCAACACCCATTTGCCTAAAAAGTCTTCACTCTTGCATGCCTTTCCATTGTGATCGACGAGGTCAAAACGTCCACCAATTGATGCTTTACCTAAAGCCTTTTTCCTCTCTTTAGCAATTGCTACATATTTTAATCAATTAATTGATATTTTAATCAAAGATACGTGACATGAGTATTATAGCAAATGGTTCAATTTTGCTCCTTCACATACCCAACTCTTTCTCATGTTTCAAATACATCATGAAACCCAACATTAATCCACCTATGGCTGCGGCCATCCCAACGCTGCGCCATGTGATTGGACTAAATCGGTCATTTTTTGACTTGGTAGGTACTTCCTCGGGTCGCTGATTCTGTCCTCCTGTAGCAGTACTGTATCTACTGCTAATTACAGTGGTCAGATAGTTTGATTGAGGACTAAAATACAAAATCAAAATTTGTATAAAAAATAATATGCACAAACTTGTTCAGAATAAACTTCTCAATTTCTCATAATAAATCTTTGCAAACCGTGACAAATTCAGTCTACAATAAGCTTGGTGTGAGAAATTCCTAGAGTTTTCCAGATGTCCCCTATTCAACATTATATTTGCTCCAATGGATTGACGAGTCGACATAAATGCAGTTGTTGCCTGACCCACTACCCACCGAAATCGGCATCCCATCATTCTAATTTCTAATTCTGAAAAAAAATCAATAGTTATTATGATGCAATACAAAGTGTTTTACATTTAAACAACACATTTAGGACCAATCATGCAGATAAATGAGTTAAATAGAAATTAAATTGATAACCTGCAGTGGACTAGAATTTCCGGACCTGGAGTACTGACGACCAATGGTCTGAACACTACCCGGCACGGAAAATTTCCAAATGATGAGATCGGAATAGAAATAATTCGCGCTCTGCACCAGCTGCGAAAGTGTGCAATCTGTCGAGGTGTCACAAATAAAGAAGTCATTGACAAAACATGCAAAACTTTGCAAAACAGTTTCTTCAAATTGTGATAAAAACATTCAAAATTCAAAATTGACCGCACCCAGACTTGCAAACAATTTAGTAATATCAACATTAATGTACACCTTATCTTCAAATTTGTCCCGGCATAACTCATTTTAAAATTGTATAGTTGTCGTGCATTTGTTTGACAATCATTTCCACAATTTCTTAGAAAAAGGATGAGCCGTGGTGGGGCCGTTGAGATTAGTTTCGACGTAGACGACGATGATACTAATGCGACGAGTGAGCTGGAGGAATATCTGCTCGAGCAGCAAAAGCGGCCCAACGGGGTTTCCGGTTTCTTTTCTAACGTTGGCTCGGGGATTCAAAGGATTCTTCCCCGGAAGATTGGGGGGACGACGGGCAGTATTCAGGATGACATCGCCCTTAGGTTCGGAAGCCTTTTTGGCTCCACGACCTCTCTCGACTCTTCAGCCCCCTCACAACCCCCACCAACGTCAAGCGGATGGTTCACTTTGGTATGCTATGATTCTCATAATTCTCATAAGTTGAATGAGACAAAATTTTAAAACCTACATGCATTCTTAATTTTAGTCGAGAAAAGAGAGGATCATAGGATTTTTTGTCCTCCTTGGACTTGGGATACTCTTCTTCACATTATCCAGCTTATATATTCCGGTGCTCATCTTTGCCGCAAGGTAAGAATTACTAAGAATTGTTAATTACTTACAATGTAGCAACTACCACAGTGGCAGAAACAATTTTCAATTTGTGTCCCGTTGTTTGTCACAAACCTACACCACATCATTACGTTGTTCCCAAGTAAAATGGTTGAGCTCCTGAACCTGTTAATTTTCTCTCTGTTTTGATTATTACTTTGTGTTTTGCAGGAAGTTTAGCATATTCTTCACATTAGGAAGCCTCTTTACATTCGCAAGGTATATACATTTATTTTGTGTTGTGTTATCGTCAGATCGATGGTGGAATTGCCGGCTAAGGAGAAATGCGATTATTTTTTGTGTGGTTTTACTTGCAGTTTATCAGTTTTATGGGGGTTTACGTCCTTTATAAAACACCTTGTTTCGCCGGAACGTTTGCCATTTACCGGAATGTACCTGGGTTCTCTTATCGCTACACTATACTTCGCTATCGGGCTTCAAAGTTACGTGCTGACCATTGTTGGGATAATTCTTCAAATCGTGTCACTCTTGTCCTTTATTGTGTCTTATCTACCTGGGGGTGTGAGTGGGATCAAGTATTTGGTGCAAATGATAACTTCTAGTGTGGGGAGGAGTCTGCCAATTTAATTATTAGTCTACCCTTGGATATGTAAATACAAACTGTATATTTTTTAATCTATAAAATAGTTTTTACTCATTAATTAATGACTTATTGATGGTGCATTAATTATATTTATGTTTGAGCTGCTACGGCATAATACTAGTTTTCCAATAAATAAACTTTTATATTGCTCAATTTAGTTTATTCATTTTTGGAACAACTAACTACACATATGTACGAGGACAAAGTTATAATATAATCACTAGTTTCATTTACTGCAAACTGAAGCTAATTTATAGTAATCTGAATTTAAAGGCACGAAAAAATGGAATCGCTGGACAGATTGTCGAAATCAATCTCAGTAAAAATTGATATAATTTCCGTAATTCAATATTGCAATGAATATCACCAACAAGGTTATTACTTTAGTTTTAGTTCTCGATTATGCACAAATACATATATGCATATTAACATTCAGTATCGAAAAACACGGCATATCGACTAAGGATAAGATAATTTATAGTAGTTGCTAAAAGTTGTCTAGCATCGTTGGAAGTGGAGGTGCAAATGGCGACAAGTGAGAAAAGTGCTATGATATAGTATCAGAAGTACTACCTCAACCTCATGACAAAAAACTATACAAAATTCTTACGAAAAAATCAAATATTTATACGACTCTTATTAACAGATTTCTCACTTATCTCCATTTACGCCTTCAACGATGGCAAATGGTTAATTGCTAGCCCTCAAGAGTTTAACAAAATTCAGCATCTATAAATATGCGTTGTGTGAGAATTAGATGAAGAGTAAATGGTGATAAATCCTACAACAGATTATTGAGGTGCACAACTGCATGCATATGCAAATACCCTTACAATACATACCTAGTTATTTCTTACAATCATTTCAATGACCACATAAAGATCCCGTGAAGAGCTTGAAGAAATTTTGTCTCAAATTCAACTCGTCCTAATTCCAAAAATGTCTTAGAATCTAAGCACGCCAGATAGTCCAACTTATTGCTGTCCGCACAACTGACAGGGACGAGCACTATCAGGTGAAAAAATGATGGCAAGTAATTAATTTGTGAAATGTGTAGGAGATATGAGGCTGGTTGACCTACCCACTCCGTCATCCTCGTCCGAGTCGAACGCCATTTTCGGAATGAATGACGGCTCACCTAACAAAAAAATGATGTGCCACTGAGTTTGGAATAACCTCAATTAATCGAAATAGTGAATTATTAACTATTAAGTACATACCACAATATTCATTTTCTCCCACTTTGAACAAATCGGCTTTACCCGTTTCCATATTTATTTTACAGATCTAAATGAAACGGTGTTGGAAATTGTGTGAAATTAATCGAAAATTAGATGAGCATAATTTTTAACTTACTGAATTTTTGAACGAGCTCTCTCCATACATTCCAGACGCGTAAAAGTATTTATACGGTTTCCCTGCGAATCTGGCATTTATCACTGGCAATTCTAGTCCAGGTTCAGCAATTTGTTGCGGTTTTAATACAATTGCATCACCGGATTTGATGGCAGTGGCAGTTACATCAGGAATCGTCACTAGATTTTCTCCTTCGGTCACATCCTGAATTAATTGTAATTAAGGACATGAGTGGCGCATCCATAAGAGATCCAGATATATTATATTTTATTTATTTATTGGGATAACAATTGCAGTTCTTTTGTCATTAGTATTTGCATAAAAGCATTGACATCTTTGTAAATTCATGCAAATTAAATCATTTGTGAAGAATTTTGTTGATACTCTTGCATTGCATTGTCTACCCAAATTTGCCCTATTATACAATGTCAATGTTAAAGTAGTAGATTTTCCATTAAAAATAATGCGCTTAATAATGTAAACACCATTTATGATAGGATGAGTATGACTGACATTAATTATTGTAATTGACAAAGTAATCTTATTTCCTATAAGAAAATTATTAAGAGGAATGAATGGATGCCAAAATCCCAAGGCAAGTTGACACTTTTATGTATACCACATAACTCGTGTTCCTTTGTTGTACGTAATATGTAACAATAACTGAATGAAGACGACATTAGTAAAGTGGAATGTAATTAGCCATTTGCTAATTTAGTAAGATAATTCTTCTTCTACTACTTCTGACAAAAATCTCTGCTCGAAGGATTTCAAGTATTAATATGTGGATTGATATCGCATCACGACGCAACCACAAAAGTGTTTCAAGCCTAGACTACCTCACTTACATACGTGGCACTCATTTCCACACGGATAACCACTATTTTCTTAAAGGTAGAAAAAGGTGAAAAGACATACAGAATCAAGATCTAATGTTGCGTTATGTGAGTCAGTACAACGCATCTTCTTTTTGCGTCTTCTTTTTGGTATCATTATATCGCATCTCATTACTCGCTCTTACATTTATAAATATGTTCCTCTTCCTATCACAATAATAATAGTAATTTATCTCCAGTACTTTTATTTATGGTTGCAAGTACTAATAAAGAGGGAAAAGTTAATCATAGTTCAATATGATACTCCAATACACACATGATAACAAGGAAATCGCAATCTATTCAGTGTCAACTAGAACATTAAATCCAATACATTACGTGTAGAATATATTTTTATTTTTATAAATTTATATTTCACGAACAATTGCAAATGACAATTTGTGCCATTTGTGCATGAATGTGTACTTGAAGTATATCAATAAACTCCTTACCACAACATAATGGATCAAGGGGATGACGAATCGGTAAGTTTGAGGTGGATCCGCAGAGCTGAACTGGTTCTGTCGAAGATTTGACATGTTGAATTTATCCAGAATATTTGCATTCGGATATCCAATCAAGTCAACGACAACCTGTAATGAATTAAAATTCTTGTGTAATTGACAATACGTTGCCCAACAATTTCAGAAATAAACATGTTCAACCACCATTAAATCCCATGCATTATTATTTCGGCTTCATCTTACACCATACGTACATATTAATTACACATTAACGTGACATTAGCATCAATGGTTGGAAATTGAGTCATGGATCACAAAATCCTATTATGCTTTTACTTGTTGACGTCTTGATTACAAGTTTATATCGATTGCGTCTAAAACATTCGACGCTGTTGAACAATATATAAATACATATATGCACAGAAGATGCAATTATTCGCAATTTAGAGACAAAGTTGTAAAACAAATCTATAAAGTCAACAATTGACTTTTGTAATATGGGAGATGACTACTACATACTTGCAAAAAAAGGTTTGGTTCATCTTGTCAACGGTGACCCCATCAAGGCACGCTCGTGATGAATTGTAAGTCACGCAGTACAAGTGAATAAGTGAGTTTCCACAATTTTGCGTAAAACTAAATCGTATAAAATTATTGGCGAAATAAAACGAATGCTTAATAAGCAGTATGAATCTCATCTTTATTTCTTTCTTTCAATCTCTCTTTATGTGTATGTACATTCGCTTTTGTGAAGACCTCTCTTTTGCAGAGTGTTCGTGGCAAGCAAGCAAGCAATACAAATAAATAAGATGTAATTAATTAATATTGGCAACGTCAGGTTTTTCCATTCTCAATTTTGAACAATAATCTGAAATTCGTACACATATATGTAAATCCAACTACATATGCATGCGAATGATGAGTAAGTAGCCATGCACTGCATTATTGCTCACAATTAGAATAATTAACACGCTCACTATCTCTAAAGTCAAGGTTTTTATGGAATACTGTTACAACATGGACGAAATCATGCGGCAGGCGAAATTATTAATCTGATGTATATGTGAATAAAATCAAACTATGGCATTCGCAATTGTTCAATTGTATCTGACTAAATAGTCGACTTATCTGACTCGTCGCTAGCTTAAACTCGTCCATTATGATGAATGTAGTGGGAGGAGGAGACTTACTACAAGTCCGCTCGGCATATTTTCGTGTTAAACAATAATAAGTTGTCAATAAATAAATAAAGAGAATCATAACGTTCTTAGAATTAAGTCACACCAATGTAATTGAAATACTGCACTCAAGTTTCCAATTTAGTATAATTTAATTTTAATTATTTTTGTTGCATAAATTTGTCCCATCTCGTAATTGATTTTCATTCACACGCTACAAAATCCCACATGCAAACATAAATACATGTCTAAGGACAAAGTTGACTATTATGTTTCTTGTCGATATTTGGAGGCACTACCAATAACATCAATAAATGGCCACACTGATTATACACTGACTAACTGACAATGGGTCTCGTCATTAAAATCAAGTTTCGAAGGAGGCAGCAATTACTTAGAGTTCGTGCCTGACAAATACATAAAAACAACACCGAAGACGACACTAATTCCATTTATTACACAAACTTGCTTTTGCTGCACCCCGATTATGTTCTACTATTTTTATGTTTACCTTGCAGATGGAATCTCAACCTAATCATAATAATGACAATGAAATTTATGTTGCAATCAGACGGACCCCGACGGACTCTAAAGGCTTTTTCTTAATTTTTATTACACTTTGCCTCACCGCTTGTCATTCATATCATTTTATTAAAATATTGAAATTGAATAGCAAGAAGTTATACACAATAAAAGTGAAAAGATGGGAATGGAAATAGATAAAACATGCGATAACGCAGAAAATATAACTTTAATTACATTACAGCGCGTGTTCGCAGACTCTTATGAATTTTACCGACTACCTGAAAACCATAGAGTTGGATAATACTGAAAACTTATGATGAACTTCCATTGCAGATATTTCATGAATCATCGCTGGCTACAATACATATCATTCTGTTACAAAACTAAAAGCAAAAGGATGACACACTTGGTGAAACTTATTAACAGAAAGAAACAGACGAAAATATTAAATCAATCGTGAATGAATGCATGCATATCGTTACGAATGAAATGCAATACTGTAGTGGGAGGCGAATTATTACCTCACATTTTAACTAAAACGAGAAAACTCATTAAATATTGCTCATTAATTTGCAATCTTCAAAATTAATTTTCCAAGTTTCAAAGATTTGGTAAAATGCAAAAGTATTTTTTGGCAATAAAATAAATGGTATGTATTGGTTCGTTAATTAATAAACGAGTCTTTGTTTTGTCTCTCATTTCTATTAAATATCTATTAAATATATAAATATGTATATGTACCCTACGTACTGTTAATGCAACTCAATTTATTAACGCGACACACATTGATGATTTAAATTAGTTGAAATTACCAATTGAGATCGTGAGGTCAATTGTGAGAATGTGTAAACATTCCATGAATGTTAATAACTGGCTGAATTCTAGTATTGTAGGACATATCGTGGATGATTATGAGATTATTTACCTATGGACATCTCTATCAGAGGTCACAAGCTGTAGTTTCAATTGGGATGTTATGTTATGAGACACATGTATGCCACTAATAACACAGACATTAAAACACCAAAAGTTTGTACTTACTTTCTTGATATTTTCTAAATGGCCGCATTTGTTCACACGTAACGAGCTCTTAATATCTGCCTATTTTGGAACTTTGGTATTAGACGCTTTTGATGACCAAAACATATATTTATGGCAATAGGCAAAATGATGCGATGATGAATTTGATGATATGAAGATGGACCAACGGAAGGAGTTTGCCTCAGCCTCAAACCACAACGTTTGTTCTATTGTCGACATTTGCATATTATTTATCTTCAATTGCCGTTCTCATCGTCTTAAGCGTTGTGCGTTCATTTTATGGACTTGAATTTTATCACCTCAATGAATCACCAGATGCAACTTAAAAATTATTTAGCTGCAAAACTGCTAACGAAATGAAGTTCACACAAGTATATCTGAGATTGTGGAATGCATGAAAAACTAATAAATACTAACAATAAGTGCAGTTGTTGAATTCCATCAACGGCAGCGATCTCGATTAGTTCAAGGGCAAAATTTTACCCCAAATTATTGCACGTAATTATTATATAAGCTGAACACGATCCAAGACTTGGATGTTACCCAAAATTATTTAAATATATATATACGTACATTAAAACATGATTCCAAAAATACATAACTTTAATGTGGCATTTTTTATGCACGTATTTCATGCCCGTATTTAATTGTTCTTTGATTATTTTACAGCTTTTATTCTTAACCAGCCAGATTAATAAAATCATAAAAGAGTGTATCCTGGATGAACATTTGTATGCTACTTTCTCGCTCAATCTCTTAATATCTATATTTGTACATATGTATCTCTTACTCATCTTGTCCCGAGTCACAGCAATATATGCAAGTTATATTGTATAACTACATGCACACATGCTTAGGGTATTTTTGAATATGCACAAGTTTTCAATAATTACACTTTTATGCTATTCATACGTAATTATGAAAAATAGCGATGAATGGAATGCAGGAACAACTTGCATTTTTAAAGCAGGCTCATAAAGATATTTACTACAGCACTATGTTCAACTACGTATATCTTATTATGTCTTCCAAAAACGGATGTGCACATACGCAATAAAGTTGTAACAAGAGGATCAGTTGCTTTTCGTATCTTTTAGACAAATCATTTGTCACTTGTTAAATAATTAAGTAACAACAAAGTTTCACGTGTCTCATAACCCAATTGAGATATGAAATTGTCCAAATATTTGTCGATTCACGCTAAATACGTTTACAGGCTCTGACGTCTGGTCTATACTAATTGACACTGTCTTGCAACCCAAAAATTTGTCCCTGATTGAAAGAATAATAAGAAATGCAATATTATTGTACTTGGGAGTTGGGATAATAAGCGGTATTGAACAACGTGGGCAAAAATCATTAAGTATGTACAAGCTGGTAAAACAATAATTATGCATAGATATTCACTTTATAAATATATCAAATCACAAAGTTTGTAATATATGTATATATATTGCAAAGCTACAGTAATTACTTACTGTAATCATGAAATGAATTTGTGCATAATTTTATACCACAAACCAGCCACAATCAAAGCATGCGATTATCAAACACACAATATTTAAGTACATACATATGTACATATGCAGTTTTAATTGCCTGACAGCTATATGTAAAAATATGCAAACTATAGTCGAAAAGGGAATGAATATAGGAATTGAAAATTTCATATTGAAGTACATATTATGAATTATGTATGCTGAGGTGGAGGAAAGGGTGACGAGTTCGATTAAGACAAGCAAGAAGAAGATGATCCCAATAATGGAATACAGTGACTTTTTTTTACTCATCCTTCCCAACGGATGATGATGTTTCTTCTGTGTGTGAAACAAAGTGAGCGTCGTCCTGCTGTCCTACCATTAAAGAAGATGACTATGAATTGGGAATGTGACACCAGTCCCTGGCAGAAGGGACTTGGTTACATAAATACTAACAGTGCCGTGGGTACAAGACCCCTAGCACCACTTGGACTACCTTCGCCAAAAATTCCCCTACTTAAGCGTGGAAAATCTGCAAATTGACCATCAGTCCTTCTTCTAGCTCTCGAGTGAATTCACGGATCACTTCATACCCTCCTCTCATCAAAATGATGAAATACGTAAGAAAGCTTGTTCTGTGGTTGTTTACGATTTGTGAATGTGTGACAAAATTACGAACTCTTGAAACCATAAATGTTCAAAGTTTGAAATTTGTGCGATTTTTTGCTGCGTTTCGTGTTTTTGGAGTGCTCCTGCAATTCAGCTTTGACCAATCAATAAAATGGTATAAAGGAAATTGGATCTTGAAATAACGTAAGTTTATAATAAATTTCAGATCCTCATTGCCTCTTTCCTCGGGTTGGCCTTGGCTCGACCACAACAAAAGAATGAAGAGGTGCGTTTTAATTATCACGACAATAACCACCATCCATAAATGCCAAACATTTTGAACAAGTGGCTTACTTTGTACATTTCTAATATTAAAACCAAAGGTCACCATTTTGAAAAGCGAACACGAAAACCTCGGAGACGGTACTTTCAAATGGTTGTCAGAATTGTCCGACGGTTAGTTTCGAGTTACTACTTGCTCATTATCTTTTTACTTTCTCCGCTTCATTGCCACTACTTACAACACAATCTATTACGTAATGCAGGCAGCAAGCAAGAACAGAGTGGATACTTGAAACCTGCAGATGCTGAGAACCCAGAAGGGTCAGTTTAACATTTGCATATTGCACAAATCTGCATTTTTTTACTCTCACTCAAGAAAATCATTTAACGATGACTGTTATTGACATTGATTTATAGAATTCAAGTTATCCAAGGCTCATACAGCTACTACTCTCCGGAAGGAGAACTCATTGAGCTCACCTATATTGCTGATGTAAGAAATTGTGCATTATTTGACTATCCGATCTAAATTATTGATAATCAACGTCTGTCTCGTTCCATAGGAAAATGGATTCCAGCCCCAAGGCGCTCATCTTCCCACACCTCCACCAATCCCAGAAGGTAAAATTTGTCTAACTTAACCCAACCTTTTAAAATATTAAAAGTTGCATTAAAATCTAAAATTATTATATTTTTTATAAATAAAGCTATCCAGAAGGCTCTTGACATCATCTACAAGAACATCGAGAACAACAAGGCCTAAGTTGTACTTTTACTGTTATCGTTCCTCCTGATGAGACACGCACTGATCCCTCAATTGGATTTTCCAAAAATATCTATTTAAAATCGAGCCTTAAGCTTGTTAATTTGCCCCAAACTACAAACCAAATTCACACACAACCACCCCATAAATAAGCACATAAAACATGCTAATATATATTTTTTTGTACGTTTATCTCCACTGCTTCTGACTCTTCTCAGTGTGCCACAATGCAATAAAAATGTGATGATTTTGTAAATTATTCATTTGAAACGAATCATTTCTATTACGATTATTAAACTATTTCAGCAAAATCCTTTGCATTAATTTCATTTTAATAGAGGTTTACCTCAATTAGGGATGCAAATTGTACAAGGAAATAATAAGCACATGGATGTATGCAACGATAAATATATGGGATCATCATCATCTCCTCAACATGTACATTAGTGCATTACAGAAAGTACACAGAGATCATCTTCTTGAATTCTTCATGCAACAGGGCAGACATGTTGGCTTTGGTGCAGGTAAAATGGTTGAGTAGCCACCCAAGGCCACACCATCAGTGATCATCATGCAACCCAAGGGAACAAATGAGGACAAGTACTAATTGCGATTATGATTAACAAACCTGATCGTCCCGTTCAAAAGCATTACAATGGTGGATGGAAAAAAATGGAAGATCAGAAATGAATCTTGTCTTGATTACGTTCCCCGTTTCCTTTTCGACAACAATGAATCGATTCTGCAAAGAGACATAAATTGATAGGTCATTTTAAAGCATTGTCTAAGGATAAATATCATCAATCAAACTTCTCGTTGCGATGAGAGGTATTTGGATGGCTCACGACCATTACTTCCATCAGACGAGAGTATGACACATCAACGACAAATTATACACAAATAAATGATAACTAATGTGTACCCTAATGCATGCCTTGTCTCCCTTCAAGTCGTCTCAAATTCCAAAGCATTAATTCAAATTGAGCAAATTGAAAGTAAAGAGTGGACTAACTAATCCTAGCTCGCCCACAGGTACCACTTCGTATATACGTACATATTGCATGTATGTATATGCTTGTACCACATCTACCGCTCAACAATGAAATATTCAAACAAAGAGAGACAGACTCATTGAATTACATAATAATAACCATAATGATAGTCATGATATAAATTTACAAAAAGTACAAATTTTTGTCATAGAGTATTTGCTTGTATTGTTGGCTGATGCTGGATTTTATTAATAAAAGAAAATAAAAGAATGGTCATAAATAAGTAAATAATTGAGGAGGATTTACTTTCTCAGAAGGAGTCCATTCAAACGTGTCTCTCAGAGCAAAGTGCTTTATTTGAAGTTGTGCTAATTTCACACAGTTTATTAAAAGAGGTGATTCCATAAAAATGACATAGTTCTCCGTCATAGCAAATGAACTGATGAATGAGAGACAAGTCTTCCACGAGGATTGGATAGTCGCAATAACTTTGGAGCTTTTCAGAGCTGAAATCCAAAGATTAAAGTTATTCAAATATTCAAATTCTAGCATGCTCATTGCAGATAAAAATAAGTTTGATTTCATGAGCAACGTCAATTTCTTAACGCGATTCTTTCTACATTTTTGTTAGTTAATGAACTATTATCTATTTATCAAGCAGTGGGATTGCGATTCGTTTTCATTCTTCGGTGTTTTTATTAACATCTTGATTGCATCTACTTTGGAAATAACTAATATGATTTACCTACATATGTATGTACATATATTTAATAACTATTGACACATACTTAAGTGTGTAACATCTCATACTCCCGGATCCTACACATATTTATAAATACGAGATGTTTCACGTTTGACGAAATGACTAGGCTGTGCCACTACTGCATATGTACCTGCACTGGTGAGTGACCAGTCACAAGACGACATAATAATGGGAGGATAAGTATAGGCTGCGGTAATTTATTGATTAGAGATGAAAGGTTGAAATTAGCAAAATATCTGCCATTTTTCAAACAGGAAAGGAAATGGCTTGAAGTACACGAAACATATTCCGTGTACACTTGTAGTTTTCAATATACACGGTTGTGTGATACGTGCTATTCGTCCTCATCCAACAATGATATTAATAATAACGCAGCTATCTCGTCATCACAGACTTTGGAATATAAAATTGTGTAATCCAATCTGTACTCATCCAAGTTAGGAAGACTAGAGAACCAGGAACTTTTGCTTTACATGCATACATTCATTTTTTGTGTGATTACAATCAGACATCCAAAATCTTAAGCATGCATCTGAATATCTGATTACCGTCTGATGCTTTTCCTGAACCAATGAATGGAATCTTGATTAAATGATATTTACAACCAGTGAGCATTGTTGCCCCAATGTTCCAAGAATTCCCATCCGAGTCTGTAAGAGGATGAGCAGTGGTGAACATCGTTCCAGAAGATTTCATCAAATCATGCTACAAACCACACATTCAAACCACGTGTCATTAAAATTTGTCACCCTCGTGTAGCCAGCGGATGATTAGAAGCAACACTTTGCATCCATGCAAATGAATTAAAATATAATTGTAAGATAATAAGCGTTTAGTTTTAATACTTTCGTTTTAAGCTTTAAGCAAACGTTTGTACATATGAATGTATGCAAAATGGTGTGTTTTCTAATTTAGTATAAATCAGTGTGATGACTCCCACGTAGTCCTCTCTCAGCGTAATAATTGAAAACGTCATTCCCGAAAATTCATAAAATAATCGATAAATTTTGACTATTAAATTCTCTGACGTATTTACTCTTTTGCCATTGATGTATTATTTATTGCTGAGATTTTTACGAACTGACTTTGCAAAAAATACATTCATTCTAAAAATTCTTTAGGAGTTATAATGGAAATATTGACATTATTATGTATTTACCAACCGTCATTCACCACTCAAAGGTCAACTTGTGTGCACAATAACTGTTGACAAATGTTGCAAAAATGACCATGTTGCAATCAATTGAAGTAGAAAAGAGTTTTGGTCATCGGTTAAAAGAATTTATGTCTTTTCATGTCAAAAACCTGGTGCATTGGTCAAGCTAAAGTAAGAATGAATGAATTTACCAGAAGTGAAGAAGAGCATGCATCCTGAATGAATTTGTTGCTTGCACAACACTAAATATTATGTACACGTGAATGTGTATGCATCGTAAGCGTATGCATACTACCTGCGTAAAATACAAGCAAATAGATGAACATTGTGTTAATTTTATAATTTTCGTGTCAAAAATATTTCTGCATTTTGTTACCCATTAGCCATTGAACGTTTGTACATATTTGTACTTGCACCTCACCAATAATTCACTCTTCATTACACGTCTTGAATTACCGCATATCATTTTTCGCCCATGATTTTGGAATCGCTTGCATTGCATATCACGTTGCGCCGTAAATGCACATAGCAGATAGGCATTTATTTGCATTTTTTTAACATTGCACTCCTTGCACTATCAAAAGTTGATGTCACCGATTAGCTAAACGGAAAGATATTTATAATTTCTGTGTCTCGCCGACGTTCTCTGCCTGCAACAAATACCTAAATTTGCCGTGCACTTACTTTTTGTCGTGTCGTGTTGTTACATTACATTCGCAAGTTGTTTGTAGTATTATGTTAGGTGGGATTATGCAAGAAGAGGTTCATAATAGATTAAAAAGGAATAATGCTGGCGTTCGCTGTCTCTGATTTTCAAAAAATTAAACAGAGTCAGCCCCATAAAGGGTTGTCTGCAAGTAATTCGAATATTTTGTCATCACGACATAAAGATAAGATTAACTCTACTACCATTTATATCCAAATTGACATCACCTATACAGATTAACTGCCAACTATAAATATGTGTATATTTTGCTGTTGCTGTCCAATCGTGAGTGGAGAAATTGAATGAAATTGAAGCACGATTAACGTCTCTCTCTCTTCACTGAGGACTAATTTTGCATTGCAAGAGCTTATTGGCGAGGAGGGCTTATAAGCACATTGTAAATTATGAATTATGATTAAGTGTAAATAATTCTCTTTGAATTGTTGTTGACTTTCAGGGTTACATGACGGTTGTTAACTGGTCATTCATGAGAGAATCATGTACTGGTCCTCTCATATATAGTGAAGGCCTACTCTATTTATATCAAAGTATTGCCTGCTGCTAAACCTTTGGAGCTTATGGTTGGACACTAATTTAAAACAATGGTAATCCTATATCGATTTCAGTGCGAAACTTAATATTAGCGACAAAACATGCACGTATCGTCCAAAATTCACAAGAGCTGTGCACTTTTTCTATAAAGTCAGCTTTTGCAAAGCATTATGCAGCTAGCAAGTCATGGAATGATAAATATGCTACATTAATAAGAAATAAGTGCAATAATCTAAAAATTATTGATTACCCGTTCCTTCGTGGCCAAGGAGTCGACGTCAATTGAGTGAACAAAGCACGTCTGAGATGAGATTATCATTTCATCCTCAATGCGATAAATCGCTGCGATATTGTTGTCAGTAAGATCTGTCGGAACCTTCAAGTCACAATGGAAGCATTCAGTTTTGAACAAACAATAATTATTGGCAGTGGACACTGTCGACAGTCAGCACTTGACTCTTCTTTCACTCTGTCAACATGAGTTCATTGCATAAATAATAATAATTATGATTAACTGACAGAGTCTCTAATTTTGAAGAGGATAAAATATTACAAGAGGACATTTTCTTGTGTAGTGTTCTGTCCTTGACCTGGAGTAACTATTTTTAAGTTAAGAATTTGAGATATGAAACTTGCCAATGTCGAAAACATTCGAAAAAGAAAGCCCTTGGTGGTGTCTGGGTAGGCGTGAGTACCAAACTCTGAAAAGCAAAGCAGCATGTTAATGTTGATGCAATTGATGCAATGCACAATTATGGCACAAAAATAAGTCGAATGTTACCTGCAAAGACAGGTCTCTTTACTATTTTAGCCTTCTGATACGATTCCGACTCAATCATCCTCTGACAATATGAGACCTGTCAAAATTTCATAAGAAATCAAATTTATTTCTACTGTAGTTGATCTAGGAGTGGAAAATCTGCTAGAAAAAATTACGAGTCTAAATTTAGACTTCAGGTGAAAAACTAGATAAGTGATCCAAGGCCTTAAATCACATTTAATAAATTAGCCCTGTCCATCAACAACAAAATAATTTGTCTTGCATATTTAAGGTGCATATAGTGCATCAGTGTATTTAATTCATGCAGTTCTATCTCGGCCAGCATCATCAATTTACTAACCAGACGGATTCTGGCTTGGCTAAAAATTCAATTGTGTCTCAATAAATCGGAACATTGAATTGCATCTTCATTTTCAAAGGTTAAAAGTCGCGTTGAAAAGCGTGATAAACAATCATGATTTGAATAATATGGGAAATTATCCAACACTTCATTCACTACGATGAATGAATACGATGACAACGAGCTTAACTAATGTACCCATGCACCTATGTACAAACCATCCTGAGTTTCTGCCCTCGATGTATCCAACTAAAATTGAAAGAGAATCTTTAAATACGAAATGGGAATTTTTAGCCCATTTTATTTTTAAGTCTATCGTTAATTTTGGAGTTCTATTTAGAAAAAGGGAAACAGGAAATCCGAATTTAGGATCACTGAAATTAGACGGAGAGGAAAGTTTATAAAATTGGAATCTCGAAAATAGCCTCAGCCAAAGAAGTCTAATTCCGTCAACTTATAAATACGTGTTCCCAAAGTGTGCACTGCGGAGGAAACGAAAATACAGTACTCAGTGCTTATGATCCAAAATTAAAGTGAGCTTATTTGGTTTCGCTGTTGCTGTGAGCCAGACTTATTTTAAAACGCTAAACGCTAAACTCATCCTCACTTTTACCTTACATCCTGAGCTGCACTCACACTTGTTTGCAAAAATAGCCTTTCAAAAATAGCCGATGCACTCGAAGCTAAATACAGTTCAAAATTTCTAGCTTAAAAATACTTTCCCCATTCCAGCCTAATTTTGATCACTTATTCAGGCCCCAAAAATAGCCGTTCACTTTTAGATTGAAGAGAGAACTTCTTGTAAATTTAAACTGGTCCTAAAACAGAAATCTATTTTAAATTTTTATCTCTCTTGTAAACACAAAGCCAAAACGCAAATAGAATTCCTAAAATATCCAACATTTCTTGAGACACTGACTTTTTGGCTTTAGCTTATTATCCGATCCTAAAATTAACCATGCCTGCATCCGTTTCCGTTAAAAATTATTATCCTATATATGCTCTCATTATTAGATAAAAGAGAAGAGTGTGAACTTTGTGTTGTTTATTGGACATTATTTACACAGATTTCAATATAAATTGTGATTTTTATGCATAATTAAGATTAGTCAAACGACCCAAGCTATTTACCTTTCCATTTTTTATGTCAAACTTGGATACCATTGCGAACCCGTCAAAATAGTTGGCCATGCTAAAGTCTTCACCAGAATCTAGCCAATTTCCAGGGCCAATTCTCAATAGCTTTCCTTCCAGCCATGTCGGAATTATACCTAAAACGACATTTACATTTTTCATAAGACTTTAACTTCAAGTTATCTATCATTTTTGCTGCTCCAGTTCTTGTTAACAACATTTATCACGTTTTTATGTGCGTATATATAACAAATGCATACCTTTGACACTACCCTCAACCGGAATGATTTGCTCTTGTCGAGTTGTGAAAAGATTAGAAATTTGCGTCATTTTGACTTTTGTTTTTAGGAATTAGTCACTACTACACGTGCATGATTTGTGTACTACACCCACTCTTGCATGCCAAGGTCAGCACACCACTTGTTTTAGCAAATGCTGGCAAGAAGAGAGAAAGTAGTGGAGAAAGTCGGGTGTGGATTCGGATTGAGGCACATAGCATCGGACTCGACGAATAGCAGAGAAAGTGCTCCTCAGCTACACTACTGCAGTCTGTCAGTATTGAGAAATAATCAATAGAACGTTCAAGTTCTATCATCGTATCATTTCCGCATCTACATGAGCACAATTTTCCACTTTCTCCATCTCAATGCATTTTAATCACGGTGGGTAATGCTTGTTTACACCAGTTAAATAAAGGTGCAGTGGTACAATACTGCTTATTATTATGCACATGTTTGCGTAAATCTAGGTAGCGTCATTAGTAATTTTTATTATGTGTGTGAAAGAAATGTACAATGCCATCAGGAACGAGGTCGTAAGGGTAACAATATTGCGATACTACATCTATCCGAGCAAAACTTTACGCATTCGATATTCATCTGAATCTGAGTCGCTGGCCTCAAATGCTGGAGATCTGTGATCACTGCATTTTACGGAACATAAGTATTCGAGAAGTGGAACTCGGTATTTTCCACAGAAGTCGACAAACTAGAAATTTAAATTAATTAAATTATTTAAATCATTTCAAATTATTTGATTTATTCTTTAAACTTACTTTAATGTGTTCCACTCGAGTGTCAAAGAATACTCCTGAAATAAATCAAAGTAAAAAATTATAGACTTATTTATATATGTAAGATGAATTGCAGGATTGAAATACAACTATTTTTTGTTGATGCGTACCTTTGCATCGAGGATTTACACATTGATGTGCACAACGGAGATAGTCAATTAAATTTTGGGGTAAATCTGAATGTTGGTATGGAACTTTCTTCAGTTTAATTGTTCTTCCTGCTAGTTCCATGAGGGATGGGGGGTCGTATACCATGTCCCGTACAAATTTATGTACTAGAGGGTTATCCCGCAAACTTAGCTAAATTAGTAATAAAATACGTCAATTTCCTCCCTTGGTTTAAATTCACATATTTTAAAAGTCAATAAACTACATCTTTTGCTTACCTCCATGAGATTACGTAGTTTAATAAGCTCCACAGGAAGAGCTCTAAATACGTGGGTGTAAGAAAGTCAAATTAAATGAATACCTAAAGCGTCGTTTAAATTATGCAAGTTTAAACCATGAGCTTGTGATCTAGACAAATTCTCTCGAGCCCTTTTGACTATATGAAATATTTATTTTCCACCAATACCCTTTCACGCTTTTAAAAAGTCGTACTATATAAAGCGGTTTGGTATTACAGTAAAGTATTTTGGACACTTATTACTATAGGCTACAATAAATACTATAATCAATAAGATTGTCAGAACACAACAAAAAATGATAATTTCAAGAAAGATTATGTCATTTCTTCCACTTCACCGGTGAGTTGGTGGCGTTTGAGAGGGGAACACGGTTCGCATTCCTCTTTTCAGAATTTGCACGCAGCAACAAAGCTCGTTCTCGCTTCATCGCCACCAACTAATTATTCAAATACAGTTCAACGATTACAACGAATCCAATACAAATTACTTATGTTAGAGTTGAAAAGAAGGAGAGTTGACTTACCTTTTTTTTGGTCTCATTGTGAGCTTCTTTCTCATCCTCCAACTCCTTGAGCAACTCTTCTTCACGAAGGGAGGCCTGATGCAGCTCTTCCTCCAATTTGCAAATTTTTGAAGTCCCTTCTTCAATCTTTGCCCTGAGAATCGGGTCGCCCAGTGGTCGATCGCCTTCTTCTACTTCGTCTATAAAGACTAGTTCACGGTCCCCAACAACCAACGAGTTCTTCAACTTTTCCACTGCTTCGATGATGATGACGAGTTGATCTTCTTCAAAATACGTGAGAGCTTCTGGGGGCATCAACGTGTCCACGCACACTTTTTGAAGAATGTTGCGAACTAACCACTTCCCGTTCGAACTGCACAAAGTTCCTTGAAAAGGTGGATGGGGACGACTCTTGTTTCCTCACACATAACCTCATATCCTTCTGGGAGGAGGACCCTCGACGAGCAAGCCTTCTTCAGCATTGTGGTGTTGTGACGCCCGGCACTCTTCATTGCATTCTTGTTTCTCTGGGCGGCAAGAACCCCGTCTCCATAAGTAGTTTTACTTATACTCAGACCGATCGTGTTGTCCTTCATCCAAATTTTGAGTGTTACATTGTGTAATCCGCCATTACTCTCTGCAAACACCAATAAAAAGGAGTTAAATATATCTGGAACCGTATATATTTTATAACGTGTTTGTACCATAATAATCTTCATGTTTAAATGCTCTCGGAACAATTTTGCAACCGTCACCTTCTGCGTAAACGTGTGTTGGAATGGCGACGTGTCCTCTCCTTGTATGCTGTTGCATCGACAGCTGATTAGTCACCACGAATCTGCAAGTTATGCACGTCGCAACAAATTCACCACCAATAGTCTCTACGTCGAAATCTTTGTACGAGTTGTTCGGCCTAGTCATTGAGTCTATATAACACAAAAATATAGATAACGATTATTGTAGTAATTTATAAATTAGATAAACATTAGCTAATCATTACTTTTAATCAGGCTGGATCCGGGATGTTGTCCCCTCATGTGCCGAAGGACATCAGAATTTCTAAAGTTATTCAAAGTATGTTTAGGTTAATCAAACACTCAATAATACGAAATTACATGAATAATGAGAGACAAACCTTTTAAACTTTACCCCACATACTACACACACAAACTTTCTCTCATCGGAGTGGGTCAACTGATGACTTTTCAGATCACACGGTGCGACAAACGTTTTGCTGCACTTGTCACAAGCTAATTCCTTAATCTCCAAGTGTCTTTTTCGATGAATGTCAAGATCATAAAAACTCGTAAAACGTTCCTCACACATGTCACACCCATATCGATTTTGTTTTTTTGCCACTTTGAAAGCTTCACTTTTGGCTGCCACTCTTTTTCGCAGCTTCTTGAAAATGGGTGCCATGTCCAACTTTTAAGTAATACTAATTTCACTAATTTATTCACGTTCAGAGTGTGGGCGGGGAGAATTACGTTTGTTTACTTTTACGAGTGGTAGTGGAATTAATTCACACCGGAGTGAGTGAGATCAATCATTGATCATCAATGATCAGTGAGCTCCCACTCCGGTGGGATTCTAACGCGACGAATAAAAACGTTTATTACTATTACGCAGACACAGTCAACCGTGGCCATTCGATAATTTTGCTTTCTACAATTCTTGAAATGGACGAATTGTCTTAAACCAGGTTTCTTACCGTCGTCCTACATGCATTCATATGTATATTACTTTTACGATTAGTTACATAGATTGTACTACAACAGTGTATGTAAACTTATTATTCATAAGATACGTGTGCATACTCCTCGGGAGGATATAGTGTTAAGTAATTAATAGCATAATATGTATGCGATATATCGAGATAACGTCTAATTCACCAGTGAATAATTTTATCCTGCATGTGAATTAAAAGCAGTAATACATAATTTCAATTCACCTCAATTGATTACGGTGGAGCAATAAGGATTTGAGTTGTTTCAGGGTCGAAATACTTTTTGGGAGACTTTCAATACGATTATCGCACAAGACCATAACTCGCAAATTTTTTAACTCTCCAATTTCGTAGGGTAACTCTGTAATTATATTGCCTCCCAAATATAACACTTCTAATTTTCTCATTAAAGAAATGTCCTTTGTGATGTATTCCTGAATAAAATAAAAATAATTGACTTATGTATTTTACGTTATAAATTATTATCATTGATGCATTAAATCTACGACTTACGATACGGTTGGCTCCCAAGTGTAAAATTTGAATAGACGGAAGTTCCAAAATTTCATAAGGAATTCTAGTCAGCCGATTTCCACTTAAATTAAGTTCCTTTAATCTGACTAAGCATTTTAAGTGTTTTGGGAAACTATTCTCATCAAGCAGATTATTTCGGGCGATAAGCGTGACCAAATTATGGCAAAGTGTGAGGGAGTCAGAAAAATCAGAGATTTGATTGCTTGATAAGTCCAACAACCGCAAATTCTTGTATCGAGAAATAGCATCCGGAATTTCAAGAATGGAATTATTTGTGGCTAAGATAGACTCGACAGAGTCAAACACGGCGTCAGGTTGATTAGACAAGGCCTCGCAAAATCCAATGGAATCCAATCCTGTGTACGAAAAGTCAAGAATAGTTGGGCCAGGGCTAACTTGACTGGGATCGAATAAGTTATCTTCGTTGGAAACAACGTCAACGACCAATTGTTCCATATTGTTAGACTGTGACGATGTAGATAATGGGTTGGAAGAACCAATTTGAGAAACGGGTAGAGCTTCTGCCATAATGACTCTGGAGAGTTAAGAATTATTAAGCACTTAGAAATTTAGTGCCCATAAACTCAATAGTTGGGATATTTTTGGCAAATATCAATACCTTTTATCTTTGGTAAACTGTTTGAAAACAAATAAATATTGCTCAAATATCAGCTCGCCGTCCTCACCACCAGACCAAAACGAAGCCTCGATCAAAAAGACTCTACGCAAATGTGTTGGAGGTACAGTTCCAGTTGTTGCATTCAAACAATTGGGGCTTATAATTGATGGGTCTCGTCTACGCTCAACGTTACATCATTCAATATTGGGATGTTTAGCATTGGTGGAATGATCCAGTCCAATAACTTGCGATATTAAATATGCTATATGCTTTACGTTGATGTATTAGTTTAGCGTGACCAATTCGTTAACTGTTGAACAAATTTGCAATTAAAGGCAAATAAATAAGTTGTATTGCTGTTGGGGCTCGTCTCGTGGTTGAAAAGTATCAACTAAACAGAAGGATCCAGCCAGAAAATGGCAGTTTTCATTCATTTCTTCATCTGTAAAGCATATGTGTGTAAAGTTTTGAAGAAGTATAAGACTCTTGATGTCATGTCACGATGCTCGAGGCAACCAAGTCAAGTGTGTATATTGCATGAAGGGTAGTATATATGCATCCTTTATTGCTTATTATTTGGTCTACATATACGTCAACAAGAAGACACAGAGGATATTGTGCGATGTATGACGAGGAACTACTTTTTTGTGAAACTACTTTTCACTTCATACCAATCTTCTTGTACTGACACAGGGTGGACACGATTTAACCACGTGAACTGAACGTGATCAAGTATGACATGAATGCCTCGTTAATCAATAGCGTTGCATGGTTATCGATGAAATGATAAGTTGTTACACGCCTCTCTCAATTCTCAGATGACGGTGAATATGCTCTTATCGTTATTGGACCGACCCTCGCTCGCTGGCATAATAAATGAATCTTGAACTTTGATTCTCAATTTTCATGAGAATATGCGATTTAAGAAATAGAATAAAGAATGCATGTCAAAAATGAATTAATTGATATTTATATATTTGCATCCACTTTTGTAAAGATAGCAAAACTTTTTTTGGTCCGTTATGTTTGGGTGATTTTTCCCAAAAATATTTTCAGACATTAAAAGATTGCAAGTGATGACGTTAATTATGTATTGACTAATATTTATTTAGTTGTTCTATATTTCGAGTAAACAAGTAGTGTAGATGACATGCAATTCATTAAAAATAAATTATTAATTAATAAAACTATAAATTTAACCCCCACTAGGTCATACATTTCAGAATATATAATCTGTTCCGCATAATCAAATCATCGTTTAAATACCTTGTGACTAATTTAATTCAGAGCCAAATTAATCTTGTTAATTAACTACGCAGCCTGTATTAAGCTGTATTGAGCATACTGGTACATATACCCCTCATATGTATCTCTGGTATGAATGAATTTTAAATGCAACACATTAATGTAATGTGATAATCAAGGCGGTGAACAATTATTGTAGTTATGGAGAGAAGTATACCAGGTGCTGACAGGTGACATTATTTTTTCGAAAAATTGAACTTTTTAAGAGTTTGGGAAACTCAGATTATTCAGTGGTGGCGATGCGTTGGTAGGTAACTGGAAATGGTAACAAATATGAAATTCTGAGAGGGAATGATTTCTTGACCTCAGCCACATTTTTCAAAATTTTTAGAAATCAACGAAATCCACCTGGATTAAAAATTCATCACAGAACTGATGACCGAAGTTGAAAAACCTACTCCAAGCAACTTTGCGGGGCCTTTTAAGACGGCATTATTACATAAAAGCCAGACTCTAATGAACATACCCCGGACAAATATTTTTTTATCCTACCCTACTCATGTTGAGCTCAACACGAGTAGGGTAGGATAAAAAAATATTTTTCCGGGGTATGCTAATGAACGATTGGCATATAATTTTTAGCCCGGACTAGGGCTTATGTAATCGACCTGTCCGTCTGTCTGTCTTTCCATAACTCTCGAAGGAGTAGGCTGAATTTTACCAAATTTGATACAGACATGCATCTGGGCATCGACCGAGTTCGAAGATGGGTTAGTGTTTCTCACGGGTCGGGTTCTTGCAAATCCGAAACCCGAACCCGAACCCGATGCCACTGATCCGAAACTTGAGGGCAACCCGAACCCGAAGAACCCGAAACCCGTTTGCAACGATCCGAACACGAACTGGCGGATCAAATCCGAAACCCGAACCCGAAAAACCCGAATATATTATAACTTTAAGGGGTGACTGGCTTTTTAGCTAAAAATTCTTTGGAAGGTTTCAAACAAACAATACTTCTGTAAATATGACCGAGGAATTATAATTAAGCACATTTCTGCATAAGTACATAACTCTTAATTCCTTGACCATAATAATGCAATCTCAAAAAATCGACCATGAATAATGGCTTTCCGTGACATTCAGAAATTTTTAAATCAGTTGAAAACTGAAAATGATTTTCAGTTTCAAGTTTCCAATATTAAAGTAAGCTCAAGCTAAATATTTTGCAAATTTTTGATAAAAAATATATTTTATTTTAATATTCAAACCATAACACTAATTGAAGACACTTGTGAAAAGAAGTTACGACAATTAAAAATTTTAATTATTTAATGAATTACTGCAGCATAACCGTCGTAGCAAGTTTGGTTAACACTTTATTTTCTTTTTTAATGTTTTCGTGTTCGTTGTGGCAAAAAGTTCTTGTTGGTTCGGGTTTCGGGTTCTTAGTCGGAACCCGAACCCGACCCGAACCCGAAATTTTGGGATCACATTTCTCGGACCCGAACCCGAACCCGAAAGTTTCGGGTTCAAAAATTTCGTATCCGAAGCAGGACCCAAACCCGATCCGAACCCGAAACCCGAAGTAAGAACCCGAACCCGTGAGAAACACTCGATCAAAAAACATTTAGACCAATGAGTGGTACCCTGGACACGACTATCACCTCGAAAGTATCCCTTGTTAGCTAACTTTTAATTTCAAATTCTTTGATGAGAAGCCACTAATTGTAAGTATTACCGTGCCGGATTTCATGTTTTTAACGCAATTTCTAAAAATAGATATGGATAACCGCATCAGATATAAATTTTACCAATTTCATTTCATATTGTTCCATTAAGACCCATTTGCAACCTCTCTCCCAAATTTCACTTCGATATGACGATTTTGAAAAATCAGTATGGGTCACCCCATAGGGTCCATCAAGATTAAAATTTTTCCAACCTAAATTCATTTTTGTCTGTTACAATCCACTAGCAACCTTTGTTCCAAATTTCAACTACCTACTACAAATTTTAGAAATCCGTCGGGTCACCCTATCGGGTCTCCCAGGTTTAAAATTTCTGAAACTCCACTCCAATTTAAACGCTTTGAGGTCAGTCGCAATCTTCATACTAAAATTACTTAAAATTATTACTATAGATATTTCTCAAGCTACAAATATTTTACTTACACTTAAATAATTTAACCTGCTCTAAAGGTTCTTGGTAGTTAAGGGCAACGCATTTGGATGGAAATGACCCCCACCGGCCAATTACTTGACCGATCATGCCCATCTCCGAACTCATCCTTACTTTTGACCCGAAGATGAAGTGTGCAAAATTTCAAGTCGATAGCTTTTGTTTAAAGAGAGTTATCGTGCGTACAGACGGACGCACAGACGGACGGACAGACAGACATCTTGGTAAATCTATAAGGCCATCTTAAAAGGCCTAAAAAATGGTGTGGGTGGACCGTTGCTAACAATGTAACAATTGTAAGTTCGAAGAAGATCGGAATGGCCCCCTAAAGGGCAAATCCGGGTCAAGTGCCCACACCACACTTAATGGGGTGTCAATCAATCAGTCTAGATCATACGATCAATTTGATATATTATAGAATTTTGTGACATAAGAATTGGCTGTGAAATTCCTGAAAACCTACTCCAAGCAACTTTGCGGGGCCTTTTAAGATGGCATTAATGCCATCATGAAGTAGTGAGATTAACTATCAAGCTACCATCTTGGTAGTTAATGGCAACACATTTGGGTGGAAATGACCCCCACCGGCCAACCACTTGACCGATCATGCCCATCTCCGAACTCATCCTTACTTTTTACCCGAAGATGAAGCATGCAAAATTTCAACTCGATAGCTTTGGTTTAAAGAGAGTTATCGTGCGCACAGACGGACGGACAGACAGACATCTGGGTAAATCTATAAGGCCATCTTAAAAGGCCTAAAAACTGATATTTTGGAGATATTTTCAAAATATTTCCTCTCAGGATTTCATATTTGTTACCATTTCCAGTGACCTGCCAACGCATCGCAACCACTCAAAAATCTGAGTTTCCCAAACTCTTAAAAAGTTCAATTTTTCGAAAAAATAATGTCACCTGTCAGCACCTGGTATACTTCTCTCCATAACTACAATAATTGTTCACCGCCTTGGTGATAATTTAATAAAAACCGACTTAAAAAGTTCGGGAAGAAGAAGTAAAAGTCCATCAGAATGTAACATAATGGGATGGGAAGCAGTTTCTCATTTTCTTGTCGGGTAGGAATTGTCCGTGGACACATTGCGGTATTTGGTTGTCGAAAACAGCTCGACTAACCTCAGTCATAGTTTTTGCGTCGATGAATAAAAGAAAGTCTTTTCCATTGTCCCGACCGTCGGACACTGCCGAGAGAATGATCCCTTCGTCATCCTCGGTGGCATTTGGCGAGGGGAGGAATTCTGGCTCACCCAGAAAAAAATATGGTTCTTCCCTCCAAAGAATTGTTTCCTTTGTCTCGGTGTCAACTCGACAAAGCTATTACACATATTATATTATGTAAAAACAAGATATTTTCCACACATTTAGTACATTGTTATATTGACTTAAAAAGTCAGAAAATTTGCCACTTACGGCATTTGCGTAGAATCCGTTGCAACAAGTACCACTTCCATAAACGTATCTGTGCTTCTTAAAATGTTTTATGGGGCTGACGTTAGGACCCTCAAATCCCGGTGCTCCAATTTCCTCACGTGATAACACAATATGGTCGCCTTCACGGATCGCGTTTGCACTCGTGTAGGTAAGAGTGCTCAAATATTCTCCTTTGTCGACATCCTATGCAAGGAATGTTAATGTAATACTGAGATTTGTAATAAATCTTTGAAAAATGAGGGATATGTATTGATCAGCACCTTAACATTTTTTATAATTGGGATAACAAATCTGGTCAATCTGCAGACGTCCGCCCCATCCAGCTCCCTCTTTCGTAGTCTTCCCATCATCATGGTATCAAAAATGGAGGAGTCAGGATAAGCGTCAACATCAATGACGATGTGGCCATCATCTTCATAAGAGTTGGCTAAATGGAAAAAGAAGAATGGGATGGCAGAGTAAATTTTGGTTTTGAAGACTTCACCAGTCCTCTTGTCAACAATATGAAATCGGTTCTAGGCAAATAAATGTACATAATCATGCATTAAACCGTAAAGTCATCAGTGTAGAAAATCATATTTTTAGCTCGCTATCCACCTTTTCACTCGGGCTCCACTCTAGAATATCAACTATTGCTTTGGCCTTAAGTTTTACATCCGCCAGTTTGACAAAATTGATTAAAAGTGGTTGTTCTATCATCACAACTAATAAGAAAAAAACACAAAATTAATAGCAGTATATAAATGATTGTTAAAAACACTATACGAATTACTGTAATTTTCAGTCATAGCAAAGCTGTGATAATAACTGAAGCATGTATTCCAAGACGGGTAGATTGTAGCAAAATTTGTCGTTTTCTTTAGAGCTTTAGTAAAGAAAATAAAGTCATCATTAAACAAATCAATCTGCATTATACAAATAATTTGAAGAAGTATTTATTGAATAACTTAAACAAGTCATACGCACCATCTTTAGCATTTCCTGTGCCTACATTTGGGACTTTGCTATTAAATTATAAACAAAAATATGATTTATATATTTTCAAAGATCATAAATTTTTAGTATCATATTTGGCACCTAAGATGCATATGTAATGCCTAATATTCACTGCAGCAAGTGCATCAATTTTTTCAGCATTTTATCATATTTAATATTTAAGACATTTATAAATTAAGTCACGTTATGGGTCTGTCCAAAATACTTATCAAACAATGCATCGTTTGGCCAATGTACACATTTTCAACTTCACAAGAATTGTTCAAATCCCACACTGAGATTCAATTTTTGTAGAGATTTTAATCTGTATACACATATTAAGAAACATTGCAGTAGATTGTTTGTGATATATAATTTTTCTGCAGTGAGATTACTTATGTGTGCATTTTTGCATCTTTGGTCTGTGAGTTGGCTTGATGAAAATATTTTTTTTGTAAATAATTGCTATTTAGTTTGTGAACGAATTAACAACAAATAATTATACAGCTATGGTCAAATGCTGAGGTTTGTCATGTCATATCACTGCATAGATTCTACAACACCTGAGCCGTACTTACATAATTTGGTATTTACAGCCAGTGGTAAAACTAGTTGCAATATTATAGAGATCCCCAATGGCGTCACGTTGTGGGTGTGAACAAGCCATGTGAACCCCAAAGAGTTTGTAAAAGTCAAACTGTAAGAACGCTTGATTAAAGTATGCATATTTCATAGATTTTTTACAACCAATAATCGTCGTCGACATACTCTGTCTCCAGTCTCCAAATTGTTCTTTTTAAAATTATGAATATGGCAAGACTCTGAGGCTGCAAAGAGTTCTCCTTCCACAGAGAAAAGGTTCAGGCTATCGTTATCCGTGATCCCTTTCGAGCTCTGTGCAGAATTAGGATTACTTTTGATTAGTTTTTTTTAAGTTGTTTAATTGTGGGTCAGATTGTTCGTCCCAATTTTTGTCGATATATGTAAGCGTATTAGATCAGTCTAAAACCGTCCAATGTACGTCGTAACTGCACTGAGAATTTTTTTGTGGTACATTTTAATGACCATGGGCGTGTTTCTCTACCGGCATGTTTAGAAAGTACTTATGCATATGTACATATGTAGACATGCAATCACTAAACTACTCAAACTACTCTTAAATCTACAGGATAGATTTTTTAAATATGTACTTTCAATCCTGTCCGTCGAGGGCTTAACACCATGTTAGGAAATCAATACGTGAAAGTTGAGTTACTATTCAGTCTTTCATTTGCATTATGCAACGTTTGAATTTCAGTTTTCGTCATCCAGTTTCATTAATACCCCATTGATCGTCCAATCATGTCGTGTAATGTTGAAAATTTTTAATAACACAGCAGGGATTTCAACCTCATTTAGCTTTCGTAATGTCGTATTTACCGTCTCAAGAGTCACATACATGGAGTTGTCGATTTATTGGGTCAGTCGTTCTCGCATATTATATTTGAAACTCACAAATGCGTTGACCACTTGTGAAAAAAATCCTTTCGAGATGTGGGATGGTGTTGCGAATTCTGCGAATACTGGCTTTTTTGCTGCAATTGCTTTTCTATAAGCTTCGGATTGTAAAAATTTCTTCTGGTATAGCACCTGAAATAGTTAAATAGTTTACAATAACTGTGCTAGAAAAGTTCTGAACATTTATATCACAATGAAATAGCTACGCATCGCAACGAACCTACAAAAGGTTTGCAAAATGTCTTACCTTTCCATCCCTGATGTCGAATTTGGTGAACATCGAATAACCGTCTAGAAAATGATTTACTGTTATTTCTCCGATATCCCATAGTGCAGGGCCTATCCGTATATAGCTACCATTAACCCAACTTGGTATCGGTGCTGAAAAGCAGTAAATCAAAAAAATTGTATGTACAGGAAATGCATATCTTGAAGATAGCAGGCATATTTTATAGTCACTTTTATGTATGCAGATAAATAGCTAGTTTGGGTGCAGTACCAATCTGTAAAACTGCGATATTATTGTATGTTCATGAGCAGAATATTAAGATACTTGTCATATGTACTAATCTAAATCATTTTTAATATCTTTACAGCTATTCAATTCATTGCCCAATACCATATATACAAAAACCATACTATTGGCCACTTATCGATTATTAGTTGCAACTGGGATAATAACTAATTTAACGTCATCTGCTCCTGTTCCCAATCCGATTGATGTTTTGATTGGTCGAAACTTTTAATTGTTGAAGTGATAATTTCAATGAGCCAATCAAAAAATCGGATTGGGAGTAGAACATGATGATGACGTGAAGTATGGGCGAAGCTTAAGTCACTAATTATAATGAATAAACAGTAATACACATGTTGAGGCATCAAAATCATATGCATCTATTCTAAAATACTATGTAATACATAATGCAAAGTATTTGTTATTATTTACACAAACGTGTCCTTGAATAATTGAGTGTAATGCTATGTAGCAGAACGATGCATAACAAAGCGATTTTCCTAAGTTGTACATTTCATACAACTTCATAAAAATATTCAATGGGTCATAACCTACAAATTCACTTTTGTCGTTCCTTGAGCACGAGGGTTTGTTGATTTAATTTGCATAATACATACACGTAATTATTCCTGTGCGAAGTCTTTCATTTTTAAAATGGAACTAAAAAATAACACAGACAAATAAACACGGATACTTCTGTGCATAATTTAATGGGTAATATTATATAAGGATCAGATAACAACAGTATATGTTCCTGAGGAATAATTTTCTACTAGACTTCTTGAATTTTGTCTACTTGTAATTGGGTTAAAATAACTGTAAACGATTTTTTGCAAAAAGTAAGCATGGTATGAAAATACTGATAAAATGCACTTCTAAAAAATGTATTTACTTGCCCCTTGTACTTTAAAAATTAATAAAACCAGCCAATACTCTACAAATTACACGTGAACCTGTTCAAATATTCAAGTTAAAGTTTATTAACAAGGCATTACAAAATTAAGGAATCGAACGAGTAGAATTTGGTGCATTGACACCATTTTTATGTGACACTCGTTTGGACAGTGCCCATTCACAAGAATCTGCGTTGTGCCTACTTTTTCATACGCTAGTAAATTTTTATCAACGTAAGATATGGGTATAAAATAGTTATCATTACCAATTATGCAAAACAGTTTGGAAAGAAAACTTTTAAACTAATTACTTACTGAGTTTAAAATACACATAAATTAATTATTAATTAGTTAATTAGTTTTTAGATGCCACATTTTTCAATATTTCATTCATCCACATGGAATTTAATGCACATTTATCCCCAAAATCTTGACATACCTGTGAGTTTAGCAATCTCAGGGGATTCCATATCCTCCTGGTTTCGAAAAATGTTACCAAAGTTCACTTTTGCCATCCTCCTAGCTGACTACAATAGACTTAGAATTTGATATTTTTCACTATATTTAAATCACTGGACCAACTCCAGCCTCACAAAAGTTTCCAACTGCACTAATTTCCGATGTTAAGAGTTGGAACGGAACAAAATTTTTTATCGACGCGAAGAACCAGCAACGCGTTTGACAGTCTGCTATTGTTGAATATGCAACAATGAATCACTGCGTTGGACTTGGTCAACGATGAGTAAGGGAATCTCCACAGCCTCCTGTCCAATCTTTAATCAAGCGAAAGTGGACAAGGTTACGCGTATGCGTGGCACAAATAAAATGTTCACGTATTTAGTTCAACAAGTTGTTCCACTTGGAAAAGGATCCAATTGCTTTGGTGGCACAAATCTACGTTTCCTTCCCCTTCGCTGTTTTACCGAACTATATTTTATTGTGCATCCCTCAAGACGATAACAATAAAACATGCTATTGAATCCATGCGAGAGTCAAATTACGACTGAGAACCCTTTGTATCTTTGCACTACGATTAAATAGTGTCCCCTTTACGCTTGGCGTTAACTGACCCCCGGATTATATTGAACCTGATTAATAATGCAGAGCCGTCGTTGTTTAAGGCACTCGAAGCGAAGGAGATGTATCACAAAATTTTTTACTCAAGCCGGCTCAAAGAATTGCAAAGCTGCTGACGTGGAACAATAAGACAGCTCATACATGCACTTTAAAAGTAATTTGCAGCCATGTATATATCTATATGCTCTGAGATTATGACTAATTGAGATTAAGGCTATTAAATGTTTTTTGAATGGTTTCCTTCGTACTGAAAATTTGAAGGTTGACTTCATCTGCTTTGATTTTGAAATTTGCAAATTGTGCAATATTAATTTGCGAGTGGTGCCAAGATAATACACGTTGGAGTATGTTTTTTATGCTTTAAACTAAGTCTTACCCATTTATGATGTAGGTTAATGTCATCTTATTGTGCCAAACGTATTAGAAATGGTTTGTAAGGGTGTTTTAGTGTTAATTTTTAATTATGAGATATGTAATTATGGATATGAAAACTCCTGAAGTGCATTAAAATTCGTACGGATGAGAAAATTATAATTCTTCCTTTCCTTACGATGATGTAGAATGAATTCCAATCTATATGTATATAATTCCAATCTATATGCAATCTATCGACAGGAATTGAGAATAACCACGTCATAAATAAGCTTGGGATAATATGCAATCAACTGACTGCATAAAATTAATAACCTGACGTGGAAGAACTTCTTTATCTTCATTATGTTCCATTAATTCTCTACCTGGTACTCTCGGAGGAAGTGTACGAATAATATGTAGGTACATATTTGTATATTTGTAATCGATGACCCAACTACTAAATATTAAGCCTGCTTTTGACCAGTCGAGAAGTTTTTTCTCAGCCTCATCCTGGTCCATTTTGAATATAATATTGTTTCTGGGCGAAAACAGAAATATATATTTCGTAAAACTTTTTTCCTCGATTTTTTCGTATTTTTGATTTTGAAGCTTGACGTTTTGTATTTGGTTGCATGTGCTTTGTTCAGACGACTTCCTTGCTTCAGTATAATCGTTATTGTTGGTTTCCGAAGAAGTTCTCTAAAAGTGTTCTCAGCATGATACAGATACATGAAAATACTAATGCAATTTAAACATTTCATAGAATTTGATCCTACAACTGAAATATTAATGCACACATTTCCCCATTTTCCCATATGTGCTTTCTTACATAATTTAATTTGATTTGAACCCAAGCTTATGGGAGAAGATCAAATGTGGCAGTGGATTTGTAATCTACGTGTGTAAATCATGCATAAGTTGTGTGCGTTATGCGACGTTATACTTAAGTAGGTATGGCAAGTAATACGTACTCTTGGTGATTCCTGGGCACTTTGTTAAACTTGCTTGTCGAGTTTATGGCAATTTCGAGGGATAGCTCATTTTTTAAGTCACCTCTTGTCTTGTCAACAAAATCTCTATAAGGAGAAAATTTATTGATGAGTTTAAGCTTAAAATGACAAGATAAAAATGATAACTGTTAATAAAATATGCATTACACAGGTGCAGGCACCCAAATTATACGTACTAGTCATAATTCCGTAGTTGACTTGTCACGCAATATTTATCAGACAATAGCGTATTAATTAATTATGTAGCCCTTGTACCTGGGTATATATTTGCTACATTATATATTAGATATGCTATGTTTGTTAGTAAATAAAACTGTACAAAAATATAATTGCATAGAGTTTTTACCAGAGATGAAAAATTTATTTATTTAACAAACCATTTAAAAACTAAATGCAATTGTAACGCTATTAAAAATACATTTTGTTGAAGCAATTGTTAATCCTCAGTATTTTAATACATAATTAATAAAATTGTGCTCAAGGTCACCTGTCTGAACATGCAGAAAGGCTCAACCCCTATGTCTTACCAAGCAATGACCCAGATGAACGAAAACATTAATTTGTTTGGCATTGACACAAACCGCTTTAGTAGAAATACAATGAATCCCCAATGAGTCACAACAAATTGAAGCGATGCGTTTATTTGGATGCAATATTGGCGTTAAAAACAAAGTGATGTTTAAGGTGAAGGTGGATGTGGTCCCCTATTATTATTTTTGTGGAGATCATCATCACCAAGCACCAAATGTTCGTTCAGAGTTGGGGGGACTGAGGAGTGCAGGGGGACTGTTTTTTTAGCGTCTGACATCCACAGATGCACAACTGCTGCATTTTGGTCATTACGTTTAACGCATGACCTCTCACCATCACATCATGTACTTCTTCGTGCATACATATTTATATGAAGGAATGTATGAAGAAGAGAGTTGCGCAACCTACTATATATGTTAATTCTAATGCTTTCGACAAAAGATACCCCTACACCAGAGATGAGCAACAATAAGCATTCCAATTACGTTTGCTATTTATACTACTATAATTATTTACGCCTGCATGGCTCAGCCAAAATAATTAATAAGAAATGCATGTCACGGCATGGTACTGAAACTTGGACTTTCCATACGTACACAATTTATGCACAAAAGTACGTATGCAATGAGTAAGCAATTAAAATAAGATGACAGACAAAAGTTTGGACTAATTTGGTAAAAATAGTCCGTGCAGTGCAGAGGGTACATTTTCAATTTTGAAGGTAGCTCGAGCAATTTCTGTCATGGTCTTAGCGTCAAGAAATAGAAGATAGTCCTCGTGATTTTCCCTCGAGTCTGTCACGCCAGAAATAAGAATCTGAAATAAATATTTGATCAAAATCCAGGTGATCACTGGAAATAACTGAAATAATAATAAATCGGACACAAAAACAAGTAGAACATGACATACCCCATCATCTTCACTTTCATTATTTGGGTTTGGGACGAAATATGGTTCCCTGTGTAGGACATAAAATTTTATTATCCACTCAAAAATTTACTCGTTTCTATCAGCTATGCAATGATCAATTAGTAAACACTTCTTAAGACAGCTTGAGGTATATTACCCTTTGGACGATTAATAAAACTACATAAGACTATTTACTTTACCCTGGATATAGGTATTCCCCCTCCTTCCACACAGTGGTTTCCCCAGATTGTAAATCAGTCTTGGTTATAGTATGTGAGTAACAACTTCGATTAAATGTCCCTGCAGCGTAAATATATCGATATTTGACCCCTTGGAATAACCTTGAAATTGTGGGCATTTCAATTCCACGCTCTGTGATGTTACATCCTTCCAAAATAATTCTATTCCCTCGACGAATCGCAGAGCATCGAGATTTGGTTTGCACCAACTCCACCCCTTCCTCAATCAATTTTATGTCTGATATTATCGGGATGACGAATCGCTGGATGCATGACAAGTCCACATTGACGTCCGTTTCGCAATCACGTAACTTATTGAGGAATAAAGAGTCTAGCATGTTTGGTGATTCATACGAAATCAGGTCCACAATAATCTGGAAGTCAAAATTGGAAGCGATTTGTGTAAAATAAATGTGTGTACTTATTAAAGCTGACCAGTCGATATGAGTAAAATTCAAAACCTGATTATTGTCTTCGTAGCAATTGACAATGTGCATAAAATAGAACGATTGGGCTGAAAGATACTCCGTCTTGAAAACCTTTAAGCAATTTGAAAATTACTTCAGTAGTTGATGTTACTGTGTAAATGAGTAAAGTTTTCCTGTTTGTCTTTATTACTTACCTTTCCGGATGACTTTTCCACAATAATAAATCGATTCTGCAATAACAATATGACTGGTAAAAATTACTCCCAACAAGGGAATTTAATATCATCGGGTTCTTCTGCTCTGTACCTTTTCTTGAGGACGCCATTCCAAAATGTCTTTGAGAGTGTGACCCTTAACCAGGGAACTCGCAATTTTGGAAACGCTGACCTTATATTAAGAAAGACATTTGAACTACTTATTTTCGCCTATGTCTATGCATATGAATTTAGATGATTTATTACAACATATGGTTGCTCTATATAGCAGCAATAGTTCGGCGTTAATCCGAAGCTGTGATTGATTGATAGCGCTCCCACCCATCGCGATGGAATTGTGCATAGAACGGTCACGTTCTTGAGCATTTCTTTTGAACTGTTGGCCTTTTTCATTTTTATGATACTGTATTTTGAAGAAGGAAATAGCGAGAATCCTGAGTTGTACATATCGCCAGTTGCACTATCGCATAATGGATGCGCGGATTGCCCATTCAAGCCAAACAATTTGTTTCCATCATATTTTTCACAACTGTCCAAGGTTTTCCCATCAACCTTTCTGAAATAAAGATACATTTATGAATATTTTTCTCTGCAATACTTTGAATGAAGTCCAAGTTTGAACTAAAATTAAAAAAAGGACTATCTTACCTGAAGAAACAAGTGTCGCAAGTTGCAAAAATGTCGGAAGAAATGTGAAACAGAGTCGAGTAGTTGTTATCAGTAAATTCTGGGAGCTTAAAACAAACCTAAGTTAGTTAATATTACAGTTGAATGAAATCATTGCGCAACAACAAAATCTCACCAAGGTTGAGACCATTCTTGAAAAGAATCCTTTGTTGGGATCTCTTTGAGCTACTGTGGCGAACTCATTGATCAATGGTCGTCCCGCAGCCACACTTCTCTTGTATGCATCTGACTGCAGATATTTCTTCTCAAACTTGACGAAATCTTTAGTGATTTCAAATCGCTGGAGAAGAGCATCTGTGTAACACATTGAAAATTGACCTTTAGCATTTTGATATGGAAATATGCATAAAGTGATTCATATAATATGTAGTCTCTTACACCCGTCTAACCAATGATTCATTTTAAATTCATGGCCGAAATCTGTAAAAATAAAATCGTTTTAGTAACAATGCGGGTTACGAAGCATAGAATGGAAATTTCAAATAAGATTAATTACTAACCAAATTTTCCAGGCCCTATGCGCAAGAAGCTGCCTTGAATCCATGAAGGTAGTGTTCCTGCAAGGAAATATTATTAACTATTAGTATGCAGAGATTGACTTGGCTTTATCTATATATAGACACGTCAATGCTGGTTGCATAATATTGACTTATTCAATATTTATTAGTATAAGTGCACCCAGAGATTTTACTTTCCGTCCGCACAGTCTCAATCACGGTCGTCCCACAATTAAAAGACATTGCGTTACAAGATTCTCATGACCATTTCCATTTCAATGCGTACAATCGATTAAAGGAACGAATCTATGTAATGCAAGCACAGTTGCTGCAAGGAGATGATAAGATTATCACAATTTTGTGCGTGCAGCATGAAGGAAGGGGAGATAGCTAATCTTAAATCTATCACCCTGAAACCAGAAAAGGCGACTTTGACTCAATGATAGGATGACAAACCCATAGTACAATTCGACTGAGCTAGTCATTTGCTTAATTTTGGAAGCTAGTGAGGGCTTCCCCTTTTCGCGACGTACTGACCAATATTTTAAGAAATTACATCGTTATTAAGCACAAAATTTCCCATAAGTACATATGCAAAACACAGTGTGCAAAATTTCAACTTTTTCAGATAATTTTAAAATCAGGATGGGTCACTCTGTTGGAATCCTTGGTACAAAGTTTCTTAAAATATGTATGTATACTGTATGTTCCTGAATTTGAAATGCATTTGCATCTTCATCTTACAGTTATATGTATCTTACATAATGTATCTATCTGCATCCTCATGTCAAATATTGGGCTTATGTGACGATTTATAAAATTTGGTGCTAAAATTACCCCACCACTGGACTGATCATTGCCACCTTCGGACTACGCCCATGCCTAGGAGACATGCACATTATCAAAGTCATCTCAATGGTTGGTCGCCATTTGAATGCTCTAATAAACAGACGGTCATGGCGATTCCTAAAACCTCTGTGACTTGAAGTCTATGCTTCTCATCTCAATGCAAGGTTGTGATTCATGTCCAAGTAACCATTAAAAGTACTGGACAATTTCTATTTCACACAAGAATAACACGTATAAAAGAACCTATATCGATCGTTGAGTTTCTAAATCGATTGCGATGTGCTCAATAGATTTTGAACAATTTGACAAAAGTACTCAATTACCAATAACTGGTGTTTGTTCCGGTTTCTCCGCAGTCTCCTCAGCACTTGAAAATAGCTTTAGTGGGGCGTCACTTATAACAGGCATGGCGAACACTCAAATATGTGGAGACCAAAAAATTTGTTGATATGAATTTTGTGACTTTAATGAATCACTGGACTTGAGAGAGCGTCCTGCACGATCCACGACCAACGCATGACAAATCAGACGATCCGAGATTTACTCTTTGTGAAGACTGGCTAAACCAACCTTAACCTCCAAAGTTATACTCCCTTGACGAGTGCTGTACAATGGAAAAGAGCGTTTTTTATGGCCATCATGACTATGCATCAGTATTATTACGTAACTGGAGAGCAGTACGACACGTCTTGTGCATTGCGATGACCAACGAGTGTGGAAGTCCAACATGCACACACATTATGCAGTAACACTTGTTGTAAGCCATGGTTTTAATGAAACAAACCAAACTTCCCCAGCCACTAGAAACGCTAGTCACGCTATAGGCTGCATATGTACATATGCGTATGATAAAGGATCAAAATAATTTGTTTTGTCATCATTGTGAATGTACTTAATATGTCTTCAATGTCAAAATAGCATTCATTGGACGTGTGATGCTAAAAAAATGAGCAATGTGGCTCCTTATAATGTTGCTCAATAATTTTTTACATCTAAATTCCTATGTACCAATAACAATTGAAGGTAGTAATATATAATGCTATTTAATGATAGATTCTGGAAAACACTACCCGACTTCAGGTGGTTTTACATATACAATAAGTATTACTTATTGTATATTCTACTTATTAAGTAGAATGGACCTGTATATAATGCATAATTGTTGCCAACATCATCGCGTATCTTCCAAGAACTAGAAATGTTCTGAATAGGAAAACTTGCGAGTGTTTGTATTCAGTTTCAGAAAATTGATCGTGAGAACTTGGGTTGAATTATTTCCCATATTGTTAACTCTATCTTTTTGCCTCTATTTATCGAAACTAAACCAGAAAATACGTAGGTAAGTAAATTATGAAAACACAAGCCTGGACAAATTCTGAATAATGAGTACAACAAAAAACAAAAAATAAAAAAATTGACAAGACCCAACATACCTACAACGAATTTCAGGTTATTACAAGTTAAATGAGGCAAATACAGAGTATGTAAGCCATGTAGGAGTAACAGTATGAACTTGTGCGCTTTCACTGCAATGCATAAAATGAATTTTAGGTACGTATGCATTTATTTAATACACAGTCAGTATAAAATGTCAAGAGAATTTGAATTTATAGATGAGCTTAGAATGATACCAGCAATCTTAGTTGAGCAAGTTCAATGTTAACGTTCATGTTGTTTGCAGTAGCGAAGTTGGTTTGTGGGTGTGACGCCAACTGCCACTCAATAAGATAAACAAATTAATATTCTATGCTGATAAATTTTTGGCAATAAATATAGAACTTTCTCACCCTTGATTCGCCAATACATGATCTCAACTGATTTTAAGTATCAACACAATACGTCATTTTACAATCATTTATATACATTAGAAATAAATCTTTAGTTCACCCCAGTTTTTTCTAATTTATCTTCAACATGTTTGATACTCGAGTCCTCCATCTCTATTTAAACATCAGCACTTAAACTTACCTAAGTATTCATTAGTGGAAGACCAGCCTAGTTAAGCTTCTATTTTTTTATATTTTTTCATGATATTTTTTTATCCACTTTCATGCCAAAGTCGTTTCTCTGGTTGAAAGTAAAAGTTAAATTTCATGTTAAAACTTGTCGAGAACAACTACCTACGTACCTACATATTTGCCGTTGCCGAAAAATCGAGTCGCAGAGCTGAAACAAGTTGGCCTATTGCATTTGTACTACTTTTTCAGCTCTTTCTGATAACCTTATTGGACGGTCAGCCAAATGCAAGCGTGTTGAATGACTCTAAACTTGTGCAAATTAAAATTCAAAGCGTGTAGTCAGTGTCCCCTGAGTTCATTGAGCATTTGATAGCTCAGGTAACACTCGGGCAAAAAAAGTTGGATTGATCAGTTGAATGAGAATCAAGTCACAAATTTAGAAGGCCATAACGGGACTTTAAAAATGCTACTGTTTCAACTTTAGTCTCGTCCCAAAGAATAACATCAGTCTTCCTCTTCAATTAAGTACATATATTTACAATTGTCCCTTTGATGTACATATTTCTTATTTATATGTGCATATGTCTGACTGCGCTCTTGTATATCATGTACTCGTTTCTCCAATGAGTTTTCATTGGAGAAACTTGATTTATGAAGGACCAAGTTTGACAGTTTCGAAAAGTAAGTCAATAAACAATAATATAATTTATGATGTTCGTGATTTGGAACAATTTTAAGTGATTCAATTATTTTACTTCAATCAGATATTAAATGGCAATTAACAAGGCTTGTGTGTCGAATATGAAAATGAATATTGGCATCGTATTGATTGTTTTCTATCTTACTGATCAAGTTTAAGTTTGATGAATAAGGAAAGCTTTCAAGAATTTTGAATTGTAAGTATTGGGGCCAATTTTACACATTTAGTATGACTTGCTGACTGCTGCGCATCCTTTTTTTTAACGATTTTCCATAAATAAACATGTGCAGTACTGATTAAAATGATAAAAATCGATTATGTATAAATAGAATGACCAAAAACCGGAAGAGACAAAATATAAAGTGATTGATAGGTTAAATTTTAATTGCTGTATGCATTATGTCACATCAGATTTATGCGAATCGTCAATAGCTTGTTGTAGAATGTGACGGGAAGTGGTTGTGCGGAAATGAGACAGGAATTCCTAGACAAGAATAAATAAATGAATTAACAACTTCTTCACTGGCGTATTTCAAAATTACCTGCTTTCGGCAATACAATAATTAGTAACGTAAATGTAGTCGGAATAAATTACGCCGTTTTCTTAAAATAATACATAAACAACGGTAAGGGTGCAAAGCAGGAAGTTAAAAAAGTATCTCGCCCATAAATGCGTACCTTTTTCGTTGAGGTTCATATCTCACCTGGTAAAGAATGAATCGACGTGAAACAAGAAATTATCGGATTGCTTTTTATTATATAATGCGAACCATGAATGAAGTAAGTCTTACATATTATCCACTTTGCTTACTGAATTGTAATCAACACAGGAGTGAGTAATGCCCGTTAATTATATGAATCAAGACAATGAAGAGATAAAGGCATTATTTATCTAGTGTAAACTGTAGTAGTTCATGTACATTATAAAATGCATTTATAATGTAAAAGAGTAGATACATATATAGAATTGGCCGCACTTTGATTGTTGTTGCACTTATAAATATATGTACATAAATGATATGTGTATCACCCTTATACATAATTGGCAATTTTGAAAGATATGTTAAAATGAAATAAGAGGACGAACTTTCCCTCAATAAAAGGATAACATATTTGTTCAAGAGATTCAAAGTTTATAGTGATTGGCAAAAGTAACTTTTGCTCAAGTCAGTAACCAATTCAACTTCTGACACGGCCGAGTGCAGACGATGCCACCCAATTAGCTACACCCTTTGAGACACAAAAACTAGTTGTGAAGGGTTTAAAAGTTGTTATTAGACTTACAAAATAATCTGAAATAAAAATGCATTTAAAATTGTGTTTTGTGACCTTCGTTCTCACAGTTATTTTTGTCATTGTGAATTCTTCAAAGCCGACGCCGCCCGCAGTCCGATTTTACTTGTTTCCTGATTCCAAGTACGTGCTCACTTAACTTTATTTTCGGTTTAACTTGAAGGTTGTGTGATCATGTCGTTAAGATGAATTCTAAATATATAGAAATACCGAGTTTTGTCAAGAACTTATACCAGGAGACTCTAAATCATTGTTCAGCTCAAAATACGACAAATGGAAGGTTAGCTAAATACAAAGTTTATCTTTTTGTTTTGATAAGTTTTAAATTTAAATTAAATTCTAGTTCCCAATAATTTTGGTGCACGGGTTTGGGCAGAACCTATCCACGACTTTCCCACAGCTCACAAAAGACGGTGAGTTGTGTTTTAAAAATGAAAAATATACATCAATAACAGAAGTTAAAAAAGCTAATTTTCATGCAAGAAACGCATTGACTTACATTACAAAAAACAGGTTCTGCAATTAACATGACTGCGAGTCTGTTATGGTTATGTAGGGCGTAAGTGTATGCAAATATTTACATTTTTGCAAATACATAGAACACGAGGTTTTAGAAGTCTCAGTTTCTATGAAATGTGACGAAACTAAATCATGAAAATTAGATTATCGCAAAGTCTACGTGTATAGTCTGCATCCCACAGTTTCCTAAAGACGTTTCAGCATTGATTGAATGGTTTTACCTATATTTCAGCCATGCTGAAGAGTTCGGTGCAGGGGAATATCATCGTGGCGGACTGGGGCCGTTTGGACGAGGAGAGCAATCAACGCTCAGGGGACGCAAATGGCGGTGTTCCTCTGAATGCAGATAGCATAGGACGGAAGGTGGCTGGAATGGTAATTAATTACTTTTGATTGTTTTTAGTGAATCAAATATACACGAATGAACTGTCATTACAATACAATTCAATGTATAATTTGGGATTGCTCAGGTGGTGTTTCTAATAAATCACGGTTTATTATCGGACCCTACAAGAGTTCACATTATTGGCTTCAGTCTGGGTGCACAAATTGCGGGTATTGCGGGTCAACATATCAAGCATTATACTGGAAAACCCATTCAACGTGTTACGGGATTAGACCCAGCCGGGCCATTATTTCAGGTAATGAATACAAGGTTATCAAATATACCACCAACGGAGGTTATAAGTTGGACAAAATAATTTTTCAGTTCCGTCGGATAAAAGGGAAACGTCTAGACCACACCGACGCTTACTTTGTCGGTGAGTTTAATGCATATAAGAGTTTTCTTCTTGATGGACACGAAATGGTCAAGCTCCTCTAATGACCCATGATAATTAAACTACAAATTTTTTTTAAATACAGATGTTATACATACAAATCAAGCGCGATATGGCTACATAGGAAATAGTGGACACGTCGATTTGTAAGTTGTCAAGATTAATTCAAGTTATTCCTTAACTCTGTCTCTATCTAACTTCATTTTGTAATAATTACAGCTTCCCTAATGGCGGAGGTATTTCATAACTTAAATAATTTATGAGTTAAAGGACAATGGTTAACGGCAAGATGTTTACAGGTCCGGATCAACCAGGTTGCACATCCCGAAGTGATATCGCTGGGTATCCAGGTTGGTTTCAATTCATATCATCACGTTTTTCAAATACTCGAAAAAGCTGTATAAATTTTAATTTTTCATTAAAAAGGATCTTGTCCTCATCAACGCGCATGGGAGTATTTTACAGAGACGATCCTAGAAAGCAAAATTTGGGCATGTAAAGCCAACTCGTACAAAGAATACAGTTTGCACAGGTCTTCTTGCAAAGACAAAGTTTTATTCGGTCTCAGAGTGCCACCAAGGTACACATCATTTGGTGTTTTATTATTGAATCTTTAACTTTAATCTTTAACTCGATTTCTTGTAATTTTAGTACAAGGGGAAGTTACTTTTTTGACATCCGGCGAAATGATCCAGGTTATGGCTCAGGAATTGGATGGAGTTCATTATTAGGCTCGGCTGAAAAGCCTTGGGATCGTCCGCTTCATTCCCTTTATGACTAAAATACTGTACTCGGTTTTTGATACAAATGCTTCGTGAATGTTTAAGTTTGAGTAATTTAAATAATGAATGATTGTATAGTAAATTAATGGACATAATTTACATTAAAACTTTAGAATCTCATACAAATCGCATATCCAGTTGATTATATGTGCACATAATATTAACCTTTTAAAGTCGGGTTACAATCCACTTGCCAAATAAATGGAACACGACTTTGCTTCCATATTAAAACTGTGCATGTATACAGGTCATGTACTTATTTACTCATTATTTGCTACCACAAATCTCCTACAGTGGAACATACCAAGGAGTTAAGAAATCATCTTAATCATAATCTTTTTTAAGAATCGACACTTATACCAAAATGTGCACAATGCATGACTTTTTCAGTAAAATGAAGGGATTATTTTCAGTAAAATTTACCTTTCGCAAAGTCGTGACGGTATTTGTGACATGACTAAAAAGTGCATTTAAAAAGTTATCCATTTTGGTATATGTATGTATGTATGTACGTGTCTACTTAATTTGTTTGCTACCTTGGTATATTCCCTTGAATAAACCATAAGTGAAATACAAAAGTACCAAAGTTTTAAACAAAAATATTTGTCTAATAAAATAAAATAAAGACGGTTTGCCACTAAAATGAAAAATATAAATTCTGATCACGTAGTGACACCAATAATTTTGAAGCAAGATCATACCGATTTACTCGACTCGAAAATGTTTACTGCATCTTTGTGTTTGATACCTAAAGCAGTCTCATCATCAAATAAAGCTTGGGTCAAAGATGTAAGTAAAACGTTTCCCGATCGCATTTGAAAACTGGCATCAATCACAACCAGTTATTTCTGTTTTTATCAAGCGTCATGTGTGGGAAGACATCCATTTTGAGGCTCCTGCTACTCTTGGTGGCATTTTTAGGCTTCATATCTGGTTCAAAATCGCAAACAACGGTTTTCGATATTCCTGAAGATTCTTCAGGAATTCCTCTCGCAAATGAGGAAGAACTTTCGAACCAGAATGAGTCTGGCCTTCTTTTGTCCAACGATCCTCGTCACGTAGCATTTTACCTCTACCCCAATCCAGAGTAAGCAGTATAATACTTTGTACATATGTAGATTATTTCTACCTTTGGTAATAAATGAACCAATAAATATTCCACTATTCGTGTATTTTAAATAGCAATATTACGGACAATGATGTCATAATGATTGGCAATTCAGAATCCTTATCTACTTCTCGATACGACGCTGCAAAACCTGCATTGTTTATAATACATGGGTATTTTGAATACAGTATATTTTATAATATTTTTACTTTGCATATACATAGATAAATATATATGTATATTTAATACAGATTTTTGAACAACTATACAACACGGTACTCCCAAACAGTAAAAAACGGTATATGTCGATCAACCTGAATCGTGTATGTATTGTGTTTCAACTAGGTCTTATCTATTTTGTTTCATTGTGCGAATTATAGAATTTCTGAAGCAAGGTTTCTCAAAGACTCTTAACATTTTGGTTGTTGATTGGGGAAAGTTAGCAACTCCAGCGAATCTCACGGCGTGGCTATCACAAATTCATGATCCATTGAAAGATCTCTATTACAGGGCTAGCGTTAATAACGTTCCAAAAGTTGGAAAGGTCGTATCTGAATTTATTTCCTTTCTGATATCTGAACAACGCTTAGAGTCTCCTGCAAACGTTACTTTGCTCGGCTTCAGGTACAACCAAATATCTCATAATAACTTATTCCTACTTGGAACTTGGTGAATAATCTTTGAATTATTGTATCGCGTATGAACGAATGCATATGTATACAGCTTGGGAGCTCAAATTTCTGGATATGCTGGGAAGTTTGTGAAACAAAACAACACAATTCTAATTGGAAGAATCACAGGACTTGTTAGTTCTCCGAGTCTAAATTAATTATTTAACGGAGCATTAAAATAATTTCCAACGATAAATACGAAACCAATTTCCAGGACCCAGCTGGCCCCCTTTACCAATCTGCTCCTGCTAATGAAAAATTGAATGCAAACGATGGAACATTTGTTGATATCGTTCATTCCAATCAAGGCAAGATTTATTTTTTATTTTAATTATTATAAAAAAATCAACGTAAAGCTACATATATTGTATATGTCACAGGTCAAGACGGGTATTTTGGGAATACAGGTAGGGTATTCATCACTTCAATTGGAAGTGAAGCTCGAATAATCTAAACTGTGAACTGATAACTCATAAATTTAATCGTAGGAACGGCAGATTTTTATCCAAATGGGGGTCAGCAATTTTGACTTTAATTTCAGTCTAATTACTATTATTACTTGAAATTCCATACTGATTTTAAGGTGGACCAAATCAATCAGACTGTTTGGACATTGGAGTTGAACTAGTCCCCAACACAATTTCAGGTTTGAATTCATTGAGACTCAGATGAACTAAACACAAATACAAATTGTTTCATTTAAATTAAAGGCACCTGTGCACATAATCGAGCTTGGATTTATTATCTCGCTGGTCTCTCAAAAAACATTACGGCATGTGCTTGCATTTCACAAGCTGATCCTATTATTTGCAGAATGTTTTGCAAAAATAAGGTCAGGTTCGGATTCCATTGTCCCCCAACGTAAGGAATTTGCATTAATGTGATCTATAAATGCATGTATGTAGAATCACAGGAGAAAGCCTGACAAATGTATACTATGATTTATTTCTTTAACAGGGCTAGTGGAGGCTACTACTTTGACATATATGCAAAAGACCCATGAATAAATGCTTATAAAGTTTAAATTTCAAATTTGTAATGGTAATTTATAAAGAAGATCTAATAAATATTATTAGTTGGACGGAATAAATATTTCATGCAACGCTCCAGGTATATTAACATGAGAATCAAATTCGACTCTGGCCACTTCTACCATTTTGTTGGCATCGATAAATACTAAAAAATCCTTACTCTGCTTTCTAATATCATAAACTAGCGATACGATGATCCCATCATCTTCATTCTGACTTGACGGGTTGGCAATGAAAATCGGTGGTCCCGGATATGATCCAGTATTTCCTCTCCAGACGCTTCTATGTTGTCTAATGATATCGAATTTCGAAATGGAATGACTGAAAGAATTTTGTGCTATTGTTCCGCTAACGTAGAAATACTGATAGTTTTTAGTAGCAAAATTATGGTTTATACATGACAAACCACATCCTGGTTCAGTTAAAATTTGTGGTGTTAGGATGAGTTTGCTGTCCCCGTATCGTACAGCTTTGGCAGGAGAATTTCCTAGAACATTGCTTCCTTCACGCCCACCTTTAGGAATGGAAAGTGGTATTACAAAGCGGCGGCATGTTGGCTGCGAAACGTTTTCAACAATGTTGTTTCTGAGTTTGGATAGATACATTCCATCCAAAATAGTTGGGTCGTTGAATGCAATTATGTCTGCCACGATCTGAAGGAAAAATACTTTAGTCAAAAGGGTACAACATAAATTACGTGTGAAGCCAATATTTGGATATAAATTTGGAATTCGACCTGGTTGTTACTATTTTCAAAGCAGTTTACAAAATGTAGAAAGAAGAATGGTTCCGACGAGAAATATTCAATCTTTATCACTTTTCCCGTTGCCTTTTCAATAATATGAAATCGATTTTTTTCCTTTGGCCTCCACTCCATCCATTCTTTGGCAGAATATCCTTTGACAAGAGCTTTCGCGATGGCAGACACTGCGGCCACAAACGGCTGTTCAAGAAAAGAGTAAAATGAACCTCCACCAAATTATGGCAGAAATTACTACTCGTGAGATTTATATACCTGCTCGACGAAACAAAAATAGTTTTCACTCATCCCAAAGCTGTGCGTGAATGAAATTCCTGCGTGGAAACTGCTAGGGATCGTACAGAGCACTTTGGCATTTTTGAAAGTTTCTTTGGCGTTTTTCTGACTTGCTGAACTAGGATGAATTTTGACTAGATAAAATTTCAACCCTGATAGGATGGAAAACCCAATGTTGTACATATTTCCTTGCGCATCTGTGAAAAAGATAAATAATTTATAATTAAGGATACTTGCTATGCCATGAAATGGGAAATTGACAACTTCTCAGGAGGAAATGGTAAAGGCTTGGAGTGCAGATTCGAGACAAATGAAAGATTAAGGTTGACCCCGAAGGATTTATCCGATTTTTACATCAAAAAATAAATATTACAGCTACGTTTCTCCGCGTATACGGTACGATAAGCAGCAAAGTCATACAAACTAAGGATTACTACAGTCCACAAACCTGTTAATGGATGTGAAGTCCACCCGTTTAATCCAAAAAGTTTGTTGGAGTCGTAGCGCTCTCCAGACTCCAATGACTTGTGGTCAATCTTTCGAAAGAAACACGCATCATTCGCAGCATACAATTCTTGTTCGAATTCGAAAATGTTGCAATTATTATTGTCACTCATTTCTGGTATCTGAAAAAAAACAGAACTAAAAATTATTATGTGTAACGAAGGGCATGCATATACGTATGTAATTTATGTACCGGCGTGCCCCCAAGGGAGCTTCTTGCTTTTTATGTTAGAAATAACCAAATTATATTACATAGCCACTAAATGGCTTAGGTTACGCAATGCTAATATGACTCACACCTCAGTGCCAATCAGACCATAAAGCGTTACCCAATCTAGTAAGCGATTAAATAAAACTGCAAAGGCAAGTATGGTGCACAATATGAACGTACAATTGTAGACATGAATCTCGACAGAAGGCTTTTTCCTTTCTCTGGATATGCTTTCGTCCCGAATTCGATTACCACAGGTTTTTGTGCTCGGATTGCTCTTTTGTATGAATCTGATTGGAGAAACTTCTTCTGGAATGTCACATAGTCCTTTGATATTTCAAACTTGCTCAAGATAGCATCTGCAATATCAAGAGTAAAATTATTATGCATGCATCCATGATATAAGGTCTGCCATTTCAGTTACACACATCCGTCCAAATAATGGCGCATGGAAAAATTTTCAAAATCAAACAATCCAGGGCCGATCCGGACAACCGATCCAGAAAGCCACTGGGGAAGTTTTCCTGTGAAACATTATGATATTTATTACCAGACCCAGAGACAAAATGGTTCAAGATTTTCGGTGCGTTACCTTCAATGGGAAATTTTTCAGGAACATTTGATTCGTCCGCAGACTGGAACAACTTTGTCAAATCATTTTGAACTTCACACATTTTTCAATATTTTATTATTATTCAGTTAAATTTATGCGGTATCTAATAATCTTTAAGCTATCGTTCTTGCTTGACACTGACGAATTTAATACTTGCACTGGTTGCATATATGTATACGAGATGAGCGAAGGAGGAACTGCGAGCACTATCAAATTATTTAGAATGCTCAGCCTACATATACAAGTATGTACATATACATGAATAAACCACCATTTAAAAAAATCCCATCGCAAAATGATCACAACTGACGCTACCCCTCGCAGTTGTGTTCTTTACAGTGGTGAATTCCTTTGTGAAAAATAGGCAGACCGTGAGCAACCTTAACTTGGACTTACTGCATATATGTACATAATGTCTGTGCATCGTAAATTCTGCATCATATGAAATCTGACGAAGTCCGTCATGAAGCAGGTTTCGTTTGTTGCATTATTTTAATGGCGTGTGGTGTGGAGGGGACGTCCGGGTGCGAATCTAATGTTTTGTGTCACCCACCACCAACACGAAACTGAAACTTTCACTTTCATATTTGAAATTGTGTGCGTTGAGAAATCTACTACGTGCAATTTTAAGTCAAGTAAGGATGGCAAGTTTTCGTTCAGCGTCATTAGCAATACTAAACACTTTCAAAAAGTTCCTTGTAACACTTACGCATTGATTGCATGTCACTCAATTGCAACGAAATATTTGTTTTATTTCTTGGTTAAATTTTGTGAAATTCACTGGATATCTCATTTTTAAACCGCATTAAAGAATGCAAATGTCAATGTAAAATTGGACATGGACTAGTAAACTGATGTATTTAATTCAAATTTTAATGTTGGAGGATGCGATAATACTTATTTTTAAGTGCAAAATGTGAATGTGGTAAATTGAGTGCATATATATAGGTCTGTATGTATTAGCTTCAAATAATTTGGTTTTAATGCATATTTATTTAAACATGTTTCATACGTTATAATACTGAACATCGTTTAAAGTAAAAATAAATACTAAATACAATATTAATTTTTTTATACCTCAGCTTACGTGATTTGGTTCTGAGGGAATAAAGATTCCATGAATTGCTAGCGGGACAAAGTTAATAAATTCGGCTCTAGCAACCTCAGTCATGGTTTTAGAATTGATAAAAATAATGCCACACTTTTCTCCTGGAATTGCTCGGGTCATGCATGTGATAAGGATTCCGTCATCGTCGTCCGTACTTTCAGGAGATGGTACAAAAATCGGCTCTCCCAAAAATTCACCCTCTTTCAATCGAAAGATCATGCTTCTCTTGGTTTCCACATTGAATTTACAAATTGCTGACTTAAATGGTCCTATATTTCTCGGACCTCCTCCGAAAAAGTGAGAATACTTTTTCCCACAAAAGTCTTTGTGAACAGTAGGAACTTCAATTCCTTGCTTGGTAATAGGTTCATAGGTCAGGGTGACACATTTCTTCTCCTTCACGGCAGTCGCAGTGGTTCGCACTTTTTGAATTAGATTTGTTCCTTCCACAAGCTCATTTCCATTCTTATCCTGACAACCGAGTGGAATCACATATCTCCTCCCCTCAGCCAAATCCTCTATATTTCCTTCAAACCCATTCTTAAAGTCCTGCAGACTCAAGTCTATACAGTTTGCATTGGGAAACGCACACAAGTCTACTACGATTTCATTGTCTTCCTCGTAGCAGTTGATAAAATGGAGAAAGAAAAAAGGGTCGGAGGAGACATAGTCAGTCTTCACAACTTTCCCAGTATGCTTATCAATAACGAAGAAACGGTTCCTTATCTCTGGTCGATACTCCATGAAATCCCGATTGCATGACTTGTGTAGAAAGGCTGCCAACACTTTCTGAGTAACGATGACTAATGGTTGTTCAATTAGTAAAATGTAATTGGGTGTTTTACCGAAACTATGGCACGGACTCCTGTAACAATTCAACACCACAAATAAGTAAGCTGGATATTTCTAGACGAACGTAATTGTCAAAAATTTACGAGCAAAAGGTATGAGAACTTGGGACTGTAGTCAATATTTTGGCCTTCTTTAACACATCCTTGGCTGTTTGCCCGTTTTTTGGAATAGGAATCTTCACAACGTTGTATTTTAATCCTGTGTGCACAAATGTGTACACAAATTACACATTAAAACTTCTTTTCGAATTACGCTTGGTTTCATTCACAAATTTAAGTTCACATGTACCTGTGATAAATGAGGTCCCAATATTATAGATAAATCCGTCATCGTCAGGCATTGGATGACAACTAGAATAAGTCAATTGGAAATAAGTTTGGATTATACTTATCCAATTAATAAATACAGAGCGTACCTCCATAAGTTTAATCCAAATAATCTGCTAGTGTCATACTTTTCTCCACATTGTAATGTATTAGGATCTATATGGCGAAAAAAACAGGTGTCCGCTGCAAAATTAATAGTACATCAGTTATTAATTATTATTTGCAGACGTATAAAGCAAATTAACACTTTAATACGCGTTCATTAAATGTACACACAATTTAAATAACTAATTAGATAAATTATGAATATCAGTAGGGAAAGTCATATACCTGCAGCAAAAATATCATGTCCAATACTGAACATACTAACGTTACAATTATCAGATATTTCCTGCAATATTAGAAATACGATCACATGACTCAAATACATACATACATAAGGCACACAAAGGGCACACTAACCGGAATCTGTAATTGGAGTAAAGAAAAAGTTTGAGAAGACGATCGAGTTGCATGATTGTGAACAATGTGTAACTACAGTGCCATGCTTACCAGGGAGGGAATAAATCGGGAAAGCAGACTTTTCGTTGGATCAGATTTCTGCCCTTTTGTCCCCCATTCCGAAAGCACAGGTTTATTCGCAGCTATCGCTTTTTTATAGGCGTCTGTCTCAAGGAATTTCCGATCATACTGGAATGTGAGATTTAACAAGATAGAAATTGGCTTTTCTATTGAGGTGAGTCGGTACAAGAAATATTCTTAATTAGAATACCTTCACAGAATCTTTAGATATCTGAAATCTTGTTAACATGGCATAGCCTAAAGAAAATGAACATTAATTAAATTGATAAATTCACATGGTGTTTTTAGAATCATGAAATAGGATCCATACCGTCCAGAAAGTGGTTGACTGTAAAGTCATCGAAATCAAACCGACCTGGTCCGGTTCTAATTAAGGACGCATTGTGAATCCATGGTGGGAGAACGCCAGTTAATGGAGCTACTTCCGGCTCGTGAATTTCCTCCAGCGTAGGGTACAGAAAATCGTACTGCCCAGCCATTCTGCATCACAGCTTAAATACAATCGAGCAGGTCAGAAATAAATGCTAAACGGAAGTCAGCACGGAATGTTGTTTACCTCTGACCTTATCAACTTACTAATTATTGGTTAATTTCACGGAAACCAGCACAAACCTCTTTGTCCCGACGAATCTTACAAGAGTCGGCAGAACATGAGATCCTTACTAACCTCACCGACAAATGTTACTAATTAATTAAAAGCTCTTAAAGGAGCACAACCAAACGAAACTAACCACGTCAGCCAGGTGTAGCTAAAGGTAATTGACATATGAAGGATGGATGTTCATAATGTAAAAGAACGTATTCTGTTGAGCCTATGGCAAAAAATTAGGTAACATACCTGAGCCTACAATGGTATGTAAACCAACTAACCAACACCAACAAGTTTCTTAAATCTGAAGCAGGTAGTGACTGGTAGTCTCGTTCATTCTTCATCAAGAGAGCAGTTGATATACCTCCACAGTCAGTAATAGCAGTATTCAAGTAATGGCAAGTAGTTTTATTAGTAAACCACGAATTGATGTGAGAACTCTGCCACAATTCGATCTTGAAAACAGCAAAGAAATTCAAGTTCACTATTACTCAAGCGTGCATATGCATATAAAGTCTTGGGAAGAATCAAGAATGCAGGGTAACGGATCTAGGCTATTTTGAGGCATATACAAGCTGTACCTTCAATTACTGTGTACTGAACAAGTCGGATTTAAATCCTACGGTTGGTGCATATTCCTGTATTCTCTTATAAATTTTATGAATTATATTCTGTTGTGTGCTCGGTGTTTTGCGAATGTCGTACCAAAGAGTCAAAATATGATTATTAATATCACAGGTTGGTGTGAAAGTGCAATGAACAAGAGCAACGCGTTGGAGCAATGGATTGCCAATCATATTTATTATTATGTACATATTATACAATAATAAAGTTTGTTGATTTCAAAATTTTGGCTTAATTGGAGTGCCAAATTGAGTGAAGGGCAATAGGGATTTCGGTGTCAAAATAAGTTCTCCTAAATTCTGTCAAATCTCGACCTTCCAGCCAGACCACAAAATCTCTCTCCCCTTTTGTCTCAATGTAATTAATCACTACAAAAACAATTATTCCATCGTCCTGAGCAGTCGAATTTGGGCGACCAATGAAGTTGGGCTATTAATATTTGTATGTATCCACATAAAAAAGAGCTATGTATATTCAAGCTTACAAAATCGGTTCTTCTTTTGTGGAAACCAGTCCATCGTCTCTCTTGGACAAAATCCATTTAGCAGTGACCCTGCAGCCTTTGTCAAGCTGAATTGACAGGGTTGTTCGATCCTGCATAGGGCATCCAGAATCGGTTTTTCCGATTTTGTAAAACAGGTTAGAAACCGGTTTTCGAGCTACCCGAAAACCGGTTTTACAATTTTCTAAAAAAACGGTTTTGTCAAAAACCGGTTTTATCACACTCGAAAACCGGTTTTCGATTTTGGACAAAATTTGTTTCAAAACCACTAAATATTTGTCATATCTTGTTTTTCATGCAAAAATTAATTGTTCTGAAATATTATCTGTCAATTTAATGCCCAAAATTTGCTCAGCTTTAAATTTTACAATATTATATTTAACAAATTTTAAAAATTTGGTAGAAAACCGATTTTGAAAACCGGTTTAAAACCGGTTTTTGGGAAAACCGAAAACCGGTTTTACGAAAATTTCAAAAACCGGTAAAATCGAAAACCGGTTTTACGAAAGTTTGCCAAAATCGGAAAAATCGAAAACCGGTTTCTGAAAATTTTCCGATTCTGGATGCCCTAATCCTGCATGGTTGTTCAATACTGATGTTTACCAAGTCAAAAATTATATAATTAGGTATTTTACCAGATCAGATAGTTTTTCGTCATCCCGAACGAATGAAACCATGAAGGAGACGTTTTGCTGCATGTATGTGAGCCTATGATTTTCATCATAGCCTGATGAAATCAGGCTACATCAGGCTACATCATCAGGCAACCATCATCATGATTTTCATCAGCCTGTTTCATGCTGTCTCGAAGCGCTTTCGAACTACACCCATTAGGAAATTTTAGTATTTTCCACTTTGTAGGGCATAGGCTCATTCCGATGTTGTAAGTTTCTCCAGTTTCTGGGTCTGGGGGGGGGGGGGTAAGACAGTGCAGACTCAACTCCTTTACAGAATCATGTCCTAAATTATCGAGAATAAATATTTTATCAGCGAAATAAATATTTTACCGGATATTTACATTTTTGAAAAGTTGAAAGTGAGGTGAGAGATATTGATAGAGTGGAAGCTCATCATATGTACATATGAACGTATGCGTATAATTTTATCAATAGGTCTTGTACAGTTACAGTATGGGAAAATCTGTAATGTTAGGTCACTCACAACTAATTCGTCAAAAAAACTTGCGCAATAGGGATTACAGTTGACAATTAATTTATATTCAAGCTTCTTGCAAGATCAGCATGCATAACTGGGGAAAGCAACTATTTACCTAAGTAGATATGTATGTGGGTTTCTCCCATTTCCCTGGAGTATGTGGCTATTTACTATGTACATACACAGCCATTGTATAAAAGCACTACTACATTCTATTCTGATTCTGACATTTCATAATGAAGATGAAGCACTCAGACTCGATGGTCATTAATCAATCCTCCCACTCAGGAAATGTACGAATGTTTCTACATTTGACCGCTTAAACTTATGTATTTTCTACAATACATCGATTCAGTCAGACAGACGTGATAGACCAAAACCGATTTAGGGTTACTGGTGAGAAGATAGTCTGGTTTAGTCGCAGAATTTTACTGGGATTTAGAGTTTGTAACTGTATACTTTAGCTAGAAATGCTGACGATTAATAAAATTGAGACAATGGTAATACCCGAGTGATGAAAAATGGAGATGAATACTTGAGATGGATTCCAAGGATTTCGTGTCCAATTCGAACCTGTAAATAACGAAAATTCGTCACAATGTTATTCCATTCATAAATCCGCACCTCATCCCCACATTCTGTGTCAGCCAAAATGATGAAGAATATGCAGAGTTATGTATAAGCATGTATGTACATGTAGCCAGTGTCAGATAGGGCGATTGGATTGCGACATATGTCGGAATTGCAGATGAATGGACAATTGTCTGAAGCCAACGGAATCTGAAGTGTGTAGTATTTAAGTGAAACTTGTTCTATTATTATTCTAGTCATTTCGTGACATTTCGTTAAATGACCAAAGTTTCTTACCACAGAGGACACGACTTTCCCCAATACAGATTTCGAAGAATCAGAACCCGCAGATCTTGTACAATATTCTGGTACAATTGACTTCTGTGCAATTTCTGCTTTCTTGAAACATTCGGTCTGTAGGAACTTGGAAGTGAAGAAAACACTTCCGGATTTTCCTCCCCGTACTTCAAACTTGCAAATCATGATTAAGTCTGTATTTTGGATAGTCCCATCTGTTCATATTGGTTAAATCCTTTAATAATTAAATTTCAAGTTTGAACTCGCGAGATTGATGTCTTATTACTTGGCAGGGCAACTCCGTAATATGCGACCACTCGCCCATTCTGGGATATTTCCAATTATTTGAGAAACCTCAGGTTTCGTGGTTTCCTGTATTGTCTTGAATGCCTTAATCTGCATACCCTTATTCATACTTCAGTAATTGTAGGTTGGAATTAGTAAATTCAGTCTGTGTTGGACCCACTAGATTGATGATAATTATAATTTAAGTCAACAGTGCTCACTGTATCATAAAGTGAAGACGAGTTGAAAAATTAGATATTTCACGCGTTCGCTCCTACAAGATTAGCAAATCAACGTGAAATGTATCTTTAATCGCTATGCAATTGAAACAACAAGTACGTACATAGAAAATTTTCCTACTTCACAAACTTGTAAAGAATAATTTGACATTCCTCAAATCCACGTGATTTTAGTGGGCAATAAAATGTGTGAAAATTTATTTTAAGGCAGATGCTTAAAAATATCTAAACTTGCAGCTCCATTGTAATAAAACAGCTAAAGTCATTTTATGAATCTTTAAACCTGAAAATATTCGTGGATAGTTTAGGAAAATAAGCGTTTTATAACATCTGCATAACAAGAAGAGTTATAAAATTGTAGATACAAAACCCATGTTAAAAATTGCTTTCTCATCCTCAGGGCAGTAATGTGAAGATTAAGCTTCAGTAAATTTTTAAATTGTTCTCTGAAATGAGATATTTACATATTTATGAGCTTCCTTGTGTATTTTTATTCGACTCTGGGTCACAAGGTATCATTTCCTATTCTACATTAACTCTCTGGTCTCTGGAAAAATTATTATTTAATACTTTCTACATTAGGGTTAAAACATTAATTAAGTGTTTTGTGCATGCTCAGCATTTCTCAACATACATAAGTATGCATACATATCTACTGCGACCAAATTTCTATATTAATACATTTCCCAATTACGCAAAATACTTATGTACTTCATAATTCAATTTGGGGCTTAGTATTTCTACTTCTAGAACATCAAATGAATGCGAATGACTTCAATACAATCTATGAATCAGTCGGAAGTGATTCGTTCTTGGAGCTAATAAGTATGTGATTGATGAAAATAATTAATCTTATCAGAACTCATGGAGAAGATTACCGTGAAATTTGAACACAAATTAATTAAGAGACCGTAACTTTCAGGCCTTTCATCCAGAAGGGTATAAGGAGCAGAGGGGTTATGTATTATAATTATTGATGAATAGGCGCAGTGCAATTGACAAATTCTCAGAAACTGGGGGACCAAATTACTTTCAGAATGAATTGGTTTCTAGAATCTGAAACTTCTACTGATGGATACTCAATGTGTACATGATTGAAACCTAATGTGTGACACCGGAATATAACATATTATGTTGTATTCCGGTTATTTTCACATTAAATGTGAAAATTTTGTTTCAATAAATTGCCAAAAGGTAGAATTTTACGAGAGCATGGTATGGTCACGGTTTTATTGCTTGTGGAGACAAGGTAGAGATAACGGGTATCATTATATGCATATCATTACAACTTTATGCATCCACGGAACCAATCATTCTTGGGCTCTGTGACCGTTGAGCTGCATGGTTGCAGATAATAGAGTCATATGCTTATGATGGAGAAAGAGGAACGAGTAGAAATATACATATTGACACCGGGAAAGGAAAGACAGCTAGATATCGCACCAGCCTTGTGAAAATAGTGAAAGTGGTATGTGTCTTGGTGACCTTTTGCATTTACTGCTTGACTGTTAACTTGAATAATGTTAGCTCTAGTTTTGAATGAAATTTAATATTACAGAAGGAAGCTGTAGTTAGGCAGGGGGTGGAGATGACCTTATTGCCCCAGTCCTTTAGGATAAATGGTAGCCAAATCAGGCATTTTTTTGGGGGGGGGGAAGTCGTTGTTGATATGTATATATTAATATTAAGTGCGTAATGTATATATTTTATAGTTTCAAGCTGAGAAAAATGATATAAGCAGAAATTGCGCCTATAGTATGTCTGTATAAAAAGCATGAGAAAAAATAAATAAAAATCAACATATTGGCTCGTGTTGCTTTCTCTCTCAAGATTAATTGTTGCATAGTTTTATGTAGTTTGAAAATCTGGAGAAAAACTTTTCCCGAATTTCCCTAAGACCCAGTAAGAAGTAAATGAAAACAATAAGAGTCGAGCATTACGCAGTTAAACTTGGTTCACACCAACAACCCAAAGTTGTGCATCTGAAAGTCTCGCTTTCACCCAATTCAAAATCGTTTTCCTACAAGAGTGAAGCAATGCAAGAGTTTATAGTTTCACGATAAAAAAGTTGGGTCGCATACTTGTATGTTCACTGTTACTCGTATCTAGTAATATTCCGATTTATCTCTCCCATTTTAGGCAATTTCCCGCAGGACATGCTAAAATGTGCCACGATTAATTGACACCGCTCTACGACGCTGCCCCATAGATTGATAAAGTGTCAAATAATACTGAAACTGTGCCAAATGTATCACTTTCACTGGTTTTCTGTATATATGTAGAAAGTGCTATATATTTTTTTATATCTACGTACATAGAAGTCATCTCCATAACTCGATCCCAATCTCAAGAATAACTTATTGTAAATTTCAGATGGGTCATCAAACAAAGTTGTAAACTTTGTCAAACTACGCCTAAATTCGGAAAATAGAGAAACTTTCAAACCAAATAGCCAAACTGTTGCTGATTGATGGAACACTGCTGTAACTATTAGCCGTCACATTTTCACTAAACTATGTCTTGATGGAATTTTGAAAGTTTTGTAATGTCAAGGGCAAGCAAACAATGGTGAATTTAGTTAATCTTATTTGATGCATACCCAGAATCTCGATTATTGTTATGTAGAAGAATCATGGCATGCTTAACTTTCCCAAATATTCTTAGAAAATGGAACCAGTATAACGTACCGTTTATGTGTAAGATTCAGTTTTTTGTTTAGAATAGGTAGCTATAATAAGTATGTAGACATATTCGAACATTCAGTTTCTACCCAATCGAATCATTTAAATCCCGTATTCTACCACTGAAGGGTTATAGTGCACGCTTGGGATACTATCACATGTCCAAAGGGCATCGAAATCTGTTATTGGGAAGTACGGAAGTTCCCCTCCTTAGTAAATAAATATAATTATTCTACTTTGTACGACATATGTAAGCAGGATAATTATACATGAAAAGCAAAAACACGCAATGGAATGGCGGCAGACATTGAAGGTAAGTCAATTCGGATTCACATCCTCTCCTATACAAATATTTTACGAAACTGAGGAAATCGTGGCCATTGCAAGATTTTCGCCCACGCGTCAGAGTATGCATATGATTCCCTGTAATACGTCAGGTGAGGTTGAGTCACAACTTGTGACTCACAAGAAAGAAAGAACGACCCAGATCCTTCGCTACCATTTCGGATGATCAACTCTCAAGAATCGTGGCCAACAAAAATTGAGCATACGTATGTAACTCCCCCGCGTCCCAAGCAATAGTCATTCTGCTGTTGACTTAGATTACATCCAAATTGAAAATAACCTACAGTACAGACTTCATTTAGCCCGAGCGTGGGACAGAGCCCGCTTCTCAATTTTTGTCTGAATTGACAGAATTACTATTTCCACCCCCGTGGTGGGGATCGTCAAATGTTTATTGAGTATTTTCTACTCTTCAGTATCAATTTTTTTAAGAATTCACAAATCCTTTCACTTGACTACTACCAGGATCAGTGGGGGCTCACTTCTTTAAAAATCTTGGAACTTCAAAAGTTACCACTAAGAAGTCATTTTTAGCCAAATTTTAGTAAAAAAATTTGAAAATTTGAAATTTACAATTTCTAAAAATCGGTATGGGTCCTTCCCCCTAGGGTCTTTCTGCCCCCTAGGGTCCTTCTTGTTACAAATTTTCCCAATTTTACCTCTGAAACTCTCATTATTAATCCGTGTACCAAATTTCAGCTTCCTAGCACTATTTTGAAATTTTGGCGCATAATACCCCACTCACTTCCATGACCCACACAGGTCAGCCGATTGACCGGTGGGGGTGGACTTAACTCCTACTTTGTCTAGCACACATGTGTGCAAAACTTGAACTCGATCAGCCATCGTGTCTCGGACGTATACACATGACGATTCTATAAACCCTGGCTCGGGCTAAAAAGTCATGTGTTCTCGTGGTCAGTGGAAAGGGGGAGTCCGTTTATTTATGAAGGGTTTTATGGCTTGACAAATGTGAGGTGAGGTAATGGATGGAAATCTTCAGTTGGGTTGATGTAAGAGAGAAAGCCAGAGGGACGTTGTGGGAGGGAGATTGATAATGTGTATACGAAGCAGCAGCCTGCGTGTGTCCGACAAGATAGCCTTCATCAATTCTATGGCCCATTTTTGCAGTCCTCCCCTCTCCTGAATAATCCTGATATGCAGAGGCCGAACAGCCAAATAAAATGAATCACTGGGACCCACCACAACACAAAATACTCGTACACATATTTGCAAAATGGTCTGGAATTACTACTGCACGACTACACATTCTATCGCCGAGCTCGAAACCTCTAAAATGTATTTTCCAGTAACGCAAGTCTTCCTGGACCTTGTTTTTCTGGACTGATTTTTGACACAAGCGTTTTGTATCTTTTCTTCAAATTTATTTTAAAAATTGAAGAAAACCTGCATACAAATAACGCTTGAATTGTAAACTGTGAGAGACATGGGATGGTTCCCTGGGCACTACTTAAGTAACAATAGCAGCACATTTGACAGTTGGCTAAGTATGCACGTTGGGCGTATTAAGTAGTCCGTACCATCATCATCAGCAAGAATGTGCACACACACAACACACACGCTTATGCTTCACGACGGAGAAAGGAGAGCGTTAGAGGAAGGGTGGTTCCTCTCCGGGCATCGCAGTTTCACCCGAAGAGAAAGCAGCAATCTGTGCTCACTTGTAGAGTTTCTTCCCGTCTGTCGACACACCATCACCGTCGTCGCGTCCTTGTCTCTCCTCGGGCACAACAATCTCACAACAACCCATTTCACAAGACTTTCTCAACCTGCACCATTAGCTCCAATTGCACTTTTGATCACTCCTGGCTGTATCAAGAACTTGTTGAAACTGAGACAATAAAAAGCTCAATAGTTCAAACAGATCCTGAGGATTAACGAGGTCCTGACAGATTCGCCATCTCCCTATTTCTCACATCACCCCTTTACTAGTCTGAACGTCTAATTTCCTTCATTTAGGAGGATTAGTCATCACTGATTTGAACGACGCAGAGTTGACAAACCAGACTCGAAGGAATTACGAACTAGTTGGGATTTAGAGCATAATCCAAGATGAGTTCATGTCCAAGTGGAGGGCGATCGAGATCAAGGAATTCAAGCATGAAAACACTTTGTCTGGTGACATTATTACAGGTAAGGTTTACAATTGGTGCTAATTTCTATGCATTTATAGGTGCAGCATAATATTTATATCAACAACATACAAATGTAGGATTAACAAATTCGCATAACCAGCATTTCTGAGCTTTTAGCTAGTAGTCTCATGCATACCGATTGGTATTCAGGAAACATATCTAATTCATGTCGGAGGAAAATCTGTTTTAGACATTATATGATTTGATTAAATTGTACTTTTTACTGATTCTGCCAACGAAATCATCATACGCAAATGTGAAAGCTGTCGTTTTTTTCTAATTTCATCTTTGATATGGAACTGGAGAATATCTACGTGAGACAGGATCAATTTGGATCAAAGGGTGCATAAAGTATAAGTTCGAACCATTACAGTGAAAGCAGAGTAGAAACCCAAGGTTATACTTTTGTATGTATGTAAATGTAATATAGCAAGCATTTTGAAATCATTTATAATCATCACCATATATTGCATGAAAGTAAGCACACACGTGCCTCCTGGTACAAGGCTTGTATGTGCACAATTGGTTATTAATGTCCAATTAGTACATCAACTAAGTATGCTATCATGCAGTTTCGTAATATGTTATTATGATGATTACTCCAGCTTAAGTATTGCTCAACGTCATCCAAAATAGCCAAATCAAACATGCAAAAGTACCAAAACATATTCATGAAAAGAGGAAAATTCAATTAAGCATTTCATGTAGAGGCGTGAGTGGGAGAAAACTCTGGGCTTTTAATATGTCAACGGTCAACAAGGAGAATGTAAGACATAAGAGCGTCACGTTATTATGACACGTCCATTCTTTCCCCTGTCATCATCCGTCATCCATTTAGTGTCGTAAAGTCCTAATGTGGTTTGATAAGGTAATCTCACAATGCGCTCCATTGCATCCCATTATGATTTCCCTAGATAAATAGATGACTTATATTTTATGGGTTGGAACATTGTTCGAGAAAAATAAAATAAGATCTCCTGCGCACCAAACCACCCACGCGTACATGCACGTAATAAATATTCAATCTGATAGACAGGACTATATATTATTCATTATTTCCAGCAAATCCACTAGTGTACGACATTTATACAGCATGATCTTTCATCGACACAGGGAAATGTAACAAGGCAGAATTGATTAGAATTAATTCAAAGTTCTTGCTCCGTATTTACCTCGCTGAGCAGAAAAGGAGATTGTAGCAGAGCTCGGCGGAGGACATGCATACATAAAACCTCCAAATTTAGGATATTATATCCACATTCGCCAAAAAATTTCGATCTCCAACCTCCAAATTCATAAAAAAAATTTGCTCTCTAACCTCCAAGTATCCGATATTTAAAAAAATTCTCGCCCTCCAACCTCCAAAAAAAATCCGCCCTCCACCTCCAGAGATCCAACATCCACTAGGGACGCCGAGCTATGGAATGTAGTGCTGAAAAGTTTATGAGCCTATGTACTGTACCCTTTCCACCCATGTATTCTTCCTCGAATTTGTGCAATAAGTTTGTGAGTTGAACGATGCCGACTCTTGGTTCCAATTTTCTATTTTCTCCTCTGGTACTTACTTACAACTTGTTAACATCTTTGATATTTACACAGTTCGGAATTGCAAGACAAGTGTTGCTTTCCAATTAAAACTTGGTCCAATTAGAGCATGTCTTGATATTTATCTATGTACGTGGGAACAGCAAAGTCGAAACAAAGAAATAAAGCCGAGTTGATGTAGGTTTATAAAGCTTAAAGTCACTGACAGCATAAATCTTGTTCAAATTTATGCTGTAACACATAGAAATGTTATTAATTATTTTGAAATACCGACCTAAGCGACAGGGACACAGGTCAATGCATACACGTACAAACCATCACCAGTACGATCTATGTATGCAAAACCAGGGATCTTCCACGGTATGCGGAACAGTCGCATTTACCATCACGGAGGGAATTAATTTGACGTAGGTTCTACTTGTTGGTAAAGAAACCCCTCTTGTCTTGGTTGGTGTGGGTGTCAGAAACAATTATGTGCTCCACCAAGGCTTTCATTCGGAAATCAAAGTGAGCCGTTTATTCAATTACGGCAGTTAATCTATGTCTGACGCCGTCAATACTCGGGAAAGCTTCTGCACAAGCAGCGTTCAGAAATTCTCATTACCTTGTTCACTACGTGTCTGAATGTAGGTAAGAAATTGAATTTTTATTGGTACAGTTTGGTCACTGTCACTTATAATGCAAATATATTGCTGTGCATCTTGTTTCTTGTTTATGTATCAGATAGCTCAACTGGATCAACATGAGATCCAGATGGTACTATTATTTATACGATTTGTCATGTTATATCTGTAAAAATCTAAAGGGCACACTTCATTTAGCCCGAGTCAGGGTTAGATTAGAGTACTATCTTAAATTTTTGACCCAACGACGGACGGATATGAGGCTTTCATAAGCCCTGACCCGAGCTAAAAACTGACGTATTCACATATCATTCTGATTGGATATAGAAATGTTCTACAGAAATGTAGAACATGTGTATATGTAAATATCTCGAAAATAGAAAATTAGAAGATATGTAGCAATTTTACAAGCTAAACTAATGAATACGAATGTCTCTTGCGAGAAAATTTAATGACTTGTAGAAAATATCGTACAAGGATCAAGGAAATATTCACAAGTTAATATCTTAGCATTTTTTACATGGGCTTTTCTATTCCATAATGAGCAGGATCAAACTCCATAAAATGACTACTTGTACATAATACTAATCCTTCAATTATTTTCTCCATGCTCTTGATACAGAAAAGAAACAACATAATATTTCTCTCTTCTTCAATGCGTCTTTCACATCTGCCCACCAATACAATTTTCTAAGAAATACGTAATTATAAAGTATAGCTCATAATTTACTTTCTTGGGAGATATAGATAATCTCCATGATTTACTGGCTCATCATTTTGGATGGATGTACATAACTTAAGCAAATGACTTGGGCCTTTCAGTTGAGTGACATATTATTATCTACGCCAACCAGCTACTTACATACACATGAAGCTAATGGAAGTACAAGTTTCTAATGGCTCAACCTCGCATGATGTACATACATACACACAAGAAAGCTCTCGCTGTAGTGATATTTTGGGTGAAAAATCAAACTGTCCAATAAAATGTCATTGAGTCATCGTGATTTCATGTCTGCTCCATTAATGCAGTGGTGAGGACTAAGGATGAGATCGACAACCACGCACTTATCGGTATTTTACACCGAGAAAGCTTTCACTCCCATTTTAATTATACATTTGGAACACGTCACCAATGCACACGCAAAGTCTACATGCATACACAGTCACTCATGCAAGAGAAGTGATTTTTACTTCCCTTACACCCTAGGATTATAAAGTGTTGTTGAATGACACATTTTATCCATTAATTTTCAGCTACTTCAAACAAGTGACGTCCAATGTGCTACAGAGAACTTCCGCAGTCCTGCAGCATATGATTACACGGATGAATTGGGTCGTTCGACGTCGAGGGAAGCATTCATCCCTTCAATCTCATCCCAGATTGGCTACAACCCTGACGTAGGCACCGTAGAAGATTTACAGAAACGTCACTTGGGATCCGTTGTCGCTCTTTCTGGAGGCAAGGACAAGCTACTTCTACCACGTCAGTTGACACCCGAGATGTTGAAACGCCATTTGGGCTCAATCGTTGCGGCATCAGCAACAGGATCAAAGCAGAAACAAATTTTATCCCAAATGGAAAAGAGGTATTTGGGATCTGTGTTGTCCAAGTCAGGATTTGCATCAAATTCCGCACGACAGCGATCAGGGTCTTCTGATGAAAGTTTAACCAAAAGCAAACGACACTTGGGTGCAATGGCGAAAATAAATTCCAAACCATTCAAACGTACTCGTGAATTTGACGATACCGAATCTGGAGAAATCTCGGATGACCTTTTTTACGACTACCCCGTCGACATTAATAACCGAGTTGATGGGGATTCCGATGGGTTTCAGGATAGCAATGTTGTTTCCATCAAGACCAAACGATTCCTTGGTAAGTACAAATCGAGCAATGTTGTAGGATTCCATCATCCTCAACTGTCTCATTAAATCATGCGATTTGATAGTCCAGCCCATCATTAAAAGTATGTAGAAGTGGCATCATACATTTTTAAAAGAGAAAGATTGACTAATATATTGTTAATAATTCAGGATCACTTGCAAGAGGGGGATGGTTTCCGAGACAGTTCAGAGGATTTACGGCAGAGAATCCATACGACAAGAGGCACGTTGGATCTGCTGCACGAGTTGGTTGGCTTCCTCTTTCGAAATCTGATCGTGATTATTTTGGCGAAGGGACAGGATTTAAAAGGAACATCCAGTCTGTGAAGCAAATTCAGTACGCAGCTCCAGTGAATACATGGGGCTGGGGAAGGCAACGGGAAAAGAGATCAAATACGATCTCTTATTAAGAACAAGAACCAGAATTTCATCATTTTATCTTTGTACCTTTTGATGGTGTGGTGCTTTATGCTTTTCGTGATCCACTTTTCATGTAGGCGTATGAATGAGAGTGACAGCATTGTTTCAAGAATTGCTTAATTTGAGTGAACAAAATTAACTCTTGACTCTACACATGTAATTACACGTAGTTGTAAGTAGTGAAGTAGATTAAATTTTGCTCGTGAAACCGTGTCGAAGTAGGATACCCATCATACATACAAACTTACATATAATAAATATATACAATCCAAATTGAACCTTTCTGGATTAATTGAGTAAAATTATATTAAGGTGACTCAATAAATAAAGTAATTTGATGCGCCTCAATCTTTGAGACTAATTTGAGAAGGATTATTGAATCATAAGCACACAACACATAATGCAAATTCTGCTTTCTAATTATGCCTGCCCGAATCCTAATATGATGAGAATGGATATTATCCCTTTCTCATTCATCCACCAATAGACAAATATACGGTCGCCTATCCTTCCTCGGATGATGAAGGCTAGGTCCGACTTCAAAATTAATCAGGAAGTCACAAAGGAAAAGTTGGCTGCACTGGACATGACAGTCTGATGATTGAGATTTTATCTCAATTATGACAATCTTGGCCAAGAGGCGGAATCAGAGAGAATAAAACCTCGTTCTCTTCTCTTTTAGAATAAAGTCACAGAAAGAGAAAGTTGGACGGGATATGGATATGTACGAGGAGAAAGCGAATTTAAGCACTTACTGATGTTGAGCAGGATTCTAGTCCGGGCAAAAAGTCCTGTTTTGATGGGAATCGAGCGTGCACGCCCTCATCCCTACTTCTGCACGGATTCATATGAAATTTTAAACTTTGTCCTAGAGATGCGAAATTTGGCATGCACATGCACCAACATATGCTGCATCATAATACAACATCAATTCCCGTTCCGTTCGCTATAAATTTTTCAGGAAAAATCAAAAACCAAGAAATGATAGGGATGACATTTGGTTTTTGATTTTTCCTGAAAAATTTATAGCGAACGGAACGGGAATTGATGTTGTATTATGATGCAGCATATGTTGGTGCATGTGCATGCCAAATTTCGCATCTCTAGGACAAAGTTTAAAATTTCATATGAATCCGTGCAGAAGTAGGGATGAGGGCGTGCACGCTCGATTCCCATCAAAACAGGACTTTTTGCCCGGACTAGAATCCTGCTCAACATCAGTATGTACATGATGAAAATGGAGTAATTTTTTATTAAATCTCACTCACAAGACCACCCTGCAAGTACCAAAAACTACCAACACCACCATACTTATCTACTTGTGACCACCCGTTGAGACTTTTTGTAAACAGAAAATCCAACACTCACTGTGTAATGTAGAGGATGATTGCGTACACCGTGGAGAAAGTTGCATCATTCTGCTAAGATTATTCGGGTGAAAGCATTATTATGGCTCACCCACAAGCAGAATCTCACCAACCAACCAACCAAGAAGTTGCAGCACAGCGCGAATTTACCCTCCTCGTGTTGCTGCTGAAGATAATTTATTTCCAATGAAAATAGTTATTTCATATAGTACATAATAAATAAAGAACGAAAAATTGTGTTAATTGTTTGACCATGATAGCTCCCGTTTGTCGTCATTTTTCATTCTGCCAAGAGTTGCAAAACATACGACAGACGATTCGTCTTGCGAATTGGGCGATTCACAAAACTGGTGGTTCTTATTCTCGACATTATTGTAATTACAGGTTAATAAAAGATTTTCACGGTAACACGTGCTGGCATCAATTCTTCAAAAGGAGCTTATCCACTTTGCCCACTCCGCGTTGCAGTAGTATTAGTGGTGTACACAAGTATTTGTGGCAGAATGATGAGAATAATAACGCAGAGGCTTACATGAGGACTACGACCGGCTACAAAAACACGTTTTTCGATCCCAATAAGCAGCCAAAGAATAAAGTATGCCATCAAGTTGTGCACGAGTTTATTCAGGCGTCGGTAAACAACGGTGGTCAGCCCATAAGTTGTCCCTCGAATAAGAGTACTGTTGACGCCGTGTTATCGAACTTGAGGGAGCTAACTGACGAAGAGTTGCTCAAAATTATTCACCATCTTCGCTTCTACGCCCCATCAGAGCAAGCCAACGATCCAAGTTATGTACGACTTTGGTCAGCCTTGGATGCAGAATGCGTATCGCGAATGTCGACCTGGGGTCTGGATTTCCTCTTCCAAACTGCAGATGTCTGGTATGGGGTGAAATTGGTAAGGTTTTCAAACTTCCATAAGAAGTTCATGTTGACCCTTCTCAAGAAATGTGGCCGGCTAAAGAGGTTATTATAAGAGAATAAGAGAACCTAATTACTTTTTTCATTATTCTCTTCATTATGTCATTTTTTCCTCAGGGAACACTTCATTCGGTTCATGTACTGCTTAAACTTGGCTAGAACACTTCCAAATTATTCGGCAAAATATGAAATTCAAGATTATTTGAGAACAGAGGTGGACACTATGAATCATCAAGAGGCCTCCATCGTAGCAATGTCGTGTTTCAAAACTGAGACGAATATAGATGACCCAGTAATAGTTGAAAAATTGCTCAACATTGCTATTTCTGCGAGACAGGAAATTGACTATATTTCGATTTCTGCCGTTGCCAAATTTGCTAGATTTACCTCAAGTCCGAAACTCAAACCCGTGTTGATCAAATTGCAAGAAGCGTTTCTTCCCGAGTTGGGAAGGTTGAACGTTCACTCAAGCGTACATCTAGCTCTGGTTGGAACCAAGACTCAATTGGCACACAAACCTCTGCTTAACGCTGTGGTGGAAATTATCCAGGACAATATAGAGAGTGCAAGACTTAAAGACTTGGAGCGGATTGCATTGGTCATGACAATGTTTGACGTAGATTGTGACAAATTGGGCTGGCTCATTGTGGAAGAACTAGCGTCTCCACGAAGAACGGAAGAGATTAAAGTAAGTAGTAATATTAAGATTCAGCCCCTTTTTATGATTTAAATTAATCATGAATTACTATTTTTTAAACAATAAGCGTAGTAAGTTAAACACTTTATTTGGTTACACATACCTATCGGTAATCTAATTTTTCGCAGGAGTATGGCCGCTGTCTTCCTGCAATTCTTCACTATCTGAGCATTAGGGAGATATTTCCACAGAATTTGATAAATTATGTCTTGGGAGAAAAATTTGTACAAACATATTATGGTAATATGAAGACACGATCTTGAGTTTGCAATTGCATATTTATTTTTGATCCAAAAATCTTGAATTTCAATTCACAGCAAATACATCTGAAATTTACCTTCGAGAACTTTTGTGTTTGGATTTTTGTGCCGAACTGGAAATCGTGGGATACACTGGAGCAAGACTTGACAAAATAGCCAGAGACAAAATATCTAAAGTACCTGGTTTTCATTTTCCTTTCATATATCATAATAAATCATTTATTTGTGATGTCAAAATAGATATTTACATATCTTTTTCCTTTCCTTCCATTCTTCTACAGGGCCACATTTCAAGAGTTTCTAAACCCCTCGGACCAAAGTTATCAGCCTATGAAGTATCTCTCAGGAAATTGACTACTATTTTAGAGTCATTTTTGGGCGGACCAGAGTATTGTGTTATTTCCAACATTCTGCCACATCATCATTGCAAAAGTAATAGTTACATGCTACACGCCTGATTTGAAAAATTAATGATTTAAATTAACCTGAATTTATGTTAATGTGAATGCTCAGAGATTATATTTTGTACTGATGCAACTGGAAAACCTTCCCCGATTCCTCATCATTACCGAAACCTCCCAGAACATGAAATCAAGTATTTGAATGGGGGAGATCTACAGTTCCATGTAATGTACGCTTGCAACAGGAGCGATTTTATTCCTTCGGAAAAAAAGTTGACAGGATCCGGAAACCTAATTATTCGACAATTAAAGAAGCTGGGATATCGGGTTCATGTGGTGAGTTAGAGTTTTGAATAGAAAAATGCAAGTGCGTAAAATAATAAAGCATTATAGAATTGTACATGTGTAGTACTTTTGTTACAGATATTCCCACCATTCACGGTTACCCAAGTAAACGACGTAATGCAAAAATTACTGTGATTAAGTATTTATTGTACTAATTTATTCTTAATTAAAATATATATCATATATAATATATCTATAGCGTATGATGACAAACAATAATGGTTATACAATACATTCATAATTTACTTGCTGATTTTATTTCATAGTTAATAACGTCCAAGTTAAACAAAAGAATCGCAACAAACAAATTATTAGCATTACATTATCCTTATAGTCGTCAATTAAAAAAACATGCATGCTGGTCCTACATACTCTAATGGTGCGTATGCACCAAAGTCAAATCGGTCGAAAATTATTTATACACATACATACATCACCAGAGTTAACTAAACCGTTTCGTTTTAAAATATTGCATAGCTCTAAAAGGTAGAACGGGCAACTTATTACAGTAACAACTTTTACAACATACAATAATAGTAATAATTAATAATTATAATTATTATAATATTTGGCGACAAAATGTTAGCTTTATTTAATGGTTGCGGTATTAAAGCAGGTCGTAAAATCTGTGTAGTGATTAGCATCGGTGGTTGTATTAAGGCTTTAGTTAAATGGTTTGGTGTTTTATAGTAGCACACGTTTTCAAATATCTAAAGTCCCAAAGTGGGACACGACGACGGTATTTTCTTTCTCCTCGACTACATTCGTAGTGGTTGATGGGCTTGCGTTTGCCAGCCTTCGACGATCAGCCTCTCTTTTTCTCTCTCGTTGTTTCAATTCCTTTTTATGCCGGTTGGAACGCTTTGACTAAACAAATAAGTATTTATTAATTAGTTAATGTCACAACGTACAGAAATTAGTCACAGCATATTGCAATATAAGTTTACCTCTTTCCGAACAGACTGCTTCTTTTTTTCGACATTTTCTTGACTAGAAATGACACCTTCGACAGGGGAGCCACTGCCACTACTGCCGTCGTCAGATTCTAGAAAACAAATTCACAAAACGATTAATTCATACGTTCAATGACCATCGACTCGTAAACTAATTTTAATCTTTGGTTGTTAATATTACCTGAAGTTAGTGGATCTTCTGTACTCGGACTGATTATCACGACAGGACGAACTGGATTATTATCTGCGAGATATAATGGGTCATTGTCGCCCTTCTTCATCACAGGAGGAGGGATGGCTGGAGCTTCAACAACAGAGTTCGATGGAGTTCCCAGCAATGCATCATTACCATCACAAGTCTTCTTCTCATTATTCAATTTGTTGGAGTCAGGTCTCTCATCAACGCTAGTTGTTTCCTGATGGTAATGATGCTGGTGTTGGTTCATCATGACGGACATTGAAATTATAAAGTCTATGGTGGCCACCATGTCAAAGTTGTAATCTACGAGGGTTTCTCGTATGAAACTGGCATCTGGATAATTGGTTTGCTGCATAACTTCTTCAACGAGTCGATCCACATCGCCACTGTCTTTGACCCAGTAGTCTTCGTCTCTTTTGCTTTGATACTGACCAGAGTAGCAATCTGAAGATTGCTGAGAGGCATTACTGCAAGCTGTGTGTGGCGGAGATTTCTTTCCGCTGCCCTTGGGGAAACTGGTTGTTTGAGCGCTTCCAGACTAAAAATGTAATTTAAAATTTTTTAAAATACATTTTTTTAGCCTCTATCATGATAACGAATTGCAGATAGCATACTAAATATTTACAAATAAAGTAAACATTTCTACTGTACTTGTGCGTGTAGACGAATATTTGTAGGATTTTCAGAATCATCGCCCAATCGTCGCACGGAATTGTAATGATCTCCATTGTGATAAAATATGTGAATCTGTATAAAAAAACATATATATAGAAAAGATATGACAATAAGGCGATGCGCACTGTAAGAAATGTTTTGTAAATAAATAATCTACCTCCCGTCCACCAGTTTGTTCTTGAGAATCCTTTGAGGGATGAATTATCCATGCTGGAGAATTCAGTTGATGAATTACCACACTTACATTATGGAGACGAGCAAATGCTACAATTGCGTCGTTGCCTGCAAAGGTCCCAGGTTGCGAAAGTCGTTGTACTAAACAAATTTAGTTTTAGTATAAATATCCACAATAATATTAACCTAAACCGTTTTGCAAATACTATACCATATTTATCAAACGGAACATCGTCTTCAACAAATGGTTCAAAATCTGCTCGGAATTCTTTCATGTATTGTACTACTGCTCGTCTATATTCTATGTCAGAACAAGATGGTAGTTAGTAAGTGAAAAAGAAAATATCTAAACATGAACGCATAATATAGTTAACGTTTTAAATGATTGATAATACCTTGATGGTTTCTTGAATTACCAGAAATTTGATCACTGAGGGCTCGGAATAAACAATTTCTATCAAACATCAAGGGTTTAATTTTAAGATCCATTGAGTGAACAATCTATATTATGTGTTCCTTACCCATCACCAGGCATTTCGCGAATATTTAATCCAAGAGATAGTAGCTGGTTTCCTACTAAAGTGTCATGGTCGTGAGATTCGTCAGAATTTTTAGCGTTCGAGTGTCTGTACTCATTCTTGGTACCACCTCCCATGAAATGATGGTTTGGAAATGGTTTTCCACCCTGTTGTACATGTTGCGACTGACATTTTCTCTCAATCCCTTGTGTCTCGTCCCCATTTTCGTCCAAATACTTCTTTCTCGCCATTGTGTCTTCTTCTTATTCCAACTGATTTTGTGACTACTTCTTGATGAGCACAAACAAAAAAAATCAATGAATTTCACTGCGTTTGTACATTTTACGAATATGACAGGAAATTAAAATACCCTAAAAATTGGAAATCTTTGCTTCGACTGTATCGAAGTTTAACCTACTTTTTCTTCTCAGATATTACACATTGCACAATGCAGCAGTCAAGTTTTGGAGAATATATATATACAGAGAATATATAAATATACAATCTGAACAATGACAATTGCAAATGATTAATGTCAGAAAAACGTCACGAATGCGGAAAGAAAAGAAAATGCACACACGGTCAAAAATTTAGTAATACTGCCTTAATTTGGAAGTGAAAATATTTTGCTACTTTTGTATTATCACAGCAATGCCCCTTGTTTAAAATTCTACCCTGCTAAGCTTATCGATAAATGAATACTGAGGAAATTGTGAAATATTTATTGTTCGATGAGCGAGCACGAGCACCTAGACTTTTGAGGAGAGAGAAAGGGATTTTTGGATTGCCCCCCCAGAATGAGTAGCGAGCACATGGAGCTAGCGAGCGCTACCTTCAACAAAATCTCCTCTATGTTGACAAACACGAGTCTCCAGCTGCAACTTTCACCACTTCCGGTTCATTACCAGCCCCCCAGGATAACTGATAAAGAGAAGAGACAATAAGAATGCCGTCCTCTTTGTGCTTGTGTGAAAGCAGCTGGCTTGGTTTGTTTGGTTGTGCTGTGAAGTTTTCTTAATCGTAATTTTACAAATTGTCGATTAGCTAATATTTTTATGACTGTGTTGTGAAATTGGAAGGGGATGGAACGAACTTTAGGTATATAACTTGTAATTGTTTTTACTTTGAATTTAAAGGGCACGCCAATATTATTAGGTGCCTTATTTTAGCTTAGTCAAAATTTGAGAAAGAGATTGCAATTATAATTGCCAAATTCCAAGTACAAAATAGAAAAATAAATTTCCGTTCTCGAAAATGATGTCCACGGTTGGAAAACGGCTCAGGTTTGTTTAACTGATTAGACGAAAAAGAAATTATCGTTATAATTTATACATGTATATGTTTTGTATTCGTAAATAGATGAACGTAGCTCTTTGTACTGATCGTTTCCAATAAACTAGTTTCGAATTATAGTGCAATTACATACATAATGCCATCCAGTCGGGACCTAGAACACAAACCGCTGATCGTTGGTTGTGTAAAGAAAGTGTGCCTCGGTTTAATTTAAAGAAATTTATCAGATATATTGCAATATTTCGCAATGAACGGTTTAAAAATGTAACAACTAATTCTTATACAAACTATTGTGCCAATTAACCACTGCCGTCGTACTAAGCAACATAAGTACTGCTGAGAACAAGACTGATTCATTATATTAGTAAGCAAAGTATATTAGTCATTCGCCAATAATATTCCGCATCGAAGGAGGAATACAAGATGATGAGTGAGTTTGAGAAACGATTTAGCAGTGACGATTTGTCCTCCTTGCTCGTGTCGAACAGCCAACTTGTCACAATTCCAATATCCACGAGGACAAGGGCGAATTCCAACGCCAACCTTCTCGACATGAACGGGCCAACGGGCAGGAGAAATAGTGAAACTCGCACCAGGAAAAGGTTTCACAGCATGGATGACATTTTCGACATTTGCAACGCTCCCGTCCGGCTACATCCTCCTGGTTTCAGTGTAAGCATTTCTTTTTATTCTTTCTCCACAACTTTTTTTTACGTAATTTTGTTTCCATTTAAATACTCCCAGTGCAGTGAAGCTTTGATACATATGATCATCTTTGATACATTTGATATGTAAATAAATTAGTTGGCAAAACCCTATCATTCTATGCTATTATCTTTAACATGCGTATAGTACATCACCGTGCAGTTATAGTTATATGACCTTAATAGAGGGTGTCCTGGCTAATATTATTTTACAAAATCCTGTCTGTTTGCCGTCTTTATTGGGTATAAATTTCCCCATTTACCCAGCATTCATAATTTCAGCTCTTTGCTATCAATTTCACAAATCTTTTAAGCCTTATAAAACATTGAACAATTTGTATTATAAAATTCTACCCCCACCACTTGACAGACCTTTCCCCCACTGGACCGATCACGCCCATGTTAAGGTCTTGTTAAAAGGTACGACTAATCCTAAGTAGGTTAAAATCAGGTGACATGATAGTTCTATAAGCCTAGGTTCGGGTTAATTGGAACCAAGAAATTGTGTGTATGAGTTATCTAATTCTATTGTCATTGAACACAATAATGCATTAGATTTGTTTGGACTCGTTGGTTTATGATTTACTTTCATGTCGACATAAAATCAGAGTCGATGAGTTAATAATGAGTCCGTTGTTTTACGACCTTATCTCCTGTTGCTTGTAATAAATTTTAATCTGGTATGAGACGACCCTGCGAATACTGCGCCCCAGAGAGTGCTTACTGCTTATCCCTTTGTTTTGAAACTGTTACTAGAAAAATAAGTACATTGTGGTTGCTTTTAATGTTAATTCTTTCTGAAATGAGTACAAAACATTACTCGAAAGAAACTTACAAAAGCAACAAAGTTACGAATTGCATTTTGTAATCATTGCACTGGTTTAAAAGGATAATCCCTAGTCAAAATTCAGTTTTAATTTTTGGTCATTTGCTTTTGAAAATTTGTATGCCTATGTTACATTTATATTTTATTAATTTGCATGGATAAATGACTGAAAAAATATCACAAAATATACCAAATTATGATCATCTGCGGCATGTTGAATCCATTTCTGGAAGGATGTATGAATTTGACTGCAGTACTACATATATGCGTGTTTTGTTTGACTTGGTGGTGCTTTAAGATTTATATATTATTGTTTACAAGAACTACGAGTGAACACCCATCCAAAGAAGGCTTCACCAGCAGAGGGAAATGCATCTGCAGGTCTTCTGCCTGGAGATCACATTCACATTTTTTATGAAAACGAGCACGAGTTTAGCGTAGGTGGAGAAGATCGAATGCGTGTTATTTGTGTTGTTTGGTGGTCTCCAACGGATCGTATATACAAGAATATGTATGAATGTCTTATACATCCTCCAAATCCTCCAGTAGTTGCAGTTATCAACTTATCGTAACTTTTGGTTGGGATGTTAAAGAGGATATGGAATGGCATTCTTTTACTTTGGCTGGATAGGGGTTGAGCAGCAACATATATTTTGGAGAATTCCCTGCTGACCATGGAACGGAAGAAGGATATTTATGTGAGATGTTTTTAATTCTTAATGAATATTCGGCTTGGATGTGCTCTCTCTGGTAGGTCGAGGTCTGGAGGCGAGATTCGAGAGAAGCCCATATTTACCTTAAATGGAAAACAAAAAAACGAAGCCACACAGTACATACATTATGTACAGAACTTGTCTTTGGTAAAAAGAGGTTTTATATTTAAAGTCAGGGTTTAGATATCAGAACCAAGAATTGTGCAGTGGTGTGTGTTACCAGTTGAACTTGGCGCTTGATTACACACGTGTCTCACATTGTCCAAGCTAATGTCACCTAGCGGCAGGTGGGGCACTATGTTACATTTTTCGTTTCTAGAGGGCGTTTTTCGCTAAAGTGTCAAAACGTGTCCAAAACGTTGACGAACACGATAACAACGAAACACACCCTTTAGATCTGCCGAGACTTGATCAAATGAACGGGCACACCCCCTAAACTTGACATTTGACCTGTGACCTGGGCACACCCACCAGACTTCACATTTGACCTGTGACCTTGGCACACCCACTAGATTTGACATTTGACCTGTGACCTTGGCACACCCACTAGATTTGACATTTGACCTGTGACCTTGGCACACCCACTAGATTTGACATTTGACCTGTGACCTTGGCACACACCCCTGGACTTGACATTTGACCTGCGACCTGCGTACAACCCATAAAGTTGACACTTTACAGAGTTGACACTTGACCTGTGACCTGGGCACACCCACTACACTTGACCTGTGACATCGGCACACCCGCTACACTTGACCTGTGACCTGGGCACACCCACTAGATTTGACATTTCACCTGTGACCTGGGCACACCCACTAGATTTGACATTTCACCTGTGACCTGGGCACATCCACTATACTTGACCTGTGACCTCTGTGCCCCACGGTAAAGTTGACACTTGACCTGTGACCTCTGTGCCCCACGGTAAAGTTGACACTTGACCTGTGCCTTACTAATTTTAATTACCTACCAGCGCCACCTATCGGATGTTGGCTGTTTTTCAGGGCTAGAGGGCGGGCTTTTGGTTTAAGTGCCTAAACGTACTTAAAACGTTAGAACAATGCCATACTTCAGAGTTGTGACCTAACGTTTTTCGTGGTAACCCCCTTTAGAGTCGTGACCTAACATTTTTCGTGGACACCCCCTTTAGAATCGTAACTGAACGTTTTTCGTGGTAACCCCCTTTAGAGTCGTGACCTAATGTTTTTCGTGGTCAACCCATAGAGTCGTGACCGGACGTTTTTCGTGGTTACCCCGTTTAGAGTCGTAACTAAACGAATTTCGTGGTCACACCGATAGAGTCGTGACTGAACGTTTTTCGTGGCCACCCCCTTTAGAGTCGTGACTGAACGTTTTTCGTGGCCACCCCCTTTAGAGTCGTGACTGAACGTTTTTCGTGGCCACCCCCTTTAGAGTCGTGACTGAACGTTTTTCGTGGCCACCCTCTTTAGAGTCGTAACTGAACGTTTTTCGTGGCCACCCCCTTTAGAGTCGTGACTGAACGTTTTTCGTGGCCACCCCCTTTAGAGTCGTGAAGAACGTTTTTCGTGGCCACCCCCTTTAGAGTTGTGACTGAACGTTTTTCGTGGCCACCCCCATTTAGAGTCGTGACTAAACGTTTTTCGTGGTCACCCCCTTTAGAGTCGTGACTAAACGTTTTTCGTGGTCACACTCAATTACAGTCGTGACAACGTTTTTCGTGGACACACCCAATTAGAGTCGTGACGGCACGTTTTTCCGTGGTCACACCCTTTAGAGTCGTGACGGCACGTTTTTCCGTGGTCACACCCTTTAGAGTCGTGACGGCACGTTTTTCCGTGGTCACACCCTTTAGAGTCGTGACGGCACGTTTTTCCGTGGTCACACCCTTTAGAGTCGTGACAACGTTTTTCGTGGTCACGCCGATGGGGTCGTGAGTGAACGTTTTTCGTAATAAAATAATAAAATCGTTTTGCTTAGAGCCCGCACTGCGGGCTTAAGAGACTAGTTTGTAATGTTTCTCTTAAAGTTTGTTATCATTCTAAAGTTCAAAACCAACTATACTATTTTGTTACATGTGCACACATAAGTAACTCCTCAGCGACGATACATCTCAATTCCCAACTTTTTCGAGCGAGGATCGAGTAACACGCTACTTTCCTTCTATTTCGTATCAATTACGGTGGTCTGGTTTATTTACTGTTAGTTTGGTATTGGTTAGTGGTTGCGCTCCTGCTTGTATGGGGAAAAGGAAATTCGGGTAGTTTATTGCTCACCCAGGATTGCAGGGCTTTAGTTCAGTCCGTGAAAACCGTCTCGACGTGTACTCGTTCTTGTTTGAGAGCTGGCTCTTGTTCCCTCGTGTTGCTTGTGTTGCATTTCAGTGGTGATGTGGAATTTGTTCGTGTAAAGACACAAGAGTACCATGTCAGTTTTCGCTTGGATGCTCAGTCATCAGTGAAGTGCAGTGGATGGAAGTTGTGTAGCAATGTCATGTCCGCCGTGTGTCAGAGGACGACGACGACAAACTTAACTTTCTTGTAAACTCCACAACCAACCGCGTGCACGGATACTAAAGTTACAAATCCGGCGTATTGGGATTTACATCAAATTCTCCGACTTTAAAACATTTCCAGGAGAATCTAGTGAATATTTAATGCGAGCAAAAGTTTCAGCGTGTCTCACTTGTGAACTGAATGAACATTTATATTATTCCTGTCATTATTGCTACCTAAAATTGACACCTGGAACCAATAGATGCAAGACCAGATTTGTTTTATTGACGTGTTTCTTGTTTTTCATTCTCCATTAAAGAAAATATCGATATTTATTTAGGCACTCATCTTATAACTTAAAAAAACTGGTGAGTATGTCTTTTGGTTACTTTCGTCTTAATTTCATGCTAATAAAAATTGAACGCATACAAATTTTCATTTGCCAAAAAAATGAGAATCATTCTAGACTGTCAGTAAAGTGGTATGATGGAATGAGGATAATGCTGCCTTAAGCGAAATTAAACTTCAAAATGTAAAAACATATCATTTATTCGTACCATCGCCATCTTCATTTGCCACTGTGTGCGTGCATATAATTATAGTTATAATTCGTCCATTCTTTAGCAAGTGTATTCTTGGTACCGTTTTCTTTACTCATCCCATTGTCCTCACGTGCTAGATTTCACTCTTTTTTATACTTATTCTACGATTAAGCAATTTTTTGTCAAGTAAATGATCCAATCTGTACCTTAATTTTGCTTTTAATTTAAATTCAAGCTTTGCATCTTATCTCTGCGCAGGAGAAATCTCATCGGCATTATAATGCTCGTTAAGCCCCCTTCATCAACAAAAACAGTTTTGTGTTTTATTCTTCTTTGAGAAACAGCAGAGCCACATCCTTTCATTATGCAAAAACGGAGTGCAAGTAGTAAGTAGAGTACTATTGTACATAGTT